TGGTTCGATGTGACAAATAAAAGAAACACAAATCCAAACATGTGTTTTAAGATTGCTGAGCATCTCAGCATTTCGTAGGGCACGGATATATCCGAGCATATCGACGACGCATACTGTATATGTAATACAGTGGCGGGTGTTGCTACGTGCAGCCGCAACGACTACCGAAGTGTGTTCAGTTGATGTGGCTGCACGCAGCAACAACATACACATTCCGGTCGAGTCGTTGCGGCTGCGCGTAGCAACGCACGCCACTGTATGCGTCGTCGATATGCTCGGATATATCCGTGCCTTACGAAATGCTGAGATGCTCAGCAATCTTGAAACACATGTTTGCACAAATCACATCTTAGTGTGTTTATCGCATTACTGTCCAACAACAGAACATGCGCCCAGACTTTTTTCGCTTCGATTTCTTTTAAATTGATTTTCTTGTGATATTTTGTCCCATTGCAATAAAGTTCACTTCATTATAATTTTCTCGTTAATCTCATATTCTCATGATCTTTTAGTCTCTTTTTTTCTGTTCCCTTAATTAGTATGAAATCATGGTTTACAATGCTATTTCAAGTCTCCATGTTTGGGAATTCATGTTAAACACTTTGAAGAAGAAATATGCAATCAACTTCCAATCAGACTGGATAATTGAACGAATCGAGAAAAAAATGTCGACATCAATTGGTCGAAGTGCGAATGAGATACTTAGAATAGTCATGAGGAGCAATAAAAAAAAAACAAATTGTTTAATCGTCTCGATTACACAGTCTTAGAATGTTTGAATTTTTGTTTTGTCACCAGTTGTCGACAGTTTTTTTTCCGTCTCATTTCATCTGAAGCTATGACCCTATCTGCTACACAAACAAAAACTAATTTTTAATTACTATCGATAGGTATTAAAGCAAATCCAAGCTTAACTATGCATGTTACCAATACTTTATATACATACTATATACTTTTTTTTAAACAAAACCAATGAAGTGTTTTTTCAAACACTTCAATTTCAATTTGTTTTTAATATGTAAAAGCAATATTAATCATTTTACGAAGAAAAAAATACGCAAAAAAAGTTTAAATAAATATTGTAAACACACACAAAATACATGTTTGATCTTTATGTTATTAACGGAAGGAGTACGGATTTTGTTTTTATGGAGCTCCGGATTATGGTAAGAAAGGTCTTTCTCTATCAAACACATTTCTACCAATTTTGATTGATGCTTGGCTAAAATGCAAACTTTGGTAAAGAAAAAAGAAACGAATGATGATTGCGAGTGCGAAGAAATGGTTCGTTGCATTTTAAGATTTACAATCGAAAGGAACGCGATGATCAAAGCAATTAATTGCATGGTGTTATATATGTTGCACGGTTGTGTACCGATATTACACATAAATTGACGCCAATCACTCATTCTCTCTCTCTCTCTCTCTCTCTCTCTATCTCTCTCTCTCTCTCTCTCTCTCTCTCTCTCTCTCTCTCTCTGATTCATGGCAAAATGAACAAAAAAGTGAATTGCGACTAGACCGGCTACTTTAATACCATCCGATCAATTTCTTTCAATCAACGATTAACGTATTCAAAAGTGTCGCGCTTTTTCTATTTTCGTATGCAAACAACGGTGATTTGGTTTGCTTTGTTTAAGTGAGAGCAATGGTGGTTTCACATCAAACACATGACTGCCAATCGATTTAAATCACATGAGAATTGACAATCAACGTAATTACGAGCATTTCCACTTGAGTCAAACGAAATTTCGTAATTTTGAAAACCAAAAAGGATTTTTCTCTTCATTTTCAAACACAATTCAATCGAGTGTCAAACGCCTGACGGCTTTGTGTCGATCAACCCGAAATTGTCCACTCATCCAATTATTTTTCAACATTCGCATTCATTTTTCTTCGGTTCACTGGTTGCCTCCATTTCAATCATATTTTTTTTCTCATTCGTTTGAATTTTCTCGAATTTATTACTTTATGTTACGACGATTCTTACTCAATCGTTTTAACGACCTTCGTTGCTCTTATTAATTTTCTGTAGATTTTTATCTTGAGCAATTTGATTGAAAAAGTGCATGCGGTGTTTTATTTCATCGGCATCAAAAAAAAAAAAAAATAACCAAGCCAACCAACAGCAACCGTTCCAATTGAACAAAGTCTCAAAATTATACAAGCGCGGTCGAAGTGACTGTTTTCTGAAATTTATGGTTACGAAAAGAAAACAATTGCAACAGCACAATCACTCATTCTGTTTAGAGTTGACAGACAAGCTGTAATATCTTTTCGTTTTTTCTGTTTCTTGGTTGGAATAATTCGAATTGAGACAACACCAAATGGTAGATCTTAAATTTTCACGGAATTTTCCCAATTTGAATTGTGGATAAAGCAAACACACTGCCGATTTGTAATTAATTGTTTATTATCTTAGCGAGAGAAAAAACAATGTAAAATTTTGAATTGGAAATTTTCTTTACAATTTACGACGCAGTCACAGTAAAATAAACAACATCCAACCAAATCCAGTCAATTTAAATAGTTTAATATCTGTTTTTTTTTTTTCAATAAACTAACTTTAAATCTTTAATAATCTCCTTTTCTGGTTCAGTTTTTTTGTGTGGATATGCTCAGAAGCGTCGACTCTATCAATAGTACTCGTCTTCTTCTTCGTCGTCGCCCCCTTCACCTCCTTCGCCTCTGCTATCAATATATTCCTCCTCTCCGTCGCCCTCCTCATCATAGCCACCCTCTTCTTGTTCGTCTCTGGAATTGGGAAAGAAATGTATTGATTTGATTTTTAGTCGATATTTTTTTTCATTTCAACTTTAATCGAAGTTCTTTTCGAAGAGTGTAAAATTGTGAAAAAGAAATGGACAAATTGTGTCCTAATTCAAATGATCAAAATTGTCATTCATCCCAATGTGAAATACCCTTCAACATATTCATCTTCTTCGCCGCCACCATCATCATCAGAGCCTTCATGTTCTTGCGGCACTTGTGGCGTTTGAGGCGCTTGCGGGACATGTGGTACATAAGGATGCACTGGATCTTGATAGACTGGTTTAACTGGATCTTGTGGATGATGTACAGTATGACCGTCTGTTATGATGTCCGCATGAAAACCGGTCTTCTTATCGGCGGTATATCTAACCGTTCGAAATTTGCCATCTGGGTCTAAAACACTATTAATTTGTTTATTATTCAATGGGATAAATTGACTCTGAATCGACGCATTATTTGTTTGTTCTTTGATTTTCTCATTTGTTCAGAGTGTTTTCTTCCGCATTTTGCCTGTGATCGAAAGTCTAGAGCTGCCGATTGGGAATGTACAGCTGCTGGAAGTGGCCACTCTTGAGAAAAATTAGTACTTAATTCAAATGCACAACACCTGTATTGCCCGTGAACGGTGTCACCGTTGCGTGTCTCTTGTCGGCTTTGATGCACCTTCGACTTGGGATCCGCAACACCATACTCAAAGTGATAGTCGGGCTTCGCCACATAGTCGTAATCCTTGTGATACTTTCCGTCATCATACATTACTTTTTGCTCAGCTCCGCTCACCGGTCCCATAAATTTGGCAAACGAGTACCCGGGCACAAAGCACTGTATTCTTGTTATCACGCTGGTCAGAAATATAACACAAACCACCTACAAAATAACAATTTAACAACTTAATTTATTTATCGTTTCTTTTTTTCAATTTGAATAAATTCACAAGTTTTCTTCGAAATTGCATTAAAATCACTATTAACTGAACACTCTTACAATAAGTTCACGTCTCGCCATCATTCAAAGCGGTAATGTGTTGCTCACTGAATTCAAAACACCTGATCGATTTTTATGTGCATGTGGAATATATATGATAACTACGTTTTCATCGATCGCAAATCCGTGGAATGACTGTTCTTCGGTGATGTAGTGATCAATGTATTTATAGCCCAAATCATATTGGATTTGATTGACTGATTTTCGACCACAATGTGTGCGGCTATTGTTATTGTCCCAATAGCAATTGGCAACCGAATTTCATGTTTTCCATCCAATTGTCACTGTGTTGCGATTGATTGTTCTTTCATTTCATCCATTTATTCATACATTCGGTGGTTCGGCCACAAAAAGAAATGCGTAAGTGTACAGTGCGGAAAAATCCAGCAATTGCCTCAACGCACCAAAAATCAAGTGTCGGTTCAATCGAAACGTCATGCCCAACCGATTTGCATTATATGTGGTGTTTTTGGTAGCTAACGGCTTCCATTGTGTGCGTGCAGACACGCGTGCATTGTCAGAAGAAAAAATGAACATTTTTTTTCTTGGACTTGTTGAAATTTGGATTTGTTTATGTATTTCCTACTTTTTCGAAACTTTCATCGTATTGTTTCGGGCACAGACAAAGGTTTAATACGAACAATTCCACAACAGCTGAAAAAAAGTACGTTACCTTGAACTTGATCTGGCCACGTGTTGTAATGGATCACGGTAAAACAGCAAAGAAATGAAAAAAAAAAACGAGACCAAAGCAGCACGCCATCCGACAATGGTCAAATATAGGTCACAACGCATGAACCAAAGCCAACGCCAAAGTGATTTTGATGAGTGATCATAGTAAATCATCGCAAATTGTTACAATCTATTGAAATCTTATGTAAATAGCTAATGTTTTCTCTTTTAATTGATCTTAATTGAAGTGTTAAAAGGCCAGCAAAATGTCAATATACATGTATACTATTCTTTTATTCAAATTCATGTTTGTTTTTCTTTTAATCGATTTTTACTTATAGAAGCTCAATCAATTGTGAGAGACGATTCAAGTATGGCTCATTCATGGCAATAAGAAAATTCATTTGTACGACGATGACGACAACAAAAGAAAAATCATCAAATACTGTTGTGTTTTTTCTTCTTCCTCGAACAAAAAACTAGCGATTCGCCTCAATAGTTTAGGTACATTCACGCCAAGTGAAGAGCCCACTTTCTTCGTCTCAAATCTTGTGGTTAACATAATTTATTACGAAATAATTTTAATTTGAATTGTGAAATGGTTAATTGAGTCGCGGAAACATTGCGCCGAATTTCGTTTGCAACATCGGCAATTCGGTGGCGATCATGTCGCAAAACTTCAAATCGTCACGGTATTTCTTGACATTTACTTTGATGTTGATGACTTCGGTTATGCCGGTTTCTTCGGTCATCACATCCGAACCGTAAATTGGGCTTGTGATTTTGCTGACACGTTCATCGAATGATTGTTGCTGCAATTTTTCCAGCACCTTCAGATCAAACGGTTGTGCTGGATCCTTTTCGAATGATTCAACTTCCGCTTTGTATCGACCCAACTGCTTAATCTGTTGCTTTTCCAGCTGATCGAAGTTTTTCCAGTATTGTTGACACTCTTTGATGTGGAACACGCTTATGTATGAGTTCAGGGCAGTTAGAAGCAGTTCAGCGTGTTGTTTACACGTGAGTTCACTTGCAGCACGTCGACTAACCTTCTGAAGGTACGGATACTTCATGACTGGAGCACTGGATGTGTCCGCTGTCTCACTGACCGTTGTCTTTACAACATTGTTGTTCTGACCGACGTCTTCGTTGAAATCATCGCCAAATTCCGATTCGATTTGTTTCAATGAGAAGTAGATACTTTTCGGAGCCAATGTCACAATTTTGTGGTCAATTTTCGTGAGGAGTGCGGTGATCAGGTACAATTTCAATCTCGGGTGACCAACGATCTTGATTATCTTGAGCCAAGACCCGACATTACAACCAACAATATCTAAACAATAATGGGAAAAATAAATTGATAAATGTTTGTTTTGAATAGAACCAAAAACCAATTCAAAACATCTGTATGACATAATTTCATTGAATTAAACGTGATAGAATTGAAATTCAACTGCTCACCGAAAATAATTTTAGCGAAGGAATCACAGAAATAGCTTTGATTTTGCACCAGCTGCGGATAGTCGGTATCTGGTTTGCCCGGTCGAACTTCACGCAATTCGAAAATATTGTAGATCAAGTTCACCAAACGCTGCAGTCAATAAAAAGTTGAACACGGATATTATCGATTGAATAATAATAATGATTGAATGTTCAAATATTGTCTAAAGAAATATTTTTTTCATTTTTACACCACTCCAAAACCAACTAAATACTTATTTGGAATTTTTTTATTGCCATAATCAAACCGTAAAATTACTCACACCAAGCACTTGCGTGTATTCACGGGGGAAATCAATACTGATGTAGTTGACATACAACTTCAAAATATTCTTAATGCCAAAGTTCACATCGGTCAATTCATCTTTCGACCACAAAACCGTTGAAATCAATGGATTCTTTAGTGCGTTTGAAATCTTTGCACTTGGATTTGGTAGATTTCTAGGGGAAAAAATGATATTTTAGTTAAATTTTCAAGAATACAATAAGTTGAAATCATGTAAATTACTTGATGGTCCACATAGCCAAGTCGATTTCGAAAAGTTGAACGAACAATGCCAGCGTAAGAAACAGTCGATCAATTTTCTCTTCACGCTTTTGATTGTCAAACTTAAAAAAACAATGGTTAGAAAAGTAAGCAAATCAATCACATCCAATAAATATTCAATGATGTACAAAAAATATCGTCAAGTTTGACATAAATATCGTCAAAAAAAGATGGTTCAGTGTTTTACCGAGTATTTTTGTGCATTTTTCGATTCCCATTGCTGAAAGTTGAGAAGTTGCAACGAGTCGTTGAGTGAATCGTTGAAGGAATCTTGTACCAAGTATGACTTTCGGGGTGTCATGGTCTTTTTGAGTGGCTGAATCACATTTTCAATGCAATGTATGATGTCGTCGAACAGTGTTCGGTTGTTCAAGAGCTCATCTATGGAATGTAATTAAGTGAAAACATCAAGAAAAAACAAACACGAATGCAAAATATATGTACGTACTGGAGCCAAGAATCAGATCCTTGTTGGTTGCTGTGATCAAACTGCGATATTCAGTGTTTGCGCCTTGCCAGCATGGTGGAAATTTTTCAAAGATGTTGCCAATTGTGAATGCAATCATATCGATGGTATTTTGCACTTCGTATTCACCGTTCGATGGAGCATTGATGCACTGAAATAGGGAAAAAAATGTAAAAAACGAGATTGATTCGTGATTTCAATCGATCATAACAATGAATAATCGTTTTGAATGCTTACCAAAATCAGTTCAAATAATGATTGCAACGCACTGCGGCCAGGAAATTTGTTCTGTACAACGTCCATCGAAATGGAATGAATGAACATAAGCGGCTGTTTGTTCTTCAGAAAGGTTTGCGAAGCGGTTTTGTTGTCCGAAATTGGAATGTTCTGAAAACAAATTCAAACTTTTTCTTTTAGTTCCACCAAAAGCAATTCACCGTTCATTCAATCAATTGTCAAAGATAGTTGCTAGTGCAACAACAAAACTTACCGTATTTCGTGCATGTTGTTCACTACAAGCCTTTAGTGATTGTGTGCACTTAGCGGGAAATGTGAGATGCAATCGTTCAACAATATTCGCATATTTCATGGTCAATACATGTTTGATTGCACTGTGGCAGGCGATGAGTGCGGTGTCAACGATGCCATTTTGTGTTGATTGGCTCGGTACGGTTTTCGAATCCAAATTCAATTTATCCTTATCGTTTGTAGTGACCGAGTTATCGTTGTAGTGGCGTCGTGTCTTTCTTTTGGTTGGATTTGGCGAATGTGGAATTTTGTGTTTCTTCGTCGTGTCGTGATTTTCAACACGAGTTGATGCTTTTTGGCGTCGGGTCAACATTTTTCTATCTATGCTAACTAACTATGTCTAACTTAATTGAGAATAATCTTAACTAGCGTAACACTATCCAATGTTGTTTGTACAAAAATGTGCTGACTCGTCGAACAAGTCGTCTTGATTGCGTTACAGTTAACTGTGTCGAACGAATTAGAATGTGTCCGAGCTACAACAGAGTGACTTGTCGCGCACAGCGCTTACATTGCTTGTGTATCCCTTTCCAATTGATAGAATGACTCTTAGGTTGAAAAGAATGCCGATAAAAATGAATGCTTGAAAAAATGCAGATTTACAAATCAAAAAGCTATTGTATTGCAATCCGTCAGTTTGAATATTTGACAGTCACAATATGTTGTGCGAGTTTTTGTGTGTGTGTGTTTCGTCTTGTGTTGTTGTTTTTTAGAACCCAATGGTGTTTTGTACTAATGCGGTCGAACTGTCAAAGCGACTGAGCAACATTGGATGTGAGCAACTCTGTCGTTCGCTCTGTCAGTAGCTCAGTGCCGTTGTTGAATGAAGGAATAGGCAAAAACAAGTGAGAATTGAGCAACACAACGAAATAAGGTATACACACAGAATGACATTGTAGTGGGTTGACAACAATATACTGAACATAGAATTTTTTTTAGTTGTGCATTTTTGTGTATCATAGAAGTGTATTCAAAGTGAAACTGCTATCAAAGTAAACCAAAAAAAGTGTTTTTTTCTATTCATTCTTATCAATTCCATTGATTTTCATTTAATTTGTGGATTTATATTTGAACAGAAAAAAATTCGACTGTTGTTTACATGGATGAGTCAAGTGCAGTGAAGAGAATATACTGATATCAAGATGTAGCGAAGTAAAAAAAATCTATAATGGTAAGAAGCGCAACTAAGAAAGGACTTTAGAATAGCATTGAATGAATTTTGGCTCAAACATTTATTTACCAACAACCAAATTATGAGATTTTTTTAAATAATAAAATTGAGATAAACAATTGATGAAAAGAAAAAAACAATCGAATCTGATGAAAAAAAGGATAATGGAAATAAATACTCTGCGTTTGCATTGATTGAATTTCTCCAGGCATTTTTTTGTCCTTGCTCCAAGCAAAATACCATTGTCAACCATGAAATTCTATTCTATCATCGCATCCAGTCCCGTTCATTTCATGTTCAATTAATCATTACAAATTACATCATTTGAAATGGTTGCGACCGGCTATGGAACAGATGATGATGAAAATGAAGGGAAAAAATCGCCAAACAGGAAACTAATTTTCATTTCCTCGGTTCGATACTCTCGCATGTAAGCGTGTGTAACACTATTTACTACTACTGGTCGCGTACACGTAAACTATGTTGAAATGCAATGCCCGTGTGTGATGTTGTTTACATGCAATTGATTACTATGTTGGCTTGGTACATACGGTTTTGTATTCATTGCTTGCATTATATCGCATATGTTCGCAATGCAATCCCATTTCACTGAGTGCCAAACAATTTCGGTCATTTTATCTAAGTGATATGACCCGTTTGATGTGCGTCAAACCGAATACTCAATTAATTTCTGGTATATTGAAATATGATTGACGATAAATTGATTTCAATAAACAGATGTGCATTCAAAATTTCCATCCAATACACTTAATAACAATATACAAATGGTCAACCAACCAAGGGAGAGAGAGAGAGAGAGAATCGTTCTTCACGAACCGATTTTATATTACTCAACTCCATTGAAATATTCAGAGTGTTGTAGCTCGCGCGCGCTCACTCCGGCATGCAATGATTAGATAAAATAAGGTGAAACGAAGGAAATTATGTTTTTTTTCTCTTCTTCGTCGTCTCCTTCTGTTGGTTTTGAATTTGTGTTTTTTTTTCTTTTCGTATGTAGGAGAGACACCCAGGAACGTGTGTGTTGTTTTATTGCTCTCACGTGAATCAAATCAACCGTGTACAACATTAAGTACGCCACAGAGTTAAGCACCACAACTTCGACCAGAAACTTATATATGCGTTCATTGTGTAGTATTATTAGTTTTCTGTCTGCTTTGTGCCAATGGTTTTGGTTCTTTAGGTAAAATGTTATGAACTCGCTTGCGTGCATCCCACGCACATGTTTCTTCTTTCTTTTTTTCTTACAGAAAAGGCTTTATGAAATGATTCGTGTGGAGTATGTCTTTCTTGTGTCGATTTTACTATTTGTTCCGTTTGTTGCGATGCTTTTCGAAACAAATCGATATTCATGTTGCATACCATTTTCGGTTATGTGTTGATTTCATTAAGAGCTGGGGTTGCATTTTGGTTCTTCCGCGCGCGCTCTCCATATATGTGTTACTTTGCACTCACAGTTTCCACTGGTTGGAGTTCAATTAGAGCCAGAGCTCTTATAGTCTGTGTGATGCTTAATTAAAATTGTAGTTCGTACATTTTTTGTTGAACAGCATTTGCATATATACGTATTTCTTTTTTTTTTTGTTATATATTTTCAGATCACCGCAAGTTGTTCCAGTAATTGACCTCATAATACAATAAGCCCGTTGTGTTAAAAAAAACACTACACTCGTGCTCGCTGCTATGACTATCAACTGTGCAGCGATAAAACCTTTGATGTCATTTTATCGCATTTAATTTCGTGTGGCAATCGATGTAGAGACTTAAACGTAAATTGATTTGCAATGCCACAAAAAGGTTCGGTCGCTATTTTAGCATCTCATCTAATCACTCCGTTTGTGGATCCGCTCTACTCCGTGTTGTATATTATACGCGACATACAAAATGGGCACACAATTTGTGGAAAAGTGTAAAAATTGGAAGCATATTAAGTGGAGAACAAAGTGTTATCAAACTCGAATGAAAAAAATTCATTGAACCGAAAGAGAAGAGTTTAAATTAAAATATTGATAAAGTTAAAAGGAAAAAAAAAATAAAACCAATCTAAAATTCGAACATTATTTGACAATTAAAACCACAACAACAATACAAAAAAAATTTTTTTGAATGTTCATGCCTACAACCAAGTGATAGATGCAAATGACAATAAATAATCGATGAAATTGAAATTAACGAACAAGAGAATAGCATCAGTTTAATTAGAAAGCAAAACACGTCTGCAGCACAAAATTCAAATGAACTTTAAATCAATGCTTAGAAATCCCCATTAATTAATTAATTAATTAGTCAAAGGAATTAGTTGTGAAATTTTAATGTAATAAACAGTAAGTGCAACATTAAAAGTGCCATATCATAGTCAAGTACTATCTAATATCAGTACAAAACAACAGCAACAACAGCCACAGAAAGAGGCAAAGAATAGAAGATTGTTAGCGGCATCCCGAGAGAAGCGCGGAAGATAAACAAAATAAAAACGTATAGAAAAGAAAAAGAGCGCAGAGAATAAGTATCAATAATGAACGCAGCGAAAAAAACGAAAATGCAGCTTGACAATGGCAGCACAGAAACTGGTTATGTACGCATCGCTTGGCACCATCAACATCATACAATTGGATATGCCGTGAAACTGAGGAATGCTCTGAAAACATGGTGCTTTCAAATCATCAAGAATGTTAACGCCAAACACTGTGTGAGCGCTCTGATTCTACTCACACTTGGCACCATCATTTACTACACACACTACGTGGATAATTCCCCGTTTATTGGGTAAATAAAGAAAATCACTTGCATCTGATTTCGACATTCGTTCGGATTATTGTTTTATGTTTTTTTTTCTACCCACATTCAATTTGTAAATCATTGAAATTTCATTGGAATTGAATTTAAATGGATTTTTATTTTGATTTTCTATTTACAGCCTAATGCACCATGATACTCGACCGTCGCCACTGGTGAGGTGTAGCATGAACAACGGGAAAACCGATGATATCGAAGCGTCCAAAGAGCCAGACCATCGATCTGATGCCAGATTACGAATCGATCCAAAAGTGCTGGTCATCGTCGAAACCACTTATTCGCGCCTCGGCCGAGACATTGCCGAGTTACTTGTTTATAATCGGATAAAGTAAATTTATTTCTTCTACTTATTTGATATATTGTAGCTAGGGTCGAAAAAATTCTCATCTCGCCTATTATTTCTTTACAATTCCATTTTCGATTTAGATATAAGATTGAAGTGGCGGGCAAAAATTTACCAGTGTTAACGAATTCGGATAAAGGTCGTTATGCGGTCATCGTGTTTGAAAATTTGGATAAATACCTGCACATGGATAACTGGAATCGAGAACTGATCGATAAATATTGTCGTGAATATTCCGTGGGAATTATTGGTTTTGTTGTGTCGAGCGAAGAGACATTGGTCGGCGCACAACTGCGCAATTTCCCATTATATGTTCATACGAATTTACGATTACGTGATGCCAGTTTGAATCCAGCATCACCAATACTGCGGTTAACGCGTGCTGGTGACACGGCATGGGGTCCATTGCCTGGTTCCGATTGGGCCGTTTTCCAACACAATCATTCGACGTACGAACCATTGGAATGGGCACAAAAAAACATTCTAGACTATCCCACGAACGATGAACAAGTGCAACCACCGTTGCCAACTGTTGTTCAAGATCATGGCCATTTTGATAATATTCAACGGGTTTTATTTGGCAATGGCTTGAAATTCTGGTTGCATCGCTTGCTATTCCTCGACAGTTTATCGTTTTTGAGCCATGGGCAGCTGAGCTTAAGTTTGAATCGCATGATTTTGGTTGATATTGATGATATATTTGTCGGTGAGAAGGGTACACGATTACAACCGGACGATGTACAGGCATTGATTGCCACGCAACAGCGCATCGAAAGCATTGTTCCGGGTTTTAAATTTAATTTAGGATTTTCGGGAAAATATTTCCATCATGGCAATCGTGATGAGAATTTGGGCGACGATATGCTACTCCGTAATGTTCAGCATTTCAATTGGTTTTCACACATGTGGAACCACCAGCAGCCGCATTTGTATGACAATTTAACCACATTGATATCGGAAATGCAGCTAAACAAAGAATTTGCACGGTCCAAAGGAATACCAACCAATTCGGGATATTCCGTGTCGCCACATCACTCGGGCGTTTATCCAGCACACGATTTGCTCTATGTTGCGTGGAAAAAGGTGTGGAACATAAAAGTGACATCGACCGAGGAGTATCCACATTTGCGGCCAGCACGATTGCGACGTGGTTTTATCCATCGCAATATAATGGTGTTGCCGCGTCAAACATGCGGCCTATTCACACATACCATGCACATTGATCGATACCCTGGTGGTCGAGACAAACTCGACGAATCCATTCAAGGTGGCGAACTATTCCAAACAATTGTCTTCAATCCCATCAACATTTTCATGACACACATGTCAAACTATGGTAGCGATCGCCTGGCCCTGTACACATTTGAATCGGTGATCAAATTCCTAAAATGTTGGACAAACATTAAATTGAGCTCAGCACCACCGCTACAGTTGGCCGAAACGTATTTTAAATTGCATCCAGATGAAATCGATCCGGTGTGGGGAAATCCGTGTGATGATCCAAGACATATCAAGATATGGTCAAAGAATAAGGGATGCGAATCGCTACCAAAATTTTTAGTGATAGGACCTCAAAAGACTGGGACAACGGCACTATACACATTTTTAAATATGCACCCGAATATTGTAAGCAATTTACCCAACGCCGACACATTCGAAGAGATTCAATTCTTCAACAAAAACAATTATTATCGCGGTCTCGATTGGTACATGAACTTCTTTCCGACGCCCAGCAATGCCAGCGATAAAATGATGTTCGAGAAATCCGCCAATTATTTTGACGGCGATCTCGTGCCGAAACGTGTTCATACGATGTTGCCGCACGCAAAAATCATCTCGATTCTGATATCGCCGGCGAAACGCGCTTACTCCTGGTATCAGCATACAAGAGCGCATGGAGACTTAATAGCGAATAATTATAGTTTTTATCAGGTACGAAGATTTGATTCCTATCGAATCCCAATTATTATTTTTTTTATTTTTTTTTGTCTGATTTTCGTTTTATTTGTGTAAAAAATTGTGTAGTCTTATGGACTTTATTCTTCCTGAGAAAATGCTAAAATAAAACGCTTTGTGCATTTGCAGATAATAACGGCTAGTGATACAGCGCCAAAATCATTGAAAGATCTTCGAAATCGGTGTTTGAATCCGGGCAAATATGCGCAGCATATCGAAAAATGGCTCACATACTATCCAGCCCAGCAAATTCACATAATTGATGGTGAAATGCTAAAACTAAATCCAATTGATGTGATGACCGATGTGCAGCGATTCCTCAAGGTGTCTCCCATCGTTGATTACTCGAATTTACTTCGATTTGATGTAAAAAAGGGCTTCTTCTGTCAAATCGTTGATGGTAACCATACAAAATGTCTGGGAAAATCCAAAGGCAAACAATATCCACCGATGGAAGAGCGTAGTTTCAAATTGCTTCAAAGGTAATGGATAAACATCAAATTGGAAAAAGTCAAATCGAAATTGAATAAAACTAAATGAGCACTTGTCCATTTTGCAGATATTATTTAAACCACAACATAGCATTGGTGAAATTATTGAAGAAATTGGGATCAAGGCCAATTCCACAGTGGTTGAAAAGCGATTTGAGCAACAAACCGTAGCAGTGAAATTATTGTGAATATTAATTAAACAAAGAACAGAAGAAAAAAAATTGTAAATGTGTTTTTATGGTGCTGGTCAGCGTTTGCCGAGAGCACTAACCAATTCTCATTAATTAAGAAAGAAAAAGGCAGCTAAGAAAACGAAATGGAATTAATGGGGAAAGTCTTTATTGTACACAAGTGATGAACATAACAATATTATATTATTACAAATTTTGTCGATTGATGTTAATGGTGTGTGACATGTTGGAGTACAAAGCAGAAATTTAACAAAAAAAAAACAACGTATGTCAATGTATTTCCAAATTTCAAGCCCATTTCGAACGATTAGCAAACAAAATTTCAAACAATTGTCAAAAATTAATTAATTTAAAAGAAAATCCAACCAAACTTGTAAATACAGAAAATTATATTTGTAAAGAGTGATTTACAAATTAGTCATAAAATTATGGTTCGCACTGAGTTTGCGAACGTCGATGCATTTGGGCATTCGAAGTACTCTCGAACTCAATATACAAAGAAAACGAAAAATTGATTCATTCAAGGCCCAAACATTTAAATTTTACCGTTAATTTACTCAAGTACGACGAATTGTTGTTGATTTCAACGAATAAAAAGATGAAAAAAATATATAGTCAAGTGAACCTATTTCGTTCTTCTTTTTGTTTTTGGTCTTGTTCGCTATTTTGCGCAGAATATTTCGTTCGTTTTATGGTAAGTACGTGGCTTTTTGTAGAAGCACTCACCTTTGCCAACAGCAAAATAGGATTTTTTTTATTCGCGTCATTCTGTTGATGTAAGACGTACAATGTGGTCTTCTTGTTGTTCTTGTTCATTTTGCAATTATCACCTTACCCATGATGGGGTAAGATAAATAATGTCTGTTAAATAGAAAAGATTCATTTTTGGGTTTTTTTTGTTTCCTTTATTTTATCTTTTTATCGATTTTGACACCGTTTGTTGCCTTTGGCATTAACTTAAGACGACAAAAAAAATATGATTTTATCTATATGATGATTTTGTGAACAAATTCTAAGTATATACAATTTCTGCGATGTTAACGAAACGAAAATGAAAGCTGTGGCTATCTGAAAATATTTATTCGATTTATTTATTTTTTTTAAATATTTTTTTGTTCTCTTTTTCTCATATGACAAATTAATCATAAACATATTTTTTTATTTCAAACCTTTTGTTTACATCTGTTTTATTTACGAGTAGCTTTTTCTTCTTTATTGAGAAAATCTGTTTCATTTAGTCAGAAAAATGATTTTTGTTTTTTTGTAATTAGACATTATTTTGTTCGATTTTATTGTAAGGCATTCGTTGTTACATAGATTAGTGTTGTTGTTGGTTATTTCTTTTTCTTCTTCACAAATTCAATTTAATTCTCGCCTAAGCTGAACATCAATCGTTTGAATGAGTGGCTTTGATGGATGGTGTCGTTCGATTCGCCCAGCGCATTGACCTACAAATAGTACTAATGAATAGGATTTCAAATTAATTCGGATGGATTGTCTGGATGATTTGGTCAGTGTTTTCAACCAATACGTTAATACTTCGTCATTGCGAAGAAGAGAAGCTGAAATTTAGTGATCCGTGGCCACACTGTGTGTTATATTGCGAAAATTAAAGCTAGATAATAAAACTGCACACGGTTCTGCATAAAATTGTTTGTTTGTTTGAATTTTTTTTTTAGCATAGTAGAAGTTTGAGCGCGCTCGAATCGAATAGAACTGTTTTGTTGTGTTTTTTTTAATGAACGGGGAATGGATCAGTTCGGTGAAGAAAATTCTCGATTTTGGTTGTTGTTTAGCATTAGTGAAATATTTTCAGTTTAGATTAAAAATTCTCAACTCAGATCTAGTAGAGTTAAAAGCCAAATATTTTCGTATTGGTACTGTCAAATCAGGCATATTAATTTTTGGGAATTTGTTGCTTCTTCTATGGAAAGATTATGGGTGATTTTACTGTTGTTGTTGTGGCTGTCATTTAGAATTGAAGCGATGACAGAGCAAAAACTACTTCGGAATCATTTAGCTACTTCCCAATACTTTTTGTTTGTTTATTTTGGTTTTTTGTTCAGATATCATTAATAACAATCCCGAGCAAAATTGATCAGCTCAAAGATATAGGGTTGAACTTACGTTGCTGTAGTTTTGTGGTGGTGGAGCTTGGTATTGGGCTTGAGCTTGGGGTTTCTGAATAGGTCAATGGGTGGAGAAACAAAAAAAAAATACACAAAATGATAAGAACAATGGGTTGATTATGAAGTTGGCTATTGGGTTTTGAGCGAAAGATACGAAGAAGGCTTGTACTTACTCGGCCAGGTGCTGGTTGATATGTTTGATGCTGCACAGTGATTGGGATCTCATGGACTCGTGGAGCGCCGAATCCTTGTTCGTCTTGGAGAGCGCGATAGGTTTCGCTTTTCGATGGATCAAAAACAACAGTTTTCTTGTATCTAATTTTTTTTTGCGATTTATGTGTTTGGTTGAGGTTATTTTTTGTGGTTGGGTGTTTTTTTTTGTCACAAAAACATTCGGTAATTTTTTTTATATTATGAAAAAAGAAAAACAACAACGTTATTGTGGGCATTATTTTATAATCAAGGAAATACAAATAAATTAAAATCAAACAAAATCAAGAAAAAAAAATAACAATTACAATGCGACATTAAAGATAATTATGTCAATTACACATTGGTTAATTACTAAATGGCTAAAAATAGTGCACGGTTGCATAGAAAGCGAGGTATTTTGTGCACAATGTTAGTAGCTACGTGATTTGATCAACTATTTCAAATAATTCCGAATTGTGTACAAAATGATCAAATCAACATCAAGGTGATGCTGCTTGAAAAAAGATCATGTTCTCTTTCTTCGTAGGTCAACAAAAACTGATTCGTTAATTTAAGCTACATTTTATTTGCTTTGAGCAATTGGTTTGAAATTAACAAATGTTGACATTAAAATGCATAAAATCGAATGGGAATTGACGGTAAATTTTTTTAACAGTTGATGTTAATAATGCTGGATGTTGATAAGGATATCGGTCCGAATCACACCCACAATCTGTCATATTGCACCGCAAACAATGTCAACATTCACTTTGTGCAAGTCTGTACTTTTCTATGTTAGCTCATCTGGCTCAAAGCAATTTTATTTATATATACAACGAAACAAATGCCAATAAACACTTGCAATGGTGGTATGCCAAATTGTGGGCCAAATGTAAATCGCGTGAAATTTTGAATTTACGGCCGTGTTTTCAAATCATTTAATTAAACCATTCAATGGATTGGTCCCAGAAACAAAAAAAAACTGACGATTATTCAAATCTTGCGAATAAACAGTTGTGTGCTGGAGGGCGTTCTCATTCGAATTTATTTAAATATCAAAAATAAATTTCGGTGTGGTTTGTTTTTTCTTCATGAAAATGTGTCAATTTCGTTTTTAATCCACTGCATGGAACGTTCGCATTTTACCGATCGGAAAATACGTTGCGATTAGTCACCAATGTGAGCGTTTTTACATTTTGATATTAATAAAAAAATGTTCAATGTTTCATGTGGTTGTTCGATCTGTGTGTGTCTGTCTGTCGTGTGTGAATTTTAAGAAGCTAATGTGATGGCGGATGATTGAAACTGAACGGTTGATAGTTGTGAGTGCGTCCTAGTCGATTTTGCTGTGCAATGCGTTGTTTACGTTGTTGCTCCGCAAGAATTCTATTCTTTTCTTCCAGAAACGACAGATCAATGAAAATGCTGTTTGGTCATGGATACATACATAATTTAATAATGATGACCTTGACATTATGTGCACTACAAATTAAAATTGCGATGGTCAATTGTTCGCACAAAGAAAAAATCGAATATTATTTCTATAATTTCAAATTTTTTTCAGCCAATTTGATGAACAATCGACAATGGATTGATATTCGTGTTTGGCCAATTAAAAATAGATTGTTTCGCATTTCTTTTTCAACAGATTTGTTTGCTGTCTTCAATTCTTAGAAATTGTCTACACTAAAATTATATAGGTGAACATCATCAATAAATTTTGTTTCGGCGATGCAACACACGATATTGCATGCGTGTTCTGCCTGATGAACAGTGATAATTTGCGAATAAATGGTAAATGATCCCAAAAATCAAAAATCACGCAAATTCAACGAGAACAATCATTGAATTTTAATTACCCGTCGGTTTTTGATGGCAACGGACTTATTGGTCGCTCTAGCCTGATTACATAATTTAATTCGAATTTCAGAAAAAAAAAAGAAAATTCAATTAATTTAGTTTTTCCACTCAATTCATAAAATAAACTGTTGACTGCTTTTGATTTTCGATTTGCTTTGTTGTTGTTGTTGTTGTTGTTGTTGTTGGTTTTTTTTCTCTTTTTAGTTTGTTTTCTCAAAAATTAAAAGAAATTAAATGCTCTTTTAGTGTGAAAATAAGCAAAAGCAACGGCTGCAAAATTATCAGATGATGTATTTTTTGTCTAAATTTTAGTTTCTACGTCGTCATTAGATGATCTACCATTTGTTCAAAGCAAATTAATTGTCAACTACGACATATTTAATAAAGCTAAGTATCTACAGAAAAATGTTGTTCATTTGGTTTGTTTGTTTATTTTTTTTGCTACAAGATTCATGATGAAACTTACGGTGTGGTGTGTGGAACTGTTGAGCGTATCGTTTGTTCGATGTTGCCGTCCGAGTAAAGACCAATTGGAGAGTTGAATTGCTTATGGGCAATCTATGTGAATATGATAAGATTGATTGAATCTTGCATTTCAACAATGGTCAAAGACATTGGTTACCTTGTTTCCAGTGTCGCCTACAACGCGGTTAAGATAATTGTCGCCATGCTAAAAAGAAAATATACATCATCATTTGGTATCCTAGATGCGTTCACTCGTACTAAAAATAAGTGAAATAATTTACTTTTTGCCGCAAGAAGTTCTCTTCGACATGTGGCGCACGGCCACGCATCGATGGATTTGGATGGTGTCTCAAGTAGCATTCATTGGGAACGACTTCCTTCTTTACCTTGGCTCCTGGCAAAATCAATGGAGTCGTACGGTATGGCTGTTGAATAGAAATAGAACCAATATGGCCAATTTTATAATCCCAAAAGCAATTTAATTTTAATATCTCAAAGCGATTCATCGATTCCGCCGAATTTTGTCGGTGTTCATAGTTGTTGTTCGTCTTTTTTTTCTTTCTCGCAAATAAGTGTTAAATTTGTGTTTTCTACATTTTGACGTCATTGAATTCCATGTACAATCATATTTTTGATGTTGTTGAAAGGAATCCCACTCGCCGTCGTCGTTTGCGAGAGTCTAAAAATAAGACAACTGCTGGCAGTGTTGAATAACTGAATATTCTACATTCTGACGACTCGATATACTTTTCTAAGCGAATTATGAAAAAAAATTTTATTCGTGTCTAAATAAAATAGCCTACACGTAGGTTATCAAACTCAACCAAACGTGTTTTTCTTATTGTTTGTGTCTTTGCTTTCGAAGTCATTAGAAAGTAAGAGCAGTGTCGGTTTTAATCGCTATTTTTTCTCCTAAATTAAACGATTCAAAAGAAAAAATGAAAAAGAAAGGAAGAAAAAAACTATTTCAAACGGCGTGTTGAGTAAGGTTTTCGTTTTCTTCTCTTCTCTCTACACACTTGATGTGAAACGAATTTTGTCCTTGGCAGAAAATTCGGTTTTCTAAAAATATACGCGAATGTGAGGAGAACCAGTTATATATTTGTTTCGGAACATGAAAATGTGATATTGAATTATTCTTTTGTGAAAGAAAAAAAAAGAAAAAACAATTTCTTACTCAAAGATCATACCGAACGGCTGGTAAATATATAGAATACATAACGACCGTGCTTGAATTTGACGTTTCAGTGGAGTGTGTACAGGGTTTTTTTTGCTCATTTGTTTCGTATGCGATGACAGATAGAACGTCTTAACCTCAACTTAGATCAGTTGAATTGGCGCCAAACATTAATCGAAAGCAGTCATTGTGTGGAGGACAAGCAATACCAACCATATCGTTTTATTTGTGCATTTTATTACCGATTTTTTTTTTAAATTGTTCGAATGATTTATGTGTTTGTTTGATTTTACGGTTTTTTAATTGTTTGAAATAATTTTGAAAATTGGAACATTACGAGCAATAAAGAAAATATGTCGACAAGAGTGACACGATCTTCAACACGAATTTCAACGGTTGGAGCTAGTACACCAACAACTAAAACAAAGTCAGCTGTATCGGAGAAGCGACGTCAGCGTAAAAATGTACACGATGTGGATAATGGTGACAAACAGTGCAACGGTGATTCGAATGCTGATGATGTGCACGTAACACCGCCAAAGCAACGAAAAACATGTGCAAAAGCCAATGCATTGAGTCCATCAACGTTGTTGAATCGTTTGAGTATCGGTGCACCGGAACACAAGGAAAATGAACCAGAAATTGTGCCAGCCAAACCGAAAAGTAAAATTGATAATGCTCGCAAAGTGCTGAATGCTGCCGAAACCGAAGAGCTGTACGGCCGTGAAAAAGAAATCAACGAACTCAATGAGTTTCTTTCATCGAATCTTGATAAGAAGACGTCAGCTAGCATTTATATCAGTGGTCAACCAGGTAAATATTGCAGCCATTGGAAAATGGTTTCCATGCAAAAAATTATTCACTTATTCATCAAATCCAATCAATAACTACAAATGTATCAAATTAAACTCTGATAACTGTGTCTGCTTTAGGAACTGGCAAAACGGCATGTATTCGAAAGCTGTTGGACTCATCCTCGGCGAAAAAATTCAAAAAGGTCTACATCAACTGTACGAAACTGCAAACACCAGCCACCGTTTACCGTGCAATTTGTTCGGAGCTGAATATCCCGATGGTGACCGATAAAAATGCCAATTTGAAGACCATTCAACATTACATCTGCAGCAAAAGCCATAAAATGGTGTTGCTGGTGCTGGACGAAATCGATGAATTGATCGACAAAAAGCAATCGGTATTGTATACAATATTCGAATGGCCGGCACTGACCAATGCCAAAATCGTTCTCATCGGCATTGCCAACTCGTTGGATCTAACGAATCGGGCGCTATCACGACTGCAAACACAATCGACTTCGGTGAAGCCGCGTCTCATGCATTTCTCACCATACACAAAAGAGCAAATCGTAGACATTTTCAAAAATCGTTTGCAAGCAGCTGGTGTTCTGGATGTATTTCCAGTTGCGACGATTCAATTGCTGTCGGCCAAAGTAGCTGCGATGTCTGGTGATATTCGGAAAGCGCTTGACCTTGGACGGCGTGTGGCCGAAAAGGCAAAAGAGACCACCAATTTCAATGCACAAAATTTAAACGATGATCTCGGCATTAGCGAAATTGAACCGAAACCGGAAAAGATCGAAGTAAAACAAGTGCTGAACGTACTCAACGATGCATACAGTACGGCAAATAAATGGGCCGATGACGAGAATGGTGATGCGATTCCATTACAAGAGAAAATTCTGGTATGTACGCTGCTGTTGCTGTTGAAACAGTCCAAAAATAAAGATATTACGGTGGGTCGCGTGCGCGAAGTGTATGCGAAAGTGTGCAGCAAACGGGGCATTTCGGCATTGGATGAATATGAACTATTCGGCCTTTGTTCGCTGACTGAAACTAAAGGAATCATCAAAATGATCAAAAATAAGGTGGCGCGACAAACAAAAATACAACTGCAGTGGGACGAAGATGAGATCACGAACGTTGTCAAAGATAAGCAGCTGATAGCCAATATTCTAACGGATGTTACAGTTTTGAACAAATGAATTTATTGTATGCTTTGCCATCCATTTTGTCGAGCGAAATTTTTTTTTAGGGATTTTCATTAGGCATTCTAATTTCGTTTCTTTTTCTTGCAAAATATTGGAAGCTCAACGGATTTATGTTCTCAAAGTATAGTTTAATGTAATCCTCAACAATTCGCCAAATCAATAAGTTAAGTTAAGCTACCGCTTCGCAATTTCGATTTTCGACACAAGAGAATCTATACGACTCAGAGTTAAGATTTATAATGTATAAAAAAAAACATTTGATTATATTGAGATGGATTTGCCAAAGAAATGGTCGTGGGTCGATGTTTTTCGCGAAAAATACAGCCCAATATATAGTTCGTACGGTTGGTTATATACATTTTATATATATATACATACACACATATTTACATAAAGTAGCGATAAACGACATCAAACATTCTAAGATGAAAAATCAAAACCGAAGCACATTTTTAAAAATAGAATCCCGATTTTTCACGTACAGCACTTGAGTCTTTCTAGTAATTTCGAATCAATGGAATGAACAAACATACGGATCATACTCTTTTTCCAACAGCTTTGCATCCATTTCCGTTTTTTTCCATGCGTCAAATTGTTGTTTCATTCGTTCAAATCGATTTAAATAAAAAGAAAAAAACGTTTGTATTTTCTTCGGAAGAATATGATCATATGTATTGTTTTCTCAATCATTCATATCATTTTCATTTTTCTCATTCTCATCATAGACAAAAGGAAGCATTATTTCGCCATAGTATTTATTTTATGTTATTTTATGACCGTTTAAATTAAGAATTTCTAATGCCGGATGTATATTTAGATTTGACACTGATTTGATATAATTCTGAATTTATCCGTATTAACCTAAAACGTATCAGGCACTATGAAATAAATATCGGATTGACTTCAGAACCACTTTTGTACTGGGGGCGCTCATTGCTGAAGAGTCGCTCAAGAATTTCATAACAATTTAACGTATTTGAATTCTAATAAAAGTGCAAGACATTTCGACTATTATTGCAACAAATCATGTGCCCTTTTCTTTGATATTTTTCTCTCCCCAGCGAATTTGTGTTTGCGTCGAATTAAAAAAAATTGGTCACACCCATTCAAAAGTTGTTTACAAAAGTGTCAGATAGTTTGATATCTCAAATTGATGATGGAACGAGATAGAAGTGTCTCACATTTATGATCAAAGCGGAAATGAGTAGAAAATGAATCGATTGTGTGTCTTACTTGATGGCCAATAGCTTCGTCACTAGCTTCTTGTTGGGTGGCGTAGTGAGGATGGACAATGAACTTGGTGTCAGCAAGAGGTCTTCCACGATAGTATGTTGCCATTTTGAATCTCCTTTCTGTTCTTTTGCTTTTCAAACTTTTTTTTTATTTCAATCAGTTAATTACAAATTGAGTAAGGAACTTCTATCACTAAAGAAAATAAAATAAAATGACTCAAGCTCAATTATTCCGGAGGAAAAAAAAATCCAACTATAATCTCTCTTATGGCAATAGTATATCGCGAAGAAACAAAATAAACTCTTTTTTTTTTCTTCAAAAGAACAAAAATAATACTTGGAACAAAACAAAAATCGCTTAACTTATCAAAGGTTCACAAAATAAATAAACTGTTCTTATTATTTGACTATAAAATTACTTTCTTATCAGAAAATCATTCCAATTTTATCGAAGAAAAAAGAAATAATCGAACGAAAAGAAAGTATGTTTATCAAAAAGTCCAAAGAAAAAACTACTATTTCGCGACAAATTTTCAACGAATGTTGGAAAAATGAGAGAATTTATTTTACCGTTAGCTACCAGTGAATCACTGTGTTGCACTCAATATATCTCAACATCAACTGAAGCCACCGAAACTTTGATGATAGAAGATTCAGACTTTTTCCGAAAAATACGGCTGTGGCAGTTTTTTTTCTTTCGCTGCCATTGAGCCGAATTCACAGTGAATAGAAATTCATCAACAACAACAACAACACCAACAACAAAAACATAATAAATAATTTGACCCTGTTTGTATGTATAGTAGATGGTGGCTATCAAACAAAGGAGTATTGCTTGGAGTATTGGTTAACTCTTTCTGTATATACATATGCGTGGCCGCTGTGGATTTCAATTCGAATTCGTGAAAATGTGGGCAAATACATCAAAATGGTCCGGTGGGTGATATGAAAAAAATATGAAATATGATTGTGTGCGTATGTGTGTGAGTATGAAGGAGCGAGAGTGTGAACGAGATGATGACGATGTTTATTTATGCAAAAGTAAACGGAAAATATAGTAAAATAGTGAAGATAGAGAGAGAGTGAGAGAGAGAGAGAATAGAGACCGCAAAAAATGATGTTCACGAAAATACGTGGTGCCTTTGTTTCTCCTTTGCGCGTTTATCCTTCGATATACCACCATGTGCGAAAATTTGTATAAGCATACATTTTGTAAATATTGTGTAAGATTTTAATTTTAGTTGTGAGCCGGGAGTTCACATCATTCTATCTTGAGATCTATGATCGAGTAACGTATATACGTATATATATATTTCAGCCAAGTCACATTTGTTTGTTTGAATTTCTATATGCTTTATCCTTTTCACGATGGTGTGATCGCCAAATTCGTGTGGTTGAAATAGCAAATGATCATTTGAATCTATCGAATAAAACGCCTATGTACTTGGAATGTACGCAATGTTGGCAGCGAGACAGAGACAAAGATAGAGACGGAGGGAGAAAAAAGGAAGGCGCATGTTTTGGAGATAATGGCCAACACACTAGAGTTCATTCGAAAATTCAAGATTCATCATCTAACATGTGCCCGCCTGCGTCTCAATAGTCGCTACATAATGTAGCCTACATTAATCATCCTTTTCATTTCATAACATTGCCAATTGGTTTGATGTAAAGCATTAAGCAACGAATGTCGATGGCAAATCGAAATAAAATCGATTTCTCGTTCGGAATTATTGCCGCAATTAAACATTAAATTCCTTCAATCGATTTATAGTTGTTTTCTACAAGCATTTGTTCGAATTGCTGTACAGTGACCAATTCTCTTTTCACAAGTATTTCGTCGAAAATGCTCGAAATTTTCTTTACATCAAGCCCATGTCTCGATTGTGTTTGACTTGCGCAGAGTCTGTGTCCTTCATTTCGTTTGGATAAAAGTCATTCCCAAATGATTCATACATGAATCGCTAGCGTGTGTGTGTGTGTGCGAGAGAGATCGTGTTCATGATCTCATAGCGTCTTAATCGATTCGCATTGGCGACGTCGCCGACGAAACGATTACGCATGTGTAGCAAGGAGCATGTGCATGTGCGTGAAACACATTCAATTCATGAAATCGAATCGTGGTTACCACATTTTTCCGTGTGCGCTTGTGTGGAATCGGACACATAAATATAAAATTGCCTCTAAAATAAAATTGAAACACACAAAAAAAGAATAACCGTATCGTCTATATTTATAGCGACTATATTTGCTAAGACACTTGTTTTGTTATTCAACTGAAACAAAGCTGATGTCACGACGTGAATTTCATGAAAAAATGTAAACATTTTCGCAAAAAAATAAAATTAAAAGCAAGACTCAAGCGCGAAGTGTGTTCGCGTTTTGTGTGCTTGGGCATTTTGAAAAAAATAAGTCAGCATTTTCACTCTGAAATTAAATATGCTTTTTTTTTTGTTTTCGCTACAAATTATACAGAGTGAGTAATAAAATGGGGAGAAATAAATTTTCCATTTTATATGGAAAACATTTGGTTCGGTATGAATCGATAAATCTTTTTGGACAATTTGCAAATGGGAGCAGATTTCAATTTACCTGAGATGTGATGGCAACTTGTTCTTCAAGCACTTCTTGTTGATGATCTCTGGTAGGCATTGGGCTGAAATTTGAAATCCGTGAATTTGGTCGCGATGATCCATTGTCGCTGGCTGCATTAAAATTGGTTTGTGGCAATAATAATGCGGCCTGTTCCGCTTGTTCATTGAAATCGTATTGCAGCAAATTTATGTCGTGGCGATACGGTGGTATAGCCGATGGGCTGCGTGATTTTTGGCCATCATTTCGCATATTCGATGCGACGACCATTTTACTGTCACGATGAACCACCACTCGAATGCGATTGCTGGCCGAACGAAACAGATTTTGAGCATCAATATTTCGCATATCGCGTGCATCATATTCCTGAATCTTGGCAATCACATCGCCTCGCACCAAACGTCCATGGGCTGGAGTTCCAGCGAGAACCTACTCAAAATCATTTCGAAAAAAAATTAAATTGCATTGCATTCATTGGAATTCATCAGGATGCGAAAAGAAACAAATCACAAACTAAAGTTTCAACCAAAGGAAAAATGCACAAACAAATCGCTTTCTGTGCGATCAATAATATTTATTTCGTTCATTCACACACACTTCCATTCAGATGTAATGATGTGTCAAATTGATTTTCCGTGCAGTTGCAAAAGGATTTGATTGAAATGGCTGTGTATGTTGTTGTTGTTTTCATACCTTTGTTATAATGAGCGGTGTGTTCAAATCACTTCCACCCACTAAACGGATTCCCCATGGCGTTTGTGGCCCGTCACGTTCAAGATCAATTAAAAATTCGCGCGTTCTCGAGGTCATCGTTTTGAGTTTCACTGCCTTCCCTATAATATTATTATTTAAAATTTATTTTTCGTTCGGTTATTATTGTTTGGTCACAAGTGCGAAAAATATACCAACACCTAACACACTGTGTTCGTGTTCAAGCCCACAAGCCTCGATCGAGATGCACACACAATCTTCACGTCGAACAAATGCAAATGACACAAACCAAACTGTTTACGTTTTGGCGTTTTCTTTTTCGGGGGCGATCGATTTTCACTTGGTTCGAAAAATAATAAACTCGAAGAGTCACGATGCGCTCGCTCGCTGAGAGTCTCTCAATGCAAACAAAGAGTCAACTTGTTTTTTGCAACCATGTAATTAGAATGTAACGTTCGAACGTGAAAGAAAACTCCCGTCTCGAATGGTCGACTCACCGAAAAAACTGAATGCTGATTGCAAGTACAACGAATACTTAAATTTTGAATGAACCACAAAAAAGCACACACAAGAAGAACGAAAGAAAAAGCGAAACAAGAGAAGAAGCAACGAAAATCAGTGCTTATGAATTTTTCTCGACGACGTAGATGTAATAAAATGTTGTCGAAAATTCGTTTTTTTTTCTTTCTTTTTTCTACAAAAAAAATACAAAACTTTATGTGCACTATTCAGCTGATTCAGCTGTTTTTTTTTTTTCAATTTTGTTATTATTCGTTATCTCCTTTTTTCCTTGAATTCAATTTATGTGGTCTATTTATACGAATTGGCGTACATGATGTTTTAAATATCGAACAACGAGACGAACTACATTTACTTCGGATTTGATTTGTTATTTTTATGTCGTCGTCGTCGTCGTCGTTTTCTTCTGAATCTGTATTTCGGCAATTTATCAAACACAAACTCTCCTACAGCACACAAAACCAAAGAACATGCAGTTGCTCCGTTGCATGCAGCCAATTTCTCGCTGTGCAACGAAATCAATGCGTAATCAAAAACTCCTCCGCAAAGCCAAGTGATTATCCCGTATTCGGTGCAAAAAATAAAGATCTAAACTCTATTGAATGAGAGAAAGAAAGAGAGTACGTCGTGCTTGATAGAATTTCAGAACTTTATTGAGCAGAAAATCGATCAACACATTGATTGAGTCGACCGATTCAAATTTCCCAAAACTGATGATTGCGATTGATTCAGAATTTTCAATATATAGCTTCCGATTTCTACGAGCATTGCATAAGCGAAACGAAATGTTCAATTGAATCAACAAATGTGATGAAATGCTTTCAAGTGCATGAATCAACTTTGCGATCAATAATTTACAACAAAACAAAACATTAAATCGCAAGCAATCCGCTTACAAGCCAAGCCAATTCAAGGCAAGACAAAAACAGAGATCAACCAAAGTGCCGAGATAGTTTCAATTGGAGGAGTTTCAATATTATGAAAATCAAATGCGCCATTTGTTTTGGCTTGTGTGCGATTCATATCTTAGGTCAGTAAACAAGTCATGTGCGGTATCGAGTAGTGTTGTTTTTTTGTACGAAAAAGAAAAGCATACAAACGATGCTTCTTCGCAATTCTTATTGCCATCCGTTCCAATTTTCGTTAGCCATGAGATGGGATGCATACATAAATGCGGTTTTCATTGAAAATGCTTCAAAACAATTCTTTTTATTATGCACTCACCTCGGCAAATGAGTTTTCAACTAAACTTAGAGTTCGTCGATAGAATAAGTCGAGGAGCAGTTTATTTTGGGTGGCACTAAATCTAAGCCATCAATATGGGTAACTGCGGTCTTTTTAATTATCCTGAAAATTAAAATTCGTGGGCTGTGTGAGTATGTCGTCTCGATCACGAACGATTGGCCGTCTCATACCTGAGAAATTAAATAATTAGGAGTGATGCACATTCGAAACTACGAGAGAGTGTGCGACCACGCACGTTCAAACTAAATTTCTTGACCTTTTTTTCTGAATCCCATTTTTCACGGTCACGTGAATTTCGACACAATCCAGACATACACACACACACACACACTTGACGAAAATCAAATAAAACTGTCTGCTGATGATTTGTTTTACAAAATTGTTTCGTAGTTTTTTTTTATTTTTATTTTATTTTATTTTGCTTTGATTTAAATAAAGCGAAACATCTTAATTTCGAATGGAAGGAGAATTATAAATGTAAATTGATGACGTTTGATTCCTTCTTTTTTTAAGGAAAAAAACACGGAAAACATAACAAATAAGTTTCTAAATTCATAAAGTACAATGGGCACAATTTGATGAAAAGTTTGCATTGAAATGATGATGAAATGCGCTGCTCTTCACGTCCATCGGAGTTTTGGTTGTGATTTGTGTTTTTTTGTGTGGTATTTTATTCGTATTGTGGCTCAACCTGGATGGGTTGTCTGATTTGTTGTTGTTGATGTTGTTGATGTTGTTGTCGTGGCGCCTGTTGACGGTATTGCGATTGCTGTGGAATGAAATGTGGTTGTGGCCGCGATAGTTTTCCAATTGAATTTTCGGGTGCTGGTGTGGGAATTTTTACTACGATATCCGTGGGTTCACGAACTACGTCCGCTTTAAAACCTTCCTTTGGATCAGCTGTGTAGGTGACGGTACGGATGAACCCGTCTGAGTCAACAACCGAATAGCTGCCCTTGATCACATTTCCATCACGCACTTCTTTACGTTGTTGATAGTTTGTGTACTCATCGTCTTTAACATCGAAACCAAATTGATACGATGAATTTCCCTGTAAATACACCGACGAAAACAAAACGGAAAAAACAATTAAATATTTATAAATTAAATCACGTTCTGTAAACTTGCGTACGCATAAGTAATAATAGCCCAAGGAGTTAGAGATCGAGCTTAGCAATAGCTTGGGTAAGTGAGGGAGTGAGAGAGAAATAGTGAAGACAAGCGGCTTGCATCAGATTAATGTGTGTCCGACAGATGCCTAATTACTGATTTGATTTCATAATGTTTTTTTTTCTTCATCGTGAGAGAGAGAATCTTCAGATAGATTATTATTAGAGTTGAATAAACCGTGGCAAAACTTTCATTCACGCGTCGCTTGTGCTTTACTTCTCTTTGTTTTGTATTACTGTGTAATTGTGCTCGATTTCGACTATTTTATCATTTTGATGCAATCAACTCTCGTTTCGTTATACATTATTGATATACTTTCACTGGGCGTCAAATATGTGAATGGTGCGCCATATGATGAAAGAAAGGGAAAAAAAAGATTCAAATAAATGCGTACATCGCATATTCATTATTATGTGTAAAGAGTACATTTTATTGCCGGTTTTTTAAAATGATTTTTTGTTTCGCGCAAAACAATTTCAGTGCTTTTTTTTCTCTTCTATTGCTTTATTTGTAGCCATTCATAGATCGGTTAGTAAGTTGCGTACTGAACCATTGATGTATGATTATACTGTCACAATGATCTTATGGCCAAGATATGGAGCCATATTTATGACCTAACGGCTGTCTGCTGTGAACCATATTACAAATCAATATTGAAAATTATGCCGTGGACACCGCGTGACGAGAACATGGAAACTTTTTTCCTCTCTTTGTATCTGTCAAATGATCTGCGTACCATAAAAACGGCAATAAAATGCAACATCGAAACGGCTGATACCATTGGTACAAGTAATGCCGTTACGTATTGGCATTTCATCGTGTGTGTGTGTGTGTGTGTGTGTAGGCTGTTTGTGAGTGAGTATGAATTTGATGAAAGTGAATCATTTGCGTATGCGATTGCAGTCAAAATATCTACAACACAAACTGTAGCTGCTGCTGTGTTTTCTTTTTGTTTGTTTGTTTCCCTCACGTTAATACGCAAGGTAGTCACATAAACTTGCTCAGCTTGCGGATGTCTCTAAATTTTCTGTTTCTTTTCTCGTTTTATGCTTTGCTTTCTCTCTTTTGCGTCGATCAGACCCATTCACTCTCACTTTCTTATTTGGCCAATTCAGTGGTTACACCAAAAACACCGCCGCGCGCCGAGAATGTAGTGCTGAATTGAAAAGCACGCGACGCGAAAGAAAACATCGACAACATAAACAGAGAAAAACAAGAGGCATGAATCAAATTGTTCTCATACACACTAACAATAGCCAATGCTTGTTAAATTGCTCGAATGGAGTCATGCGTCAAGCAGCGGTTATACAATATATCTATATATATGTGTACATAAGTATGAATGCACGTACAGTTTTTTTTTTTCTTCTTTCTTTCATGTAAGTGGGTCGAACTTCATTTCAGAATAGATTACATGAAGAAAAACATATGAAACAGTGTATCGGTAATATGGTTTCATTCCAGACAGCCTACAGATATTGAATTTTTAACGGTATCACTTCATGGCGGCTGAAATGATCGCTTGTTCAATTGAAAACGAAATCCATTCGCAGTGTGTTTCGAAAATCAATTCGATTATGTATTTGAAATGACATTGTATGTAATATCAGAGTGCAGAGCGCAATCCATTGCCTCGAAATGGAAGAATCGGTTGCGGTGGCGACAAATCCCTGTTTGAGACAACAGCACGACATCCACACAGCCGCTTTGTGCAAGTGTCAATTAATTATACTAAATCGCGAATGGCATCAATGAACTCGCCGATTGCGCGTCTGATCACACAGAGACTCGATTAAATGACAGATCAATGAAATGCTCTCTCTCTCTCTCTCGCTCTCTCGCTCTCTCTCGCGCGCGCGCGATGAAGAGGTAGAGAGAGAAAAGATTATAGCGCAAAACGAAAGAAGATAGAGATTTCACGTGCAATTTCATTGCCTCGATTTAAATTTGTAATTATTGTTTTAATGTACATAAGAGTCAACGATTACTTTGCCAGTTATGAAACGAGTTGTAAGTATTATTGAAGCGCGTGTTGTTGGTTTTGTTGTTTCTTCTCTTCGTCGTTGGTGTGATTTGAGTTTGAATAATCGATGGTTTGTGTGTGTGTGTGTGTGTGTGTGTGCATGCTGTACATCTGATCCATTATGCATGCGGATAGATACAACACATATGACGACGGACAGAATGACTTCGAACTCACTCACGGTGTCTGTTGCCAGTTCGCGAAAGTGCATTAACTCCATATACGTGTGCAGAAACATATTTTAAAATAAAATCAAGCTCAAAACCCGTTTCCATTCAAATTGTCAGTGACTTTATGTCTGAGGCGAAAAGAGAAGAAGAAAAAAACGCACACACAAATTGAAAATGAAAATGAAACTGAAACCCGACATCGGCTCGCATAAGGAAAACCAGCCGCAAGCTGCACACAACAAGCCAAGAATATGAATTGCATTTACCATAGAATCACACGCCATGTTTACAGTTCGATGACAATGATTACGTGCAATATTTGCCACATGAGTTGAACCAAAGTGTGGCGGCTCAATTGGCCGATTATATTATATTCCAACGGCGAACATCATACGCGCGACAAAATAATTGCGTGCGTCTGTGTGTGTGACCAATTACAATTGTTTGCCGAAAATGTATTTAGTTTTCGGTTGGAAATGAAAATTAATTTTATGTAAAAGTATATCAATCAACAAGTCTATGTGTATTACGTAAAAGAAAGATGTGTGTACATGTAAAGTGACAGAATCCGTTTACGTGTAATTCCACCGGATTATAGGCTTTTACACATTTTCTACCCGAACCACACTCGACTCACTTCTGTCTCTCAGATTGGTGTGGCGCGCACACGAAAATGGCCAGAATCATTTGATCATGTGAACCGTTTGTGCTAAATTATTCCCCTTCTTCTCTTCTTTCAATTCGTCGCGCAAAGCAACATTTATATTTGATTTAGTTTTAGGCGCCTTCGACTTTTTAGAGTGCAATTACTTTACACGAAACAGAAAAAAAAGCCGCAAAATATCAACTACCAATCCCTAACTCTCTCAGACACATACACATGATTCAGCACCGCTGCGGTGATATTTGACTCTTGTTTCGTTATATATTGATTTTAATTCGAAAATTAATGCAACTAATAAAGAGCGGACTGTGTCTCATTTTTCATTGGTCTTTAACATTTTATCACGATTTAGAATTTAGTGAATGGATTTTGCTTTTGTGTCTGACTAACCTCATTTTCTTCTTCTTCTTGTTCTTCTGGATCACGTTGCGATTGGTATTGCGGTTTTCGCTGTGGGATGGCTAACGTCTGTTTGGTTGGTGTTTGTGGACGATTGTATTGAATGTGTTGCTGTTGGTATTGGGGTTGATATTGTGGCTGGAAGAATAAAATGAACAAAATGAAATACCAATTAGCCTATAATTCGATTGATTTATTGACCCATTGTTTCGCCAATAAAAAGTCTTTCAATTTAAAGTGTTCAAGGTAAGTGTGCGCATCGTTCTTGTAAAAGTTGTTCAATTGAATGTCTAACCGCTTTCAATTTTGTCCAACTTTCTATTAATCACGTCAATCATCCGATCAATTCCGAAAAAAATGACCCAATTTTCGACTTACCTGTTGTTGTTGTTGAGTATATTGCCGCACATTTGGTACTGTGTATTGTGGCTGTTGAACTCGAATCTAGGAAATTGAAATGTATTCTTAGAAAATTCTTGCTTCGGAAAATCTTGATGATATTTTTCTAAACTTAGCACATCCTGAAGCTTATTTTTACGGAAATTCTAAGATTCAATTCAACGTTTATCAAGGGATTAATCGTGACTTTTAGATTCAATCCTTTCTATTCCTTTTTTTTCAAAAGAAACATATTTCCTTCAACAAAAAAAAATGACGATTTTCCCTTATCTTCAAAGCGAAAGTGAAGCAAATCTCTTACTTGATCTTGAACGGGATCACGAACGCGGATTTGTTGTCCAACGGTGGCGTGGTTGATTTGTTGTGATGGTTGGAATGCTGTGTTTTGCTCAAAGATTGGTGTAACATCCGAAACGGATCCACGGATTGCGCCTGGTTGCTGTAGTTGCGCATAGTAATCGCGCAAATAGGCTGGTTCAATTTGTTGTTGTTGTGGACGCGCCAAGATCATTGGCAAAAATATGGTTAACAATAGCAACGTATTCATTTTGAATTGTTTATATGCTCTATGATGCTATCTCGCAAAATTCTATATTAAGATCACTTTGAATATTTGAAAAGGGCACTCGCGAACTATTCGCTTTTGTATGAATAAATAATTGCTTCAAATTGAGTCAAACGAAATGAAAGAACCGTTACACAGCGATCACAATCGAAATGGCAACGAATCGAACTTCACAATACAACGTTAAGATCGGTATTGTTGTAGCTCATTCACCAGATATTGACTTTTATACAAGGTCTGAGTGGGATATTTCGTATAAAGTTTGGCTACCGCCGCTACTCTCTGCTCTCATGTTCACCGTAATTACAAATACATATATGTGAATTGTCGTGTCCGTGTAGCGCGCTTGTATATTCCGTAGAGCGACGCGAGGTGGTAGGAAATTCAGCTCAATGTGTGCTCACGGAATCACCGCATTTCTTCGCAGATTCATGTTGTTCGATGGAAAAGTGGTTAGAGTCTTTTTATGGTTTAGTTGTGTTCGTGCATGGAATACATGATCAATCATCTTCTCTTCATCCATTTGTGGCCATTCCGTAATTTATGCACGTGCTACTCTCATTCAAGACCGAACACACATATCATAATCTTAAGCGATCACTCTCCTATGTAATCGCTGTTATCAATTGCTGCGAAAGCAACAACAAAAAACCGCGAATAAAAAACATACAAATTCGGCTCTTCGACCGTATGGCAGAATGAATGCGAGTGCAGTACAGTGACTCGAGCATAGAAAAAAAACAGAGTTACAACCAACACCCTAACTAAACCGTACGATAGAGAGATAATTAGCAATAAGAAGTGAAACCGTCGTACGTGTGTCATCGAGCAGCCTTTTATGTCATTAGCTTTGAACGTAATTCATCGAGAGAGAGAGAGAGAGAGAGAGAGAGAGAGAGAGAGACACTGTCGACTGAAGACAATAAACCCGCTCGAAATGGTGCACCAACATTGTTGATTACGCTTCGTGTTGTCACCTCAACCGATTATTCAACTGACTTTGAACTCGTTCATAAATCGCACAACAAGTCAATATGAGCACAACAATCGAGCATTCGATTCATTCAGTCGATTGTGGCCCAGCAATTGCCACGCAATGGCTTCCAAATCGTTTAATTACATCAGACCGAAATTCTCAAAATCAAATTTGATTAATAATAACAAATAAAAAGAAATGCGGCTTATATCACATTAGGCGTAGCAACAGTAGCTGTTGAGTCATTTTAATTTTATATTTTGGCATTTGAAACAATAACAACCAAATGTGGCGAAAAAAAGAAGAAGAAAATAGAAATGTAAAACACTCTCAAATGTTTAGAAATATGTGTTGCGTGGAAATGCGATGGCCAACGAACGGTCTTTGGCGGCACTGGAATTTCCGTGCGATTCAACTCGTGTGGCACTCTACACGGATCGCGGATCGCTTTCCATTTCAATTAGTGTGCTGAATAACAAGTAAAAATTTTCGGACACGTTACCGATGACTGTATTTTTATGCTCATCAAATCGCCTTGTTGAAATGATTTTCCGTTCGTTAAACAAATGAAAGCTTCGCCACTTTATTTGTTCATTTTATTGACAGAAATAAGGTCTTTCGTTTTGACCATAATAATCATAACATGAAAAAAGAAAGGGGAAATTTGCAACAAAATAAACACACACAAAATTTGTAGTATAATTAATTCTCTTGAAGCGCCAGATTTATAACATTGACTCCAGTCACGTGCATACATAGACAACTATTATTTAATTTCAAGCATCGATAAATTCTATTTTTGATGATTTGATGATTATTTCTCCTTTTTCCTCGATTCAGATTGACTCACAGCCAATATATAAATTCGTTTCTGCAGAAATTGTATTTATACATTTTGGACTGGTTTTTAAGCCAGTCGCGACACTCATATGAGGGCAAATGCAACGGCAACTATTCTCATAAAGATCGCGCGACACTGATCCTCAGTCACGATAAAATCGCACGCCCCACTTCACATTTGCGTTTTGATCGGTTTTAATTAGTGTGAATTGTGCGGCGATCGGCCGAAATATGCCAGCCAATTCATCTGAATCGAAATTCGCTGATTGGTGTTGTGACTTTTTTGGCCGATTTTTTGCATTTTTGATCAAACCTGGCATATTTTTCACACGAAAAATTGAAAAAAAAACCATTAAATTCGAATCGAACGATCATAAAAAAAAAATGGAATGAAACTTTTTTTCTTCTTACGTTTAATTGCTGCCAAATGCATGCCAAAGCAACAGATGAAAATGAAAACCATTAAAATGCGCTTTAGAAGCATTTTTGTCTCCTCTCTTCTTTCAACAAACTGTCCACTCTACTTGTTGTCGTTGCTGCACTATGTTCAAATGTTTTCGATGAAACTGTTTAAAATTGAATGAAAAAAGCACCGTCACCGTCACCAAATACGCACGGATACAACGTGTATATCGACCGATTTTGACGAATTTCTACATTCAATTATGAAATATTTACTAAGGTGTCCAATATTTTATACAACCTGGAAACTCAATTGCATTTCGAACATATGGTGAAAGAAGTAGTATGAGTAAATCTAGCTTTGAAATTACATTCCGTTCGTTGAAAGATAAAAAAAATCATTATATTGTATGGGATTACTTCAATCAACAACGACGACGAAATAATAATATTCAAAAAAAAACTGCCACAGTCAGTTCGTTTTGTTCGCGTTCCAATTTAATTCGTTCATTTTCATTTACCTTATTTTTCTTTTCGCAACAGCCCAATATTGCCTTTTTCTATCATAATCGATTGTCCAGTCAATTGGTGTGAATTCGATTTGCCACAGCGAATAATACACAAACTTTCCAAATAAAAATAAAAAGAGAGAAAAAACAATTCATCGAAACACCGTGCTAAAAATCTATGCATACATATTTCACATGTGGTTCTGCTTAGGTAAACCAAACAATCGTAATTCACTCTCAAACTGATACCGTTTTTATTTCTCTTCTCTTCTTTTCGTTCAGCTCTGTCGCTTCTTATGTAAATTTAGTGTATCATTGCTTAAGCCGGAAAAAAGTGTCCCTTTTCAATTAACCATTCAAGCTGATTTGCTCACACCATTTCTACATAAATCGCCGTAAAATTATTCGAACCATTTTTAAGCAAATTATTGCACTTATGTAAGTCGTCGTCAACGCCGCCGTCGACGTTGTGCCGACAATGCACTCAGAATACCAGCAGGAACCACAATAGAGTGTCTCTCTCGTGCAGCAAGCAAATAAACAAAATTCGTCAAGCTGAAACTTTCGTTGACAAATATTTAACACTTCAGCGGTTGTTTTGGTGTGACTGAAGCAATCAATCTCCGTTCTGAAAAAAATCGATATTGCAATCGAACCCAACAACGCTTGTTAAAATGCACCGAAATAGAAATTTGCCCATGAATGGAGGGATTAACGGTGAAAAGCAAAATGATCGTTTTTAATTTCGAATTGAAGTTCTTATTACGTTGGCTCGGTAATTACTGATCGTTTAGTGAAAATGAAAATAAAATAAATAACACCCATTTGATGCTTCACATGTGGTTTTTTGTCCGAGGCGTGTGCGAGAGCGCGCTTTCGGCCCATGCCACATTAAACAGCTTTACGGCACATTTCAAGCATGGAGAATCAGCAAGACAGTACTTCTTCATCGTCGTCGTCTTCGTCTTTTTTAGGTGAAATTTTTTCGATAGAAAGGTGCAGTGCACGGCACGGCACAATTACAAATACTTGTGATGGTTTTTTCTTCTTCTATATTTTGGTTTCGGATCTGTTGGCCGAATGTGTCGTCTCGCTCTCGCCACTCTCGGCTCACACACAACCGAATAAGTTAACCGTGACATTGTTCAATCAATCGTGAGGAATTTCATAAACAATTTTATTTTTTTCTCTTTTTTTTCCACCGCGAATCGGCGGCGGTATGTTATTTTTTGTCATTACTAGCCAATTTCTTCAAAATGGAAACTGTGAATTGGAAATTTAAATGAAATATAAGAAAGAAATAGACGAAACACAACGTCACATTTTTTTTCTGCACTTCAATTGAATGTTATAAATATCTGAACATTTTTATTTCGGCTTAGTCTATTTTTTGTGGTTCAGCAGAGAGAAACATTTAGTACATATAGAGAGAGTATTTTTGTGTGGATAATATCGAGTGTGTTGTTACTGTTTGTTTGTTTTTTCTCGGTGAAATTGCGACAATAGTGCTTTGTCACGATGGCTTTAACAGGATACCCGATTTTTGTGATAAAAATTTTGTTTGGAGTGTGCATTGGACATTTGTTTGCATATCAAATGCATCGACCAGTGCATGGTCCGATGCATCGTGGCGTACCCATTCCGATTCCAATTCGTCCTCTGGACCATTCAACCATTCGGCGATTATCGCGTCGACCAGCCGAATTGAATCCTGATTCAGAACCAGTTTTTTTACCGTTGCATCAATCAAGACATCGTCCATTGCAAATAATGGAACGAATTTCAGTGCCAGTTGATGGGAACCATAACTGGAATCGTCAGAAGAAAGAAAATTTCAATGTTTTGAATTTTGAAGCGTATATGATGAAACCAACGAATGAGGCATTGCCAAAACCAGTAACCGAACGCATCTTACGCTACATCAATAAAACCGAAGACGATCGCGATGACATCCGACAAAGTCCAAGCAGTCATCACAAATACCGTTCGAGAAGCATACCGAAAAAACCAAAGAAGAACCCACACGTGTTGCATATGAAAGAGTTTGATGATTTAGAATTTTATCGCGCATTTCTAGAACATCAAAAACATGCAGCAATGGTGAAACGGTTGAAGCCAAAGCCAGATTCTAGTTCACGCTTACCAATCGGCATCGATTTCTTCGAGAGTAATAAAAAGAAAAATAAAGCGGCATTTCCTCCTATCACGTACTCGCCACTTTATTTGAACAATTTGCATCGATCGCAACAATATGAAGATGTTGAAGCATCAAATGTGCAAAATGTGAAAATGCGATATCCAGATATGCTGAAGAACGAAGAAATACCAAGTACACAAGCAACAACACCATTTGCACATCCAGTCCATGAACCAACAATGCAAACAACAATGATTATGCCCATGGAAAGTGAAAACCACGATGAAACCATGCCGCCACCATCCGAAATGCCCGATGAACCCGAAACATTTCACGGCCTTGCATCGGAGCCAGAGATGTATAAATTTACCATCGATGATGTTGTAGTTAAACCAAATGCGCTTGGTGTTGTTAATAATCCATTTTTGGGTCCAGTAACACTATCGCCACCGGCAATGATGTACCAAAATACACCGCATTCCAATTTTATGGGTCCGGAACATATTTTACCAGCCAGTGCAAATACCATTCATGAAACTCGTTACAATCCACCACACTTTCAAGCGCAACTAAGCTACCCGCCAAAAGTGTATCAACGCGGTACCGCTTATCGTCGTTTCCAAGCCAATTCGTTCCGAAATGTGCCCATCGAAGCGTCAGCATCGTCTCAACAGCAAGTGCACAAATATTCCATTGAACCAGTTGTGACCACACAAATGACTTTTGCTACAGATGCTGAGCAACAAAACATTGCACCGTCAGTGAAAGCAGCGTATGAAATCGATTCGAAGCGTGTCGACAATAAACGGAATAAAAAGCGTCGAATGAACACGGAACGCCACAAACCCGAAAATTCGAGAAAGGTCAATCACCAAAAAGACTTTCTTAACAATAATTTGGAATTTTCTAACTCATATTCAAAGCGGCGTACACAGGGGGTGAACAGTGAAGAAGAGTCCGCCACTACTCCATTAATACCATCCAAATTGAGACACCATAACGACTTCAACAAAACCGAAGCGAAACTACAACAGCAACATCAGCAGCAACAAGAAGCGATCACTACAACAAATGTACCGAAAAACGAGAAGGTTAAATATTTTCAGTAAGTCCAATTTTGTTTTTGTGTTTGTGTGTCTGTGTTCGTTTCGGAAAGAAAAATGGAAAAAATTCTCGGTAATTTGTTAATTTACAAATTTTTCTCTCCGACTAAAAAAAAACAATTAAATGATAATTAGAGACACTCTTACGGAACAATTAACACCGCATCAAATAGATGTGGGTCATCTGAGCGAAAATCCAGCCGGTTGGGAAGAACGATACGAGCGTAAAAATCTGAAATCTCAACGCTTTCAAGGCAAGGTATGGCTTCCATATTCCACTTGATTTTGTCTTTGATGTTAGTGGCTGTGGCATGCAATTTCCGTTCGTTTGTTTTGTTTATTCATTTGGTTGCAGGTGAAATGGGGCGATCGAAAAGGCAACTTCGGTGAACATTACTATGATTTAAATCATCATCGCAATATGAAACAGTCAAACAACACTAGATCATAGCGCAACAACGATATTGATTACAATTCAACGTGAACCAAAAAAAGGAAGAAGAAGAAAAAGAAGAAGACGTAATAATAATTGACAATCTATTTATTTATATGTTTTTTACGCTTTACTTGGCACAAATCGCGAAACGAATACTGCTCACCACTTGGTATATTGGCTTTAAACATGTAAGATCCGTACCGATCGAATTACGATGATGAATGAAATTCTGCACCAGCTGATGACGATGATGACCACATATGATGATGACCTTGGTGTCGATCATTCATCGTTTGTGTAGTGATGTGGATAAAACACAAGATGATTGTATTTCTGCTAGGTAAAACGTCAACAAATGCAATTTTATATTCAGCATTAATGTTAAGCGCATAGAGATTAAGCTGACTGCTTTTGATACAGACAATTTTTATTTATTCAATTCATATCTTTCGTTGTTTTGAAAGAAGTCTCCAAATTAGATGAATTTTTTTTTGAAAAATTAGAGTTGAGTTATTATTTGAAAAAAAAAAACCGTTTGACAATAAAAATGAACAAATAAAGGTTGTAATATTTTCCATGAAAAACGTGGTTTGGTGTTTCCATGGTTCCTTCTTCAATGCACACTGCAAGTGACCAATTTCATTTTAATAATCTAAAAGAAGGAGACAAACAATTATTTCTGAGACGTTTACTCCTTTTCTCAATGTATTTCAATGTCTTTTTTGTGTTATTTTTTATGGTTTCGTTTCTTTTTATTTTAAATTTTCACCAAAATTGGCAATATTCTGGGATTGCATACAAAAATCCAGTACTACTTGAAGCATCATATTTTTGATCTTGAAATCTAGATCATTAATCATCAGGCAAGATCATTCAGGTATAAGTTATAACTATAGTCAAAAATGATTTAACCGTACTTAGAAAATGAAATTAATGAAATTGGAACGATTTCAAGTATGAACATATAAGATGCATTCTAGATTTCAAATTTATATTTAGCTCAACGAAGAAAAATGCGTATAGCTTTGAACGCACTCAATGCACTCAATCCATGACGTTTCACTGTCAAAAAGAAAACTCTCTGTTAAAGTAAAGTGTAAAATATTTGAAATTGTCTGCATATACCGAAATAGCAAAAAGGTTTGTATTTTGAAGCCACAGTTAGATACGCAAAAAAGAGCTTTCATCACTTTCATTATTATCATTGAATTAAATGTTTGTGATATTTTCAACATTTATTACCCGCTTGTATTTATTATTAGCTAGAATGCCGGCACATTTCGATCTCAACTGTGAAAAAGGAAGGAGATGAGAAGAACACTTGAAAAAACCTCCGAAAATATTTTTAGAGATAGATAATTTGATTTCATTTTTATTATACTGTTTAACTGACGACAAATGATCACAATGTATTTTTCTTTAGTATATGCTCATACAACTGAGCGCAGGCCATAAAGAACAGTCGTTGTTTCTGTGAATAGCAGCTATTGTTGCAAACGCGTCTCTTTCTCTGACATAATTGTGATCATAGTGTTCTATTAAGATTCGGTTGTCTTGAATTCAATCAACGTGAAATTGCGGAAAGACTATTGTCCAGTATTAAATAATGGGCCCGGCAAAAGTTCATCGTCAATCGGTGCTTATGTTTATACTTGCGATTTTGACGCACATTGTGTCAGCACTATTGCGAACTGTGATTCGCATCAAACAACCGAAGGCTCAGACATAGATCAATTCCAATTGCATTCAGTCAGAAATCATATATGATAAAAACAACAGTGAGACAACAACCAGAAGAAACAGAAAAAAAACGAGCGCATTTTTTCACGGAGAAGAAATTTGTTTGAGTCATACAGTTTATTTTCACACGATTTTTGTGCATAACAGGAAAAGAAAACGGTGATAAACATCATGTTTGCATTGATAAAATGTGAGAGGAAATTGGTTTTCTTGCTGTAACACGGTTTTGCTTTTATTGATTTGCTACTGTTCAGTTTTATTTTCACATTTGAATTCATTGGCCTATTGAATCACATCACACACCGATCTTGAATAATCAATCGATCATAAACGTCGATTTGTGTTCATTAAATTATTATAATATCGATCTTTCACTCGCTTTCATCACATTAAAACTTATATCATGCATATTTAATGGCATTTTGTGTGCACGCCTCAGAAACTTACTTCAATTCGTTTAACCATTACACACACGTTCCAAGTCAAGAGGTTGACGTTCGCAACCGCCGGATATTCTAATAAAAATTAATAAGACAATCTTTGTATGGAATTTTCCGTTTGTCAATCCAAAGGCTCGCTTCATCATCATCTTTGCTCTTTGTACGAATAAATGAAATTTAATTTACTTGTGTTTGCAGTGTCAAGTGTAGGATGCCAGATTGTCCACACTCAAAGGAAATCATCAACTGTGGCCGCTCAAAATTTTCGCGTAATTTTACAAAAGCAAGTGAATGAAATTCATGCAGCCGGAACGTACAAAAATGAACGAGTCATTTCATCGCCACAAAAAACCATCATCAAGATCGAGGGATCATCAAAGAGCGTTGTCAATTTTTGCGCCAATAACTATTTGGGCATGTCGGTGAGTGCAAAATCGATGAAAATTAGATGAAATTTTATCGATAAATTTCTAATCGTTTTTTTTTCTTCTTATTTTTCAGAACAACAAAGAGGTGGTTCAGTTTAGCAAGCAAATCCTCGAAAAATATGGATCCGGATTGAGCTCGGTGCGATTCATTTGCGGTACTCAAACCATTCACAAAGTACGTGATTGAATGTTGTGATTAAATTAAAGTCGAATCTCATTTTTTTCATTTCGAATAATGTTTTATTGATGGTTTCAGGATTTGGAACGGAAATTGTCGGAATTTCATGAACGTGAGGACACCATTTTGTATGCGTCATGCTTCGATGCGAATGCCGGCATTTTCGAAGCCATCCTAACACCTGAAGATGCCATTTTCTCCGATGAGCTCAATCATGCATCGATCATTGATGGCGTTCGATTGTGCAAGGCACAAAAACAACGCTATTTGCATCGAAATATGGAAGGTTTGAATTTTATTCTACGCGAGGACGGTTTCAATTTGATCAAGAATGATTTGTTGTATTTTGTCATTAGATTTGGAAGAGAAATTGCGATCATCAAATGGACGCATCAAGTTGATTGTCACGGATGGTGTATTTTCAATGGATGGAAACGTAGCACCGTTGGATAAAATTTGTGATTTAGCTGATAAATACAATGCTCTAACATTCGTCGATGACTGTCATGCCACTGGATTCTTTGGAAAGACCGGCAGGTTGGCATTTTACATTTGATAAAATAAATAACGATCAAATTGACGAATAACGATGGGAAAAAGAACATATTTGATATCAAGATTTCATTCTTTCATTCTGAACAATCATTTCAAAGCATCGGAAATACAATTTTTGTTCTGTTTTCTACAGAGGTACGGAAGAGTTCTTCAACATGAAAGGTCGTGTTGATATAATAAATTCAACACTAGGCAAAGCATTGGGTGGCGCTGCTGGTGGCTATACAACTGGCCCAAGCGAATTGATTGATTTGCTAAAACAGAAATCTCGCCCATATCTGTTTTCGAACACCTTACCGCCGGCGGTCGTGGCAAGTGCTAGCAAAGTTATCGATTTGCTGATGCATTCATCGGAATATCCGCAACGAGTTCAAAGCAATACCGAACGATTCCGTAGCAAAATGGTTGCGGCTGGTTTCACCATTTCCGGTGCTGATCACGCCATTTGCCCTGTGATGCTGGGAGAAGCAAGATTGGCTAATGTTTTCGCCGATGAAATGCTAAGTAAATACTAACCATTTATCAACAGTAATGAAACATTTCAAACCAATTTGCTCATTTTACATTTCCTTTTGTTTCCAGAGAAGGGAATATATGTGATTGGCTTCAGTTATCCGGTTGTTCCAAAGGGCAAAGCTCGTATTCGTGTTCAAATATCGGCGGCCCATACCACTGAACAAATTGACCAATGCGTTGATGCTTTCATTGAGGTCGGCCGACAATTGCAAGTGATACCATAAAAATATCGGGAAAAAGAACATTCAGAGCACAAAAAATGTTGAAACAAAGAAATGAAATGATTCCAATGAGATTGTTTTTAAAATATCATCAATGTTGTTTTGGTTTTTCAGTTTAATTATGGCCGAAATGAGATTAATAATGTACACTTTTCTTTTAATTATTCAAAGAAAAAAAATCTTCTAATTTATGTATATATCCATTAAAATTAAATAGGTTTGTTTTTCCTCATGTTTTTCCTTTTCAATTCGTTATTCAAGTGTTTTTTTGTTGTGTAAAGTCCTTGGAATTTTTCGGTTCAACATCACAAGGAATGTGTTTGTTATTCTACTTCAAAAGAACAGGTTGAATGCTGTTATGGATTTCCTGTAGCTGATCGGTTTTGCATTTTCTTTCGTTCACAATTTTTTTTGGCGATACTAAATGTTATTGTGCCCACCACTTGTTCAATGTACACTTGAGAAAAAAAAATTCTCTTCGTTTTATTTGTTTTTTTTTTATTGTACACAATTCGTCGTATTCAACGCGATGACTTCCATTTTTCTTCATTTTTTTTATTCATTTCTACAAATATTTTGGTATGAAAATTTTACATTATATTGTAAAAAACTTTTTTTTTCATTTATTATTAGTTCGAAATTCCTTATTACTTTGTGCTGTCTTAATGCCAGTTTGATAAGAATATTTGGAATGGTATTTTTTTTGTTTTATTTAGTATATAATAACTGTAAATATCTCAAAAAATAGGCAGAAACGGAACATTTTAAGGAATTCAACGATTTTCAAGGAAAAATGGAAAAAAAGAGAAATTGTATGAAATATTTATGTTTGTTTTTGTTGTTGTTGTTGTTGTTGTTGTAATATTTTAGCTGGTCATTTCTAGTGGAATGTTTTATATTAATTAAATTTATGTTTGATGAGAAAGAGGGAGAAGTTGTGGTGTGTGCGTAGATTGTAAGCTCATCGTATCATTTTTCCACTTAGTTCAGGGAACTGCTGTTTTGCAGAGTGAATTTCGTTAGTCGATTTGGTCCAATTTCTCCTACATACATGGCTGATCCATTCGGGCAAATGGCAATTGTGTGCGGATTCTCAAAACCACCCCAGTGATCGATGATTTGTTCGGTCATCGGGTCAATGGTGAAACCGCGAACTGGAATTATTTGCGATGTTGGTCCATTTATGGCGTAAACAAAGTTACCTGAAATTGTGCGTTTTTGGTCGCAATTAAATTTTTTCAATTCCGATAGGAAGCGATTTATCACCACTATAAACAGAATCTCTTAAGTAAAATGAAAAAAAAAAACCTACCAAACGCTGCAACGTCAAATACTCGACCCAAGTCAGGTTCTTGTATCGTAGCCGCTGGTGTTCCTTCGTCCAATGATGTTTTGAGTCCGGCTCTACAATTTGTAACAAGCAAATAAATTTGTTCAATTCACTAATTATCATTTGTCTACGGAGAAATTGAATTATTATTTTTTTGGACTAAAAACCCAATCGATATGGTTTAGCAATTGATCTAAATTATTTTTTTAAAATGATTTGCGTTTACCTCGGGCAAACGACGCGCATATTTTCTCTGTCTGCGATACATATCAAGTCTAAATGTTCGAGCAGGGTTAATCCATGTGGAACTTGAAGTGACAAAAATTCAGGTGGTTGTGGAATAACACGCAAAATTCGTCCAGCCGCATTGAATTTCAATATTCGATTGTTGCAGTAACCATCGGCAACAAATATCTGTTTTAGAGCGAGAATATTGTTACGTTAATCAGTTCTTGTATGTGAACGATAAATAATATCAATGTTCTATGTTGATACAAGTAATCGATGAGTAGTTATCAAGTAAATGCGTACCTCGCCCGTAGTCGCAACAGCAACAGCTGTTGGTTTACACAGTTGACTTGGTATTGAACCTGGCTGGAAGCGTCTTCCGATTGTAATGGACGGGTATCGGGATTTTGGTTTGAATTTAAACACTTGATGCAGTGCAACATCTGTCACCCATATGTTACCGTGATGGTCAATTGTCATGCCATGTGGAAAGAAGAACAACGATGCACCCCATGAATTCAATACTTTTCCATTTGCAGCGTCCAATTTTAGAATTGTATCAACATCAATTGGTCCAATGTGCGTCAACTGGTAATGATTCGTCTCATTGAATGTTCTTAATAAAAGGCAGAAAGAGAGAGAGAGAGAGAGATAGAGAGAGAGAGAGAGAGAGAGAGAGAGGGAGGAAGGGAGGTAGGTAGAGAAACATATGAGTTAATGGAGGCTGTTTGTTGATAATGGCTCACGCTATATAAATGTTGATTGGTTACTTACTCATCAGTCCAAATTCGATCAGCACGATGAAATATTACCGGATGGCCGTCGATACCAATCGAAACAGCCACCACTTGACCTAAGCGCAAATCAAGTTTTGGCCAATCAGCCACCTGATTTTGAACAGAGAACCGAACAATTATTAGAAACGAAATTCGTCCAAGCGAATCGTATGTCATTTGTCAAAAACTGACCTGTGTCGGTTTCGGTGGCATGACCGCTGGCAAATTGTCCTTCAATTTTTCATCGATGGCTGGCGAAACGGTCGTTTCAATGAAACGTTCATCGGCGTTCACGATTGGCGGTGATTCCGTTGTTGTGGTGTCCAGTTCGACCGCAGCAGCTGCTTCCGATGATATTTTCTGTTCCAACAATTGGCGAACTTCATCGAAAAATCGTTCACTAATCGCTTCAGCCTGTTGTTCGGCTTGCTGTTGTTCGTCTTGTAGAAAAGATGGCAGCGTTTCAACGAAGTTACATCGCAACGATGCACAAAGTAAAACAACAAAAATAAATTCAAGAGCCGACCCTGAAACCATTTCTCCGACAAATCGGTTTTTAACTTCCAACCAAAAATCAAGCCGAAATTGAAATTCGCACAAAACAAGTTTGAATTAAACACGGATGCTTATGGTTGAATGTAAGCGTGTGGGCCGTTTGTAAAATTTCCGAATCAAAGGAAATTGTGCTTGCGATCAAAGATTGTGGCTAACATATGCAACATTCAATTCGTTTTTATTCTTTCAAATGAATCACCAAATAGCACAAAACCACAGGCACACGTCGGTCGGTCTATCTCACAGTTGATAAGCGAATACACTTTTCTTTCGATTTTATTCAACGATTCTGATTCTCTCGCACTTTTCACGAACAATTTATTGCAACTTTAGATACACACCGCAATAAATTTGCTTTTTTTACTTCGAGTGAATCGTTTACAAAACCATAAAAACTCTGCGATGATGCTAAACTGGAAAAAAATCTCCGGAATAAAACACACACACGCAGGGAGTTGAAATTTCAGCAGCTTGTATGACTCAATTTGCTATCGATTATTGCGACATGTAAACAACTTTCGAAACATATGTTCTATGCGCTTTCGATTCTTTTGTTATTCGCTACAGTACGATATGTAATGGAAAAGAAGAAACCAGTTGGATAGAACAAAAAAAAATCCAATTCAGAAGTTTATTGTAGTATATATTATCGGCGATGTTGTGGAATCGGACGTACGCGCGCATCGAACATTGAAAAATCGTACATTGGGGATTTGTATGTTTTGTGTGTCTTTTTGAGTGTGCCTTCCTTTTTTTGTAAAATGTATTTGCGCAGAAGCTGTCGCTGCATATTGATTAATTCTCTTCTCGTGTTTGACATGATATGACGATTTCCACAAGTTTTGAGTGTTGTCGTCGGATACGACGACGACGACGACGACGACGACGGCGAAATATTCTTACGTGCACATATAAAATGCTTGCGACAACGCAAAAGCATAGAAAACAAAGTATAACGATAAGTGTTCAGCAAACCAACACAACAGACGCAGTAACTATTGTGTGTATTTTGTTTGTTCGTTGGTTGGTTCGTTCGTGCGGCCGCTTTGAATCATTCATGAGAATTTGTGAGATGAGATGAGAGAGAGAGAGAGGGAGAGAGGGGAAAAATGGAAGACGAATAAGAAAATAAGAGCATTCATTCTATATTATGAGTAGGCTGGCAGCAAATCACCACCCATTAACACAATCAATTTTTGGATTGATTACGATGATGCTTCATGTCGACTTTTGTCTTCATTGAATAAATTATCCGAATATTTGTCGATTTCATTGAAAAATTTCGTCGTTGGCAAGAGGAGAATCTTCAAGAAGAAAGTTTTGATATGGAAAGGCACAACCATGTAGATTTACAACGCAAAACCGATGAATGAATTAAACGAAAAATTCTTGGGAAATAATTACGTTTGTCACAAACGAAATTCCAAGAAAATTAACGCGAATTTATTACAATTGCCATGGAAAGAATTGTGTATTCGTAGTAATTGTATCCAGCCTAATGATACGGACGAAGAAAGAAAGAAAAAAATAGTGGGCAAAACACATACACCGATGTAGAATATGAAGATGCCAGAATCAACAATGAGACCAACCAAGGAATATAGGCGTTTGGAACGGTTTAATTTATCGGCCCATGCCGAAGTAATTGTGAGGATTGAGAAAGAAACGTCGGCTTTTGCATGACGAGATCATAACAAGCATTCCGGTATTGTAATTACTATTAATTTACATCCTTGTGTATACAACGTTCAACCGTATTCATTACACTTCTTTTTTTTCCCAACAAACACATTCGGAGCGACATTATTCCACATGCAGCACACGCCTTTAAACTGTCTTCAATCAAATGCGATTTGCATCAATCATCAATGGAACGACTGCATCGTGTCATTGGATTTAATAGAATTGAATTACCCATATTCATCATATGTATATACACACATCGTTGTTCTATCGTTTTCATTCAGAAACGAGAGAAGAAATAAAACATATACAGCCACCGTTTTTGTTCTCTTCTTTTCCTTCCTCTGAAATGTACGCCGTATGCATTAATCAGGTTGAGCTTTTGATATTGAACAAAATATGTTTTATTTGTATTAATCCGTTTATTATGTCACCAAATCAACACAGATATAACATTGAATTAGCTCAAGAATGCAATGGATAATAATTGTCGATAGATAAGAGTATTTTGTGTTTAATCGCAAGAAATGTCGCGAATATCTCATTTTCTTCTTCTTTTTCGAAATGAATTCCTCTATGCTCTTAGTAAACCCCATTTTCTGCTTAAATTGTCGTTATTTCTCTTGCTTCTCGTTATTCTCGATTGCATTCAAGTGGCCCATCAAAATTATGTCTATTTTAACAATAAATGTAGCGGCGATTTGTTGAGAATAAATGGTGTCGCAAGGAAGAGTATTGAACGAGAATAATAAAAGCGCGTGTCCTAGGTCTCACAAATGATTGCACTAAAACCATCATTCTCATCTCTGGCTGACCTTTTTCATGATTCACTTTTTATTGTTGCTCATTCTGTTTGTTCTTTCATTTTAATTTGCACTCACGCGATGCTACAGTTTGCGCTACGTTGCCGCTATTCTCAACAAATCAATGAAAATTGTATAACTTAGTAAGATACAACAGAAAAAAATCCGCTTCATTTTTATTATTATTATTCGACTAACTGAACTGTTTTTTTTCTCGCTATATTTTTGGGTTTTTACTACGTTATTGCAACGTTTCCACTGTACTATATAACAACATTCAATATACAATATGTTTTTTTTTTGCAAACACCATGTCAAAAAGGCTTCGAAACTGACATTTTCCGTCGCCCATCGATCAATTTACTTAAATAAATTTCATATATAATATTTATATTTCATTTTCATTCGTACAGACATTTTTTTCATAAAGCTTATGTTTGGGTTGTCCATTTTGTCTCCGTTCGGCAGAATTGTGCCTGCGCCTTTTTCTCCCACTCATTACGAGACATACTTTATGAACATATGACTTTACAACATTCTCTATAATAATAACTTCTAATAAAAAAGGTCTTTTATATTGTATTGTGTGTTGTCTTTTCATTGGAAGCCCTTAGAAATTAGAAGAAGACTCTCGTATGTATTGGTTTCATTTTCCAATATTAACCAAAATAAAAGTACACATCTTACTTCCGGAATGAACGGTGGAGCATCAGTCATAGTTTGATGCTTTTTGATTTTTTTTTCTATCTAGTTTGAATTTATATGCATATTCAATTGGTTTACAATGTGTGTAGGCCATTTTGATAGTAACAAAAGGAATAATTTTTTTAATTTTCCTCTCTTTTGGAAATGATCATGTGCGTTTTTGGCTTGCAGACACAGAAAAATCATTTAAATTGTCGCCAAAAAATCGATTTTGATTTGATTGAGTTACACATTTCGATCAAACCGTAGGCCAATCAATACATTTTAATTTCGGCTATGGTTTTTTGATTATTAGTTCAGCAACTTTCGAAGTTTTTAAAAATTGGGCAAGGATTTTCTGTTTGCTAGGAACCTTATTTGCCAATATGTTGGTATCGTTTTGATTTTCGCTTAACGCTAAATTAAGGGCAGTATTAAATTTCGTGTCAATTTCCATTTGCCTACAATCGCTTCCGCTGTCTTTCTCCCTTTCTTTCTTTCTTCCTGTCTTTTTTACCTATCTCCATACCCGGAACATTGGTTTGGTTTGGTTTGTGAATGAATGTTTTTGTGTTGCATGTATGAGTGTTTGTGATGTGATGCCAAACCGGAGGTGTTTACTTCGGAATGTGCTTGTTTCGTGTGTTTCACACACGATTTGGATGCTTTGATCAGGGAACCCAATCCCATGCCGGTTGTGTCCAGATGTATCCAGTGTTTGTCATGGTGCAGTATGCGTTATAATATCGTCCAGGCGATCGACAGTACGAATAAACAGGGCACTTGCAACGGAACAACTGTTGAAATTCCTCTTTACACACTTCATTCCACCAGCACACCCGCTGTTAATGAAAAATATCACATGAAAAATCATAAACCTTCAATCATGCACTAATTTGCCATAAAAAAAATTGTAAAATCTCCTCACCTCTGTCAAGTATCCACGAACGCTTTGATCCGAATAGCTGCGCTTCACCAGTCGCGATTCAATGCATCCAACCAAACAAATTATGGCCAACAATCGAATCATCTAAAGTAACAGAAGGAGGAAAAAAAAACACACGTATGAAGCTTTTTTCATTCATCAAAACCAACGACAGAAAAATAAGAACAGATTTGGGTTTGTCACTCACCATTTGATACATGATGTTTTAGTTGTTGTTCTTCTTTTTTTTTAAATGAAAAACTAAAGTCAAATGTTAGTCGGAAAGAAATGAAAAACCAATGGTAAAAATCACACCAAACAAATATGTTGATACTTTTTTTGTATGTCGCTTCCGAAAGCTCAATAAATTTTCGTTGTATATGTGTGTTCGCCCCGCGAATTTTCACCAATTTATTGTTATTGCGAGCAATTTGTGTATGAAAACTTATTTGGGTAAATTTAGTGGTATTGTTTTTATTTCAAAGTTCATGTACATAGTAGTATATTGGAGAGTGCAAAGAGTGAGAGCAATCAACAAGCGATTTTGAGCGAGAAGGAGAAATTGTGTTGTGTACATGTGGTTTGATGTCTTGTTTTGCATGTGCGAAAACGAGATTTACAGATGTTTCAGTCTTTTTTCCAATTCATTCGGTCGCAAAACTTTACACATCTTCTTTCTATGATGCGACCGAAATGCGGACGTGGGTGTTGTTGTTATATGCGCAGCGATGACGTTAATGCGTTGTAAATTTCGTTGACATACGCAGCCAACACAACCAAATGACAACCGAATTTCAAACGGTTTTCATTCCGGCTCGTCTGAATGCGTTACAATCTGTTTACGTTTCGTTTTTGTTTGTTTGTTGATTTATGAATGCGCGATGCGTGATGATCGAACATTCGAGCACAACCTTTTTCGCGGTGAGTCAAACAAGTGTGCATGTCCACCAAGATAATTATGATGATGATGAGAGCAAGAGAAAATGAAGAGCAGCAATGAAAGCATTCCAAACAGATGACAAGGCAAAACCAATTACACGTTCAAACTGAAGGTTCACACCGTTTTACATCAGAGAATTTCGAAGTTACTTTTATTTCACCTCTATTTATAGGTGGCAGTTTATTTTTAGCCAACAAAATGTACTGAATTAAACTTTCATCATTAGCAATTTCTAGAAATATTTCATCTTCATTTTTTCGGTGTGTATATGTGTGTTTGTATTTTGTTTTGAATATGACCGCAAGTAATGATGTGATGCGAATGAAAACAGCCACCCAAGAAATGTAAAATGATGACTAATATGAAAACGGTGTTTGATTCAGCCGCTGACGAGAGCTGCCGAGCATCAGCAGGCTGAAAAAAGCATGATTACACAGATCGCGCGCGCAAAAACACATAGCCCACACGGTGTCAGTCGTTCTGTTTTTAGAATGCGTCGGAAAAAATTGAAAATTCATAACGATATATAAATTGGCGGTGAGAACGAAAATTCAAGTAGTATTTGATTCTCATTCAAAGCTTAAACACTCAAAAATATCAAACAGTAAGTGATTTCACTACGATACAGTTTCTTCCGCTAGTTTTATGTTTCTTCGTTTCCGAATCGAAAATAGAAAGAATTTCATTGAATAAATTGGTGGCAGTTCTTGTTCAGAGAGAGAGATATAGAAAAACCCCAGTGCTCTTCAAATACAGTTGTTTCATTGTGAATTGTTTTGTTTTCCCATAGAAATGTCGATTGTTCCGCTTTCTTTCCGCGACTGGTGGGATGACTTTGATCGCCCATTCCGTTCATCACGCTTGTTGGACCAAGAATTTGGCACTGGATTGCGTCGTGACGATTTACTCTCCTCATTCTGGAATCCAACACCATCGGTGCTCCGCAGTGGATACGTTCGCCCATGGAGAACAAATAACTTGAAACGCGAAGGTTCAGGATCAACATTGAACGTTGACAACGACAAATTCCAAGTCATTTTGGACGTTCAACAATTTACACCAAACGAAATTACCGTTAAGACCACAGACAAATTCGTTGTTGTTGAAGGCAAACACGAAGAAAAAGCTGATGAGCACGGGTAAGTGCAATTGCATTGCAACCATAACACTTTCAACGAAGCCAAATTTGCAAATCATCTAATCATATGCCAATTTCTTTTTTTCAAATTTTAGCTACATTTCACGACAGTTCACACGTCGTTATAACTTGCCAGCCAACACGAGCCCCAACGATGTTCAATCATCATTGTCCTCAGACGGTGTCCTGACCATCACAGCTGCCCGCAAACCAGTGGAACCAGTCAACACAGAACGCGTTGTGCCAATCACACAAACCGGCCCATCAAAGAAAGAAGAAGAAGCAAAGAAAGAAGCCGCCAGCGAAAGCTCAAAAGTTGAATAAATTCTTAACCAAGCATCTGAACAACTTACGTATTTGAAACCATTATTTTCAGGTTGGGCTACCATAGAGTGTCATAATATCAATAAGCCTTGTTATTGTGTGGAGGCTTAGAACATGTAAATTATGGTCAAAATTGTTTCAATTTTTTTAAATCTATGTTTAGGACTTTTATAAAAGAAAACAAAAACATGCACAATCATTTTTTATGAAAATATACACAATCAAATAGATCAAAACAAAGTCGTTTATATTGAATTTTTGGCACAAAAAAACCCCAACACCACCACCAAGAACTGACGAATGGGAAAATTAAACAACATTCCATTGGTGGATCGATGGTTAGTAGCTTGACAGACGAATAGAATAATTATTGACATAACTTTCAGCAACTCTGATTTCTTCACTCCACAAGCAAACGGCTGAAATTCCTATCGCCACCAACACAATACTCAATTCGATATTATTTTTCGAGTCCATTGGTGGCGAAATTCCAACGGAACGACTCAATCGGACGAATGTAAACACGATAGGTGGTGTCCAAATGATAAATTGGATGCTTGCCAACGTAAACAAAAGGTGTTCCTCATTGCATTACTCGACATTTTTTCTGCATACAAAATATTTATCGGACGAAAAACGCCCAAACTTATGCTATCAACATTGAAAATAACGTTGCAATACCTTCCATTGACCTTCTTCAATTTAGTGGACTTTGCCATAAAAATTTGCTTTGATCGTATCATTCGATTGGTTGAAGCGCATTTGCTCAAATTGGCATTGACATTTTTTTGCCCATTTTATGAATGAAATCAGAAATGACGAATTAAGCAGTAAAAATAATCACTCGAAAATACACCACGACTAGTATCACTTGAACACAAAAAGAAGAAATAACGTTCACATTTGAAGACACACAAAAATATTGAAAAAGTAAAAACAAAAACGACGACCAAATGGAATATTTAAAAAGTTTATTTGAAATGAGCTCAAAATATAAATACTTGATAACTCTTTGTTTTATTTTCCCGGAATCACAATGTGTATGGAATGCATAAAATAAAGCGCCATCTGTGCCATGATTCTTTTGTTCGTATAAGTCCAATGTATTCAATTTGAACGCTCGGAAAACGTTCAAACGTTCAACATCATCATTCCATATAGTATTGCATAGTTCATTTTCCATAGACTTGGTGGCGCTTATATTGTGACAAACGTCAAAGCATAGGATTGTATACATTACATATTGTGATTCCGATTTTCCTAAATGTCACCGTTCCTGTTCATCTCAATATTATCCGTAAACAATCAAATGCAACCAAGCGCAAATTACGTATGAAATTAAGCATATGTCTGTTTAATTAGATCAGCACCTTTTTCTCCAACCATCAAAGTAGCTGCATTGATATTTCCGGATACGGTGTTTGGCATTCTAGAAAATTCAGATATATATGACAGATTTTTAATGGATTGAATTAAAAATGGTGTGTATTAAACACTCATGAGACTTACATTGAAGCGTCGACTACTCTCAAGTTGCTAATCCCTCGAACGTTCAATTGGTGATCAACAACTGCCGTCGGATCCGTGGCAAAATTTCCCATTTTGCAAGTGCCAGCTGCATGATATGTGGAAGCAGTTAGGTATCTTATGTAACATCGATAGAAATCATCTGAGCCACGACCAAGCGCATTACATTCTGGAATCGGCAAATCAACAAATTGGCCACCCCCGTTCTTGTACGCAGTCGTATTGAGATAAGAGACTTGCAGTTTCACCACTCGCAACATTGCTTCCATATCCTCTACTTCGTTGAAGTACCTTGGATTTATGATTGGATAATCCTTCGGTGAGGCGCTTGATAATTTGATAACACCACGAGATTTTTGATGCAGCTGAATTGGACTTACAATAGCTAGATCATGACTTTTGATTTCATTGAGTAAAGCTTGTTTTATTTCATCGGTATAACTGTACTTTTCTAGGACGAGTTCCAGTGCTGATGTTGAATTTGATGGAATATAAAGGAAACCGATTTGAAAGTCGGGCACTCCAGTGCCATTGACCGAATTTATGAAACCACATAACCGTGATACTGCAATTGAAGCCAATGGACCGCTCTTACTAGTTACATATTTATAAATACTATCAAGTTGAGCTGTAGCTGGTATGGCTGTTGGGTTGAATTTAAACCAAAGAAATATGATTGGATGATCCCAAAGATTTTCTCCAACCGCTACATTGCTTTCAATCGGAATGCCCAGCTTTTTCAATCGCTTTTCTGGCCCAATTCCAGATAGAAGCAATAAATGAGGGCTCATCACTGCTCCAGCTGAAACAATCACCTCTTTTCGTGCAATTGCTTTGAATTTGTGAACGCCCATTCCATTATACACCAACTTCACACCATACGCCCGCTTATTTTTTATCAGAATCTTTTCTGCGAACGTATGTTTCATGATATGTAGATTTTTTCGATCCTTCGCTGGAATCAAGAACGCTTTGGCAGCACTCTGTCGAGTTCCATTGTAATAATATCCTTGCACTTTCACATAGCCCAAACCTTCATCGGAATTTATGTCAGCAATATGTTTGTTACCCGACTCAACGGCAGCATCTAAGAACATTTGTTGAAATGATTCCGATCCATCCACGCTGAAGGAATCAACATTCAATGGGCCATTGGCGCTGTGATATTTTCCATTATCGTAGCTCACGAATGTAGAATTGTGATTGTGTTCCCATTTTTTGAAGTATGGTAAAACGCTTTCGTAGTCCCAACCAGGAATGCCTTGATTCGACCAACCATCGAAATCGGCCTTATTTCCACGGACATAGACCATTAGATTTATAGCAGACGTACCACCAAGTGTCTTTCCTTGCGGCCAACCGCACCCTATATATTTTTGAGCCTTACATACTGAATTTGAGCTTGTACGGAATTGCCAATCAATTTTCGTTTTCTCGGTGGCTAGTGACATACTTGGAATCTGAAATCGAATTTGCTGCTGATTGATATATGTTAATTAGATGAAGACAGATCTTCTGTACCTCCGATTCTATTGGTGGATTTCCTCCAGCTTCAACCAATAAAACTTTCCAATTCGGGTTTTCACTTAATCGACTTGCGACCACTGATCCACCCGACCCTGCGCCGATCACAATGAAATCGTAGACGCCAAGACCTTGAAAGCATTTGGGAAGAAATGGACTTCAATTAGAAGGGAAAGAACATTTTAACCGTCATAACCAAATTGTTTGCTGTCAAACTTTGTCTCGCTCACGCCAACTGTCACACTGACTCGTTCGTGTACGAATTGCTGTTAGCGTAAAAGAGACGTTGTTCGCAGTGGACTCAGTTTAGATGTTCTTTGGTCACATATTCTGTATTTGCCATATACATACTCAACATGAAATACCTTTTTTCACTGCAATTTTCCCATAGTCTCGTGGCCACATTTCAGCAGGTGAAATGGCATATTGGGCGGTTATAATTGTTTGAATCAAACTAAGAAAAATTTGTGCTCCTGTTCCAACACTTTGCACACTGCACTGCGATGAAAGTATATTTTGATGACACGACATCATCGACTCTTTCTTAATCCAACGGAGAAATAAATTGCCCTATAAGAAACGAAGGTTCTGATGAAGTACAGAGAAACACTGTTCTAATGAAATGCGTGTTCAAATAAATCAGCTTTTATACTCAATTATTCAAGTGTGCTACCGATTTGATTAAAACGTTACTGCACTCAATTTGGTTTCGTATAGCCAGATTTTTGATGTTGTTTATTTGAACTGATAACATATTTTGTTTCAAATATCACATTTACTTAGCCACCATGAACGATCTGTTTAAATATATGCAGGTTTGCCACTCAATTTCGAAAAAACAAATATAGCTGAAAAAGCTGAAATTTCGACTCAAATAGCTACAAAAATAGCTGACCAATAAAACACCAAAATTGGATTAGTGGATGCAATCTAGTTCGTTGACATTTTGTCTTCTGTTTTTCTATGTTATTTGACAAATTTACGCAATGATGAATCATGTCTACAGTTTTTGTTTGGTTTTTTGATGAATGATAAGAAACAATCTCATGATTTCATCGATAATAATCCTTTATGTCTTTTAACATGAGCAATTCATGTGTTTTCTGTTTTTATCAGTGTCCATTTGCTGCGTTAGTGCACTATACCCTTTATTTTTAACATTAACTGTGGCTGATTAAACAGAAACACTTCGAATTTGCTATGATGGACTAAAGTACAGATAAACCTTAGCACTAGCAATCTGTGCCATTTTTCATCAGGCGTCTCCACTCGCATTGAGTTTGTATTGTAAATGTTAAGGTGCGTGCAATGCCCTTCAATGTAAAAAACAATACAAGTGGAGATACACGGGATTTATCTGTACTTTTTTTAAGTTGGACATTTTTGTCATCGAACCACCCGTTGGATAAGCTAAAACTGTTCGAATGTTTTCGGATATCTTTAAATCTGTCAAAATAACAGATTAGAAATTATGCACGATCCTTACCAACCTTTCTTAAATCTCTATAGCTCTTCGCACTACTTTTATAGGCATGGATATTTTTGAACCTTCATAAATCTTAACAAATCTTAAATCCCGTGTCTAACGCCCGGTATCAAACTGAACTGTTCGAGCCGGTCTGGACAGAATTTTCTTATCTTTGAACTCATTGCTAAAAGACAACTCAACTCAATAATATGAAGTTTGGCGTAGAATACTGATTTTAATTCGAACCGTTATATGCATTGATTTGTGACAGTTTCAAAGAAATTCAGAAATCTTTGCTGTTAAGGTAGGTACAAAGTTCCCCGTGAAATGAAAAAATTTCTCCGGTGAAATTTTCACAGGTGATATTTGTATGGTTGTTTTTTTATTCTTGAATTGCAAGCATAATGATTTTTGATGTATGAAACAGTTAACTCCCTCCAATATCAACACAACACATGAACAAATTTGAATTTTGTGCAAAATGCACGCGGAACTTTTTTCACGATCGTGTTTAGACAAAACACATAGAAGAATGAACTCAAAAACCAAATTGGTTCATGTGTCGTGTTGATATTGGAATGAGTTAGCTGTTTTATACATCAAAAACAGGCCAACGAGGACTGAATTCGATGATGCATTGCGGCCTATAGAAACAAATTTGAGATACAGATTTTTGCATACCACCCTAAAATTGTATGCTCTTTCCATTTTCAATTAGAAAATGATATGTTAATAACGTATTTTTTCGAGAAAAATTACTATTTTCTTCAACTTTTCTGATTTTTCAAAACATTCTGGCCGAGCCAAATGATATTTTTGTACGAAATTCATGTAGTCTCACTAAAAGGACATCAATACCTTTCAAATAGGCCAATAATTATGTAGTTGTGATCAAAAATACGCACGCAATAGCCTAAGATATGACCGTCTTGCCATAGTAGGAATTTTCGGCCAAAAATTCGCCGATGGCCAAAACTTTGGCATAGAGGCCGAATTCAGAAAAGTGCTTCCTAAATTTTCGATAGATCTTGGCCCCAGCAATACGTGATTAAAATATTGGCACGCAATTCTTTACACCCTGTATATTTAAAATTCAACATCATGATTAATGGGCATTCATGGGCAATTAATTCATTTTTGGATGTGGGAAGAGATCCGTAAGAAGGCAAAATTACAACTATTTGATTTATTTCATAGAACAAAAGCAGATTTTAATTCAGAATCAATGGACACGTTGGCGGAAAACTCGAAACCATTTCAAAACGTAGCTTCTAAGTTCATTATACAACAGTGGCAAATCATAATCGATATCTTCACCAAATGAATAACATTGAGGAAAAATCAAATATTATGCACAATTTTATGATATTCCAATATCTTGTTTAATGTATGTAATAATATGATGCAAAATTGACACAAATTCCACTATTTCTTTACAAATTTAAGAAAATTTTCCTTACCTTGGCCATAAGTACCTTGAACACCTATGAAATTCATGATCAATTTCATGAACATTCACGAAATGGATACAAATCAGCACAGCAGAATAAGCGCATATTGATTTGATTTTTTCATGCTAGAAATAAATACAAAAGATGTAAAGTTGTATTCCCCACGGATTCGGAAGTGAACTCAACAATTTCAGCAGGAATATGCATCAGCTGCACCACTATAGTATTTCATTAAATGAAGTTTAAATTGAAAGTCAAACGTCGAATTGAAATGCCTCGATTATTTTAATACAAATTTGAAGGTTTATTAAAAATGCATTCGAATCATATTTGTTGTTTTTTGTTGTGGTTTTCATTCGTTATTTTAAATGTTTCTGTTTATCCGCGATCGTTTTCTTATTTGATAGAAAGCGTTCGTTTCTTTTATGAATTAGGCCACAGGCCAGGTTCATCTACTCCACAGGATTCACTTCCTTTTTGTGGTTCAAATCATTCATTTCTTATTTTTATTCGCCGTGGATCAAACATTTTTTCATATTTTATGTTCTTAACTGCTTTATTTTTTCGATCAATCCAGTTCAGATGAAAAGAAAATTATTTCCAAGAAAATTCATGTACGGTTACAAATATTCGCTTGTTTTAGTTCCTTTTGGTGTGTTTGTACATTCTTGATGTAGTATTCTGGAAAAATTTATTTGTTACGTGAATTTCGAGGTGCTGAATCTAGGTGCTCTTTCACATCAATGCTGTCCATTTTCACGATTTCCATTTTGTCGAATGTAAGAAATCACTTTGAAAGAGAATATTTTGTTGTAGAGTGTAGACAGAATTTGGGCATTTGTTCATAAAACAAAACATATAATGACAGTTCCTTCAGGATGACATGGCGACGCATGTGCGTTTATTTTGTGTTTGGTGAGGAAATAGCATGAAGTCAGTAGAGGGTTTAATAACAATTTGAGAAAATCTTGCTTACCCATGGCCTTCAATTTCAGACCAGGAACACCCATGAGTTTTATGATTATTTTCATGAATACTCACAAAATGGATCAGATAGTTCATACTAGGGACAAATACAAAAAATGTGAAGTTGTATCCACTAGTTCGCACAAATTCGGAAGCAAATTCAACAATTACAGCATGAAAATTCAGCAGCTGCTCCTTTATCAAATGAAATCAGATTCGAACATCGAATTAGGTAGTAAAGCCCATTGCAAATTCTCAGCATCCAAATATTTCTACCGCCTAAACATAAAAAAAAGAAATGTAGCCTAGGGGAATATTTGAAAAAAATGAATACCGTGAAATTTTCCCCCAGGAACTGTACCAATGAAGAAGCACACAAATATTTAGTTTGAAAGAGAAAAAATTAAATGAAATGAAATGCATTGATTATTGAAATACAAATTTAAAGGTTTATTAAAAATGCATTCGAATCATATTTGTTGTTTTTTGTTGTTGTTCTTGGTTGTTCTTGTTGTTGTTGTTGTGGTTTTCATTCGTTATTTTAAATGTTTCTGTTTGTCCGCGCTCTTATTGATAGATTTTCTAATAAAAAATGCTTTGCGGTAAAAATATGATGCTTCTCATTTTTGTTTGTGACATTCAACGATTGCTATGTATATATATGTTCTATTGTTTGTGGTACCCTACACTAGTTTTTTGCAAACATATCTGTAATAATCGCATCGATATTTTAGATTAATGAATTTAATAAATCGCTTTCAGTCCTTTTGCTATTCGTATTAATCACTTACACACATCCGAATAGAAAAACGCATGCGGCCATTGTACTCATCGTGAAAAAATCAAGGCCTAATTTGGGTAAAATCGGAGTAATTCGACAAAATGAAAAACGATTGTGCAAAATTTTGATTAAACGAGTTAGCTCATTTTATCTCAGGTGTTTTGTTTTCTTCACAAATGTGTCGTACGTTATGAAAATGGATCAAAAATTGAAATTTCTGGCTTACAAAAAGAAATAATATCAGAAAAATGGCAATTACGAAGTGGATGATGAGATGAATGAACATCGATGTAGCGATAATATAGCATTCAATTGACCTCTTCAATTAAAACAAAGCGGTTGAAATATTGGAAACGTCATTTAGTGAGAGAATGCGTTGCGAGTTCATACGATGTTATTTACGTATAATTTGTGTAAGAAAAAAGTGTTACTTGTATGAAAGGTGGTTGAGTTTTGTTTATTGTTTTCTTTTGCGTTTGTCGTCTAATTTGTGTCATTTTAAATGCAAATACCTATAATGTCTGATTTATGTTAATAATCGCATTACGTCGTGGTTGCTGCATCGATGCTTAACTATGAAATATTCATGTCGATTATGTCGTACGTGAAGTCATGCCGTTTAGCTTTTCATATCATTTACGTTGAAGCTAAGATGCGATCTATTACTATAAAACTGCATTCAGCTTCAGCATCTCTCTCATTTATTGTGTGTGTGTGTGTTTTAGTCATTCTTTTTTAAATAGTGAATGCGCTGGCGTGTAAATTATTTGTGTGAATTTTTCTTTGTATCGTGTTTTTGTTGTGTGCCTGTAGGTATAGGTTCAAATTATTCGAATAATAATTTTCCTTTATTATTAATTTGTTTTTTCCTTTGAAATTCCTACATGTAACCTATTTTTGTTGTTTTTGTTGAATGTGTTCCATACTTAATATATTAAATTTCATATGTGACTAATAGTTTTCATATCATTTCATTAAAAAATCAATTTCAATGTTTAAAAAAAATCAAAGAAAAAAAACGAAAATCTAATAAATTCAAAAAGAAAAAACGCTCTATCAATATCCCACATATTTTTACATATATTTTTTTTATTATATGGATTATAATATGCTTGCTTTTTCTATGTCTAGATTGTTGTTGTTGTCTCATGTTATAAAATACAAATTAAAACTTGTTTCCTTTGTAGTCTTTTCATTTGACATTCGATTTTCCTAATAATTCTTCATTTTAATTTCCCTTTCTCTTCTCTCTCTTGCTTTCTGTTTTAAATAAAAATTAAATACTATCGCTATTCCATTCTTTTTTGTTCCATTCTATAAATTTTAGAATATGTTTAGGATCTTTTTTTTTTATTTTTGCACAGCAGCAAAACAATTTTCTTTTATTGCAATCGTCTAAAAAAGGGACTCGAATTTTCCTATCCATTTTCAACTAAATTTTATTTTCGTTCTATTTGGAAATGATTGAAAATGATACAAGGAATACACGAAAATTTATTTATTTAAAAGAAAATCGACTCGAGTATTTTGAGTGCAAATTTTAAATTTGGATTTCAGTGTTTTGTTTTTTATTTGCTTCTTTTATCGTTGTTTTTGTTATTACTTTTTGTTTGATAATTTTAAAAAAAAAAAAGAATCCTGTTGTTAATATACACTAGTTTCACACATATCGTTCGCACACTGGCGCCTATCTCTTTGCTCTCATAATAAATTCTTTATATTACTCTTTAATTCTTATCAGTTTAATTTTTTTTTGTTTAGCAAACATAAAGAAAATGCACAAAAGAATTTTTTTGATGGAAATGGTTTGTTAGAGATTTGCCTCTCGCTATATCATTAGATCATGTATATATTTTTTTTTTAAAAAGCGAATCGGAATCATAACAATATTTGTGAATGGATTGAATCCTCGGACAAGAAAAAATAGAGACAAAAAATTCGCTATAAATGCAATTGGTTTTCGTAATATCATTCGAAATATCGGAAATTTTGGGTAGTAAAGCAAGTGCCAATCATTGGATTTTATACAATAAAATACGACTGTGTTGACAACTTTTTCGATTGTTTGTGCTTTTGGTAGTAGTAGTTTTCTGTTTCGGGATTATTCAAGGAAAAACTGTCCATCTCTCATGCGTGAACTGGCATTCACCCGGGAGATTGTGTCTTCCTTCGATCGAATATTTACGATGAGAAATTATAAAAAAAAATGAACAAAGTAAATGCTCCTTAATATGTTTTTGTTTGTTTGTGATTTGCCTATTGTTACTCCTTTCTAAAGTGTATACATTACGCTATATTGTTCCTCCTGCTCTTTTCTCTTGTTCATATCTCATTTGTTTTTTCTCTGTTTGTTATTTTAAATACCTAGTACAAGATAAAAATTATTACACGATGTGTACATTACAACTCTAGATTTCTTGCTTTCAGTGTATAGTGGATTGCTGTTGTTTCGTTTGTTTATCCCCATTCCACAGAGCAATCTTGATCCTTACTTCGGTTCTTGTGTTTTGTGTGTATTCGGTGTGTTAATTCTATGAAATACAATGTGAATGCCGATTTTTCGAGTGTAATTTATTTGTTCGGTTGTTTTGCAAAGAGCTTAATCAAATCGTGGATAGTATTTGTTTGTATGGTTTCTCTCTATCTCACAAAGCGAAATACATATTTGTGGTGCTTGGTTGTTGTTGTTGTTTGTTGCAACGTCGGTTCCGTGTGTTTACTTCCTTCGTTCTTTCATTCTGTGTTTACTTTTGTTCATTCGTATTATGTTTGCTATTGTGTCCTGTGTCAATTGCGATGCCCTCTAAATGTACACGAAATTCATCCGCATCTACCAATTTGCCATGCCTGGCTTGTTTAGTGTCATAAAGTATATTTGACATGATGATGCACCTTTGGCACTACTGAAAAATACTTTGTCGTTACGCTCGCAAAGAAATTTAAGACGTTGAGCTTTTTTGTGCATAAAAACTCCATCTAAGTGACCAGTCTCCACGGAACGAATCTGAAAAATGTGTACACAATGGAATTAGACATTAAGTTACAGTTTGATATGAATCGGTTTTATTTTAAAATTCATTCAATAGAACTCAATGGAAACGGTTCAATCGACTGAACGCTGTCTTCATTTCCATTTTCGTCGTTTTATTCAATTAAAATCGATTTTCACTTACCTCTATTGCTTTATTGCCCCAACCCATTATTTGACCAGTTCCAATGTATGCAACCGATGTTGGCATTTCGCCCCACTGCAAAACACATTCATTTAGTACTGCTTGTTTGAATGAAATTAAAGTGGCTTATGCATTCATTACCTGTAACACGATATTCTTTGAAACTCTGCCGACAGTATTCACATAAACACCCTCATTATCATAACACAGAAGCAATTGCATTCCGTTTGAATTCGGCAGTGCCACGATGCAGTGTGGTATTATTGGACCCTGAGTCTGTACGCAAAAAGGAAGAGAGTGAATTTTCAACAACCGTTCAAGGAAGTGGAAATTTGCATTTTATTTTCTCACATGTTTCGGAAGATAAATGTCATACACGGTGGCTGAATCCAAGTCGACAGCATGGAATCCTTCAGCCGAACCATAGATGACTTTCAAACGAGATTGATCTTCTATTGTCAAATCCACCAGCAGTGGTCTATGCACCAATTCGCCAAAACTCTGTAAAAAAATTTAATCATTTTTAAAAATTCATCCGTAATATTGACTCAAATGGGGAATTGGTTTAGGGCGGCAGACAGTATTGAGTGTGAATCACAAGATGACTGAAGTAAACAGTTTTTTTTTTACTAAAAATCAAAACCGATTCACTTTACCTTGAACGCCATGAATTTGTGATACGGTTTCGGAGCCCATGCATAGATTTCAATGGAATCTTTCAGTGCGATCACTAAGAACTTGATGCGTTCGTATTTTACAATTTTGAAGTGTACGGCACCTTGAAGATCGCCAACATTTATCCAACCATTTCGTCGTTCGACTTGCTGCAAATGTGAAAAAAAGACACCGAATTTTTGTTGTATGAGTATTTGATCGATTTTTGTTGGGTTAACTTTCATTTTTCTACTCCGTGAAAGTAAATGGAATGCACGAAAAACCTATGTGTTTACAGTTTTTAGCTAAAAAATATGCACTTACATCAGATAAACCGTCAGTTCGGAGAATTTTTGATTTCAGCCACGATAGATAGTAGACACGCACCCGGTTCTTCTTGCCCGATATTGTAACTAGGATATTTTGCCCTTCTAAGACCTCCATTTGTTGGAAACGTCGTCTGGATATCAATTGATACACCTGAAATTGGCGAACATACCGGACAGACAGTGTTAAGCAAATGAGCCCAAATTGGTGCAATGCAAATATCAACTGTAATCAATTTCCCGCCTACCTTTCCTTGACCAGAGCGATCCAACAGCATGAGACCGTTTTCTGTGCCGATAAGTAAGTTGACGCCCCATAATGCAGCGCATAAAATTTCCGAGTTGAAGCGTTTTTTATATTTACGTATCTCTGGTGTATCACTAGTAATATCATGAGATGTTGGCGTTACATTAACATTAACATGGCTTTCACGGCGCGATGGACCCGATCCACCGGCACTGAATCCAAACGTAAGAAAACTCCGTTGCTTCTGTTGCAGCGCATAAGCGTGTGGCGGTAGAAGTTGTTGTTGTTGAGGTTGGGAAGATGAAAGATTATTATTTTTGTTCGATTGATTGGACGTGTGAACGGGAGATGAGGACGAATGCTGATTGGATTGTGGCGAGAAATTGTTGCCTTGGAAATTGTTTGTGGAATTGTTATGGGAATTGTTGTGGGAATTATTAAGTGAATTTAATAGAGAGGAATTGTTGTGCTTTGGAGACATGGATTGATTAGACAAAAGTGTTGAATTTGGTGATGCTGAATTATTAAGTATAAAGGATTTCGATGGTGTTGAATGCACCGAACTAATGGCCGCACGATACTGTAACGAAACGAAAAAAAGAGAAAAAAAATCGCAAAAAATTAGTTTTCATTTCAACAACAAGCGTAAAATATGTGTATGGTAGGCTTACACCTGGAGATCTGTTTCGGAAAGAAACAAAAAAAAAGAGAGAGCAGTGAAGGAAACAAAATAAAATGAGTAAAAAAATAAAACGTGGTTAATCTTTCCCAGACGCCAATAACTACAACTTAACGGAAAAAAAGAGAAAACCCCTCGCAACACTTGGGTGGCGGAATAATAAAAAAAATTAATTCATGCACTTTGTTCCAATACCAAAACCGACAATCGAACACGATTGTCAAATAATTCGATATTTTCCAACGAAATAAATAGAAAACAAAAATGATGCAAATGAACGTTGCAAAACAAAAGCCAAACGAATTTTCAGCGAAAAATAAACAAAAAATTCGATCAGAACAAAGGGAAAGTGCTTGGTTAAAATGACTCTAAACAAAATTATGATTATGTCGAGAGCAATTTTTAAGTGATAAATTAAAATGGAAGTTTGGCAACAAAATAAATAAATTAAAAGGAAATTCTTACAAAAAACAACCAAAGGCATTTTGAAAAAAGGGCAAAAATAAAAAGAAATTATGAGAAAAAAAAATATCAATTGGTGTTATTTGGATTGTTTTTTGTACATTATTTGATTAATGTTTGTTCATCTGTTTTGTATTAGACAAAAAATACTTACTAATTATGAGCCACAAAATAGATATTAATAAGGTTTAATTTTGGATCTGATATCCAGCAGTCATCAGCGCTCGTCGCAGGAAAGATAAAACACAAATTATTACAATTACATTCAAGAAACAAAGTGTCGTTTAAATGAGTGGATTCAATAACAAAATTTATCTCAAATGCCCATTCTGTTCAAGGTACCGATGGATTTTTCGTCGAAATGAGTGTGTGAGTATGTGACGACACACATAGCATTTTTGTTTTCACATAGAATTGAACCAAATTTGGAATTTATTTTACTAATTGTCTTTGTGTTATTGACACACACAGATAGAGTATATATCGAAATGGCGACGAAAATTGGAGGAGCCAAACAATAACAGCAAAAAGAAAAGTAACACGAAATTAGTTACAAATACACACAAACACAACATTAGATAGATCAAATAGAAAGCAAGGGGTTTTGCCAATCTGATGTGAAGAATGTAATCAATGCTCATTTGTATTTGTTGGTTTTTTTGCTTCGCTTTTGATTTGGTTTTGTTTCTTAATTGCACAACAGTTAAAGGGGGAAATGAATCGAATCATTGCAAATTCGCTTCGATCAGCATATATGAATGGAAAAGGCGATGAAATGGAAAACGCGTGTCTTTTTTCTTTTATTTCAAATGAGAAAAACAAAAAACATACTTCCTCGCTTGATGATTTGTCATGACGTGGAGGCGTTGCCGGTGACGCTTGACTTAACAGATCCGGTAAGACGTTGCTCGTGCGAGTATTTGGTGCGCCGCTATTTTCACCGCGATTCTGAAATGACAAACAACAAAAAATTTAAATTTTACGATCAATTGATTAAATGAGAGACAAATTTAAATTGTGTTTTTTTCTTCATTGAAATGTAAGTATGATCAACCACTAGAAACGACACAGAATTGGATCTTTCATGCAGAACGGGAACTACAATCACATTTTTTTTTCTCTTTCTCTCCCTCACGTTAATTGAAAAATCATCCGAATTAATCATCTGACGAATTAGACGGTTCAAAAATTCAAGCACGCACACATGCGTGCGCACCTCTGTCTTTCGAACTACTCGTCACATTGATTGAAAGGCTGATCATTTTAACACGTCACTGATTAATAAAAACCTCATTTTCTTTCCACTTGATCAAAAACAATATCTTCTATACAAATGGCAAATGGTTCTTATTAACCTCATCTATGTAGAGTAGTGGTTTTAGTTTGTTTTTGCTTCTTTTTTTTGTTTTGTTTAAATAGAGAAAATTGGTTGCAAAATACAAGAAAATAGATGAAATAGAAATTGAGACATGTTCAAAATTATAATTCCCGTTCGTATCCGGTCTCTGCATAATTAGTGTTCAAGTTTCTAGTAGGTAAGCGAAATATTGGTTCATGCTATTATTAAAATGGCATCAAGTCTAAGCTTAAAAATCGAGTTAGGCTCTAGTGATTAATACCGTTAGCCCAAAAAAAATCACCACACACCATGGACCGGCTTAAGATGAGATCTACATTTTATTTAGCTAGATGAAGTCTAAGTTATTGTACAGTGTTTGTATGTGTGTGTTTTCTTTTCAATCACCAATAAAATTGAATGGTAATAACAAATACCAACACCTTATTTCAAATATTGCAGTACAATAATTGACTGTTCAACAATTGACTATAGTAACTAGTTATTATGTTATACATTCTGCCATTGTGCCAGAATGTTTCTGGTTAACGTTAGGAACTTTACTCCATACTCAATATATAGATGAAGTTCATCGTTTTTTTTTATTCCACTCGGTTCAAAGTTAGCATAACACGAATGGTATGGGCTTTAAAAATGAATTGGGAAAAATACAACAAAAACAAAATATGAAAGGACTGACTGGCTGGCAAGGATTGTAAATTGTTTGGGAGCTAAGGAACAATAAAGTTGGAAGTTGCAGGAGCAATAAAAAATGTTGAGGCCGTCAAAACAATGGTTAGTACTACTTATTTCCTGTAAAATCCACCTACAAAAAAAGCAAACAATTACACAAAAATTTGTTACCGAAAAGTGTGACGCATAAAACTTTGCAAAGCGTTCGACTCACGATAAGATAACAAAGCATTAAATGGCAAAAAAAATGTTTTCAAAATAAATAAAAGCACATGCTGTAATAAAAATCCATAGGCTGTTTGGCAAATTGCGGCGGAGCAAAAAATATGAAACAAAAAGCGGAAATGGTCAAAAAGAAAACAACGTAGAAGAAGGAAAAATAAATGAAGTCGTTGGAAGAGTTGTGGGATTTTTTTTGCATTTTGAAAAGTATGATGTTGGTTTTGGTCATTAATAGTATGTGTGTGTGTGTGTGTGTGTGTGTGTGTGTGTGTGTGTGTGTGTGTGATTAATAAGAGAATGTATAATTTCATTTCATTGATTTGTAAAAATTTGAAGAAAAAAAATGTAGCACAATGAACAATGTAAGAAAAACAAATGGTAATGAATTTGCGGTTATTCAAAGAAAAAAAACAGAATAAAATAAAATAAATTGTTTGGCTCGTTGGAGCCCTGAGGTTAGCGGGTTTGGATGGTTTTTTTTGAGTGTGTGTGTGTGTGTTGTTGTTTTACCTGAAGCTGATCGAACAGAAGATTTCGATTGGCTGAATTTCTCAGTGAAATGACTGATTCGGTTTTTTCACGCCGTGGACCCATAAAAAATAAATTTCGATTATTATTTACAGTGTTATCGTTACTGTTACTTTTGTTATTGGCGATTTGGATTGACGACGCGGCTGATGTTGTTATCGATGCCGTCGGTGATGTGGTGGTTTTTGTCGTCGTTGTGCAGCTGCTGCTTGTGGCCGCTGGTGAACCATCTAAATATGTTCGGCTCACGAAATCGGTTAGGATCGGTTCACCGTTATTGTTTTTATTGTGTTTGGTGTAAATGGCACTCGATCGATGCGGAACGATGTGTGCGATGGCGCTCTGTCGTTCACCCAACACAACCGAATGTCGTTTGGTTGATGGGAAAAAATCCGAATGCTCTCGCCGAAAGCCGCGTATAAAATTCGACGATAGTTTGGAATCGCTCTCTTGGCGCTTATGATTTTTCGAACTGTCCAATAGATTTGCGAGGAAATTATTTTTCGGCTTTGCATTTTGATTGTTATTGTTATTGTTATTGATCGACGATTGAACTTGTTTGCTAGTGGCTGATTGATTGGTCACTGCGGTGGCATTGAAACCGCTGCCACTGCTAACGACGACGACCTTTCGATCGGTCGCGAAATCACTAAGTTTCGGTTTTTGTGCATCTTTATTCGATTGCATGCTAATCACATTTGGTCTTTGTGAATTGCTGGGCGAATTCTTCTTGGCACGATCGCTTGAGAAAAATCGCTCAATATCCCAATCACGAAGCAAGACGGTTTCATCGGCTGCACCCTTATCGGACGTTGTTTGCTTTTCCGAATTTTGATTCTAATTACGATTTATTTTTTCGTTTTGTTCCGCATTATTGGTGTGTGCACACGCGCAGAGTGCATATCATTTGTTTTTTTTTGTTGATTGGAATCAATTTATTTTTGCGTACGATTTTGTGATGTAACAGAAATATTCATTTATTTCGAGGGAAGATTGTTTTTTTTGGGTGTTAATGGATGGGGAACGTTATTTATTTTTAGGATTGGACACAGATATGGATTAAACAAATTCGGTATTGTACATGAACGAAAAAGAAAGAAACAAAATAAAAATAAAAAATTAAAAACAAATTAAGAACCACAACCATTTGTAAAGTGTTTGCTTTTTCATTTTTTGTGTTTAGTCTAATTCGTTTTTTGTATGTGTATGTGTGTGTGTGTGTGTGTATGTTTGTGTATAAAAAAGAACGGTTTAACTTTCTTCAAAAAAATAAAATTGTTGTTGTTTTTAAAATTGACTATTTGCTTTGCATTTGTGTTTGTTAGTTTTAACATATTGCATTATGAGAGTGTGTTTAACAAGTACTGCGACTGCGGTGCAACACATCCCTGACAGGGATTCCCTGTTTAGTTTTGCTATTCTGTTTACATTTTACATGAAATAACGACAAAACTAACAACAAATACATGAGTATTCCATATTTGATGAACACATTTTTGATGGTGTATACATTTAAAGAAAAAACGAAGTCTAGTTGGCTGCTATATTTGTGTGCCAATCAAAAACTTGGAAATTCAAAATGTATAGTGTAATCGGATCCCATGGCATAACACATGACAACAAGAAAACGATTTCCCGTATTGACAAAGAAAAATAATTTGCTAACTGGATTGGAACAATTTGAGCTTGGGGCATAAATGAAACTTACCCGCTTCATGATCAATGTGCGATCGCCTTGCTGATCATCGTCGTCGGGTGTTGGCGGCAGTGGTCGATTCGGTGGACCACCGGCTCCATGCGAAGGTACTGCATTATTTGAATCCTCCGACAAAACGCTCAAGCCAGGCCTATATGAAAATTCAGGACTAATAAAGTAAAACAAAACCAAACAAACCGAAAAACAAATCCAACAAAACGAACACAAAAAGATGATTTTGGATTTTTTTTGTTGAAATAATTTCAAGTAACGAAAATCGAAATGGAAATGAAATGTTAAAGAGAATGAATTGTGATTAGTATCATGATGAGTGGTATAAATGAGTGGGTTAGTTTGCATGAAATGCATTGGCCAGAGATTGGTGTGTGAGTGGATGTGCTTACAGTGGCTTTGGCGGATCGCTAGCCAACAGAGTTCCATCGTTTCGACCTCGTTCATTTGACTCTTCGGCTTCGCTGTCCGTATCCGAGTCGTCGATTGGATCCAATGGATTGACAATTGGTTGCTGGTGATGATTGACGCTTGATGATTGTTGTGAATTCGATTTTGATGCTGGCGCTTGTTGACGGCTGTTCCGTGGCGGCGCATCTGGCTGAGCCTGTGGCTAAATTACATAATTAAAATTTAATTCAGAATAATTATTCCCATATAGTCAAGCGCTATATCACTTTTCTCTCCATATTTTGTCTGGTTCTTCTATTTTCATTTGTTTTAACTGTCCGTTCAACAAAAGTCAACGCAAAAATGAATCATGCTATGATTTTACAACGGTCTTTGATATTATAGATAGTAAGTGATAAAAAATTAACTCATAAACAAAATGAATGATAAAATTAAGAGAAACATACCTCGGGCCGACGCGGTGGAAGCTTTACATTCCACAAGACACGTGTAAAATAAAATAATCCAACGGGAGTCGTGTTAAGTGTTGGTTTGGTAAGAATTGGGAGGCATAGAGTTCATTGTTTCAAAAAACAAAATTCAACCGAATAAATAAACATAACGGGAGGATCGGAACGCATAAGAATTTTTATGGTTTGTTTTGTGTATTTGTGATGAAATCAACGTGCAAATTCACATGTAAATGAAGACACAAAAAAAAGAACGAAATCATTTTCCATAAATAAACTGCATAAATGATTATCAACTATAAACTCAACCTCCATATTCAATCGCTAAACGGTTTTACAAACAGTTGTGCTTACCATTGGAGCGCTCCTTTGTGGTTGTTGTGAGTTTTGTGACTGAGACGACGACGAATTATTGCTTCGCGGTGTCGGTGGCAGGGGCCGATTTGCATTTGGCGGATCGGGCACAACGATGAGTCGGTGCGGCAATGCTGGCCGAGATGGTTGACCAGAATCATCTTGCTTTTCACGTTGTTGGACCTGATTTTAAAGAAGAGGAAGAAGAAGAAGAAGAAAAAAAATTATATTTCAATATTATTCAATTGAATCGATGCGAAATGATGATTTGGCTTACCGGTTGTGAAATTCGGTTTTGAGCGATTTGTGCTGCATCCGGTGATCGTTCGGGTGATTTCTTATTGGCCTTGCTGTGATAGTGTCCCTCTTGGATTTGTTGGAAATTGCGTCGAAGTGTGTCACCGCCCGGTGCTTGGATGATCGATGACGGTTCGCCGGCTACTTGTGGCTCATCATCGTCATTATCGGAGCCCGAGTAACGGTAGTCTTCACGTTCCTTCTCCTGTTTTCGTTTCTTGCAACGATCGATATGATCCTTTAATTGAATCCTAACTTGGCGTTCAGTTGGTTGCTCTTTGATAAACTGATGCTTAAGTAATTGCTCCGTGTACGGTCGTTGATGATAGTCTTTCACTGTAATTCAATGGAAAACCATTTGACTCGACATTTGAAGCGTTTCGTTTATGAATTATTGTTTTTCTTTAGTGTCTCAACCCATCAATTTGTCCATACTTACCGAGCACAGTTTCGATAAAGCCATGGAATTTTTTGGACCATTTCTTGGATTTGAGTCTTGGTGGTGGATTTCTTGGAATTAAGAAGAGAGCACGCATAGGATGAAGATCACACAGTGGTGGTTGTGATTCGGCCATTTCCAATGCCGTAATGCCCAACGACCATAAATCCGATCGATTGTCGTATGTTGCATCGGGGTTTTCATCACAAGCAATGACTTCAGGAGCCATCCAATAGGGCGTACCAATGAATGTGTTGCGCCGACCAATTGTTCGATCAAGCTGAGCTGATACACCAAAATCGACGAGTTTCACTTCGGCGTTGTCAGTTAGCAAAACATTTTGGCCTTTTATATCCCGATGAATGACTTTGTTGGTGTGCAAATAGCTAAGACCGCGTAAAATCTCACGACAAATGTATGCTATCCATTCCTCTTTCAGACTTTGTCCCTTAGTCGATTTAACTAGATCTGTTACTGAACCAGCACCACAATATTCCATCACCAGCCACAGTTGATCGTCCTTGCCGGCCGGTGATTTTTTTATGAATGCACCATAATATGTAGCAATGTTTCGATGATTTGAATATTTTTTCAAAACATTAATTTCTAATTTGATTTCCTCCTCTTCATCTTCCGTCACATCCATCACTTTAATGGCAGCCAATTGGCCAGTTTTTGTGTGTCGCCCCTGTGAGACAAAATAAAAACGATCCGGTCAATGTGTTAAGTCAAATTTAACACGCACACAAGCGAAGTAATGCGCCTTAAAAGTCGTATTAGCGATTAACACTCACCTTGTATACTTGTCCGTACGTTCCATTGCCAACGACTTCGATGAGTTCAAAAATACCCGCTGGATCCTGAAATGTCAACAACGAGAGACACAGAGTGGGAAAGGGAGAAAAGAAGAGTCATTCATTATACGTTTGAATCATTCGTCAGAAAATTATGGACATGTCGTAAATAATAGTAAACAAAAAGAGGAATTCGTTTAAAAAATGCCGGCAACGCCTTATTTGCTGCGAAAAAAGCAAGCGATTTCAAGTTGAAATTCAACAACAACGACAGCAACAAAATACAAGAGAGAAACTGAATCGAGTCACACAGTTACAGATGCATTTAACACGTGCGGGTATGAATCATTCTTTAGTTAACTAAATTAAGTTTTAATTGCCCACAAGGACTGAAAATGATCATTTAAGAGACATACACATACACACACACCGAGAGAGAAAGAGATAAAAGATAGACTCATGCACCAGTGAAGTGTACGTGTATGTATGTATATATAAATTTAGATCAAGCGATTCAGTTTTCGAAGGAATTAGATTGATGACGAGATAGAGGGAGGCGGGCAGAGACAGAAAAGGAATCCAATTAGTGTTTGACTGCAAAAAGGCATATTTCAAGCGAAGCACATTTACTCGCACAAAGGCACAATGAAATGCAGAGCAATGAATTAACGGCAATTGGCATGCCGTATGGCGTAATGAGCGAATGCCAAAACCAAACCGCAAATACTTGCACAGAGTCACAAGAATCAAAATACTTCATATATCTTTTCGGTTCTCGCACACACACGTTTTCATTTGTTTCATTTTTTTATCTTCAATTCAGGCACTGTGTGTGTGTGTGCCTTTTTTCTCTCTCTCGAATTGTTGCAATGAATGTGGCATCTCACAACATATGTGATTTCTCGGTGATATGCACCAAAACCTTGTGAATGTGCTTAAACTTGGGCGCGCGCACGTTTCGGCATGTACACCTGAGTCGTGTACAACTGCACAATTGAAATGCAAGCGGTTTTGATTCCGAAATAGTTGCACTTATTCACGTGAAATGCACAAATTCATCAAGGGGATCTTAATAAACAAGCGAATAATGTTCGATAGATGCGAAAGTGATGCATAGACACACACACACACGTGCGCGTGAGGCGAGAGCATCGATTGGATACTGGATTCTGATGTGAAGTTGAATGTCAATTTTCACATTGGTAGGCAACGATTCGCATTAACAATTACATGAGAATTTTGTGTGTGTCGAGCGTACAAATAATAATAATCGTTGTAATAACAACAACCGCACACACCGCACATTTCGCTCTCTATACGATCAGTTCACACCATTTTCTCTCGTCAACGATTTTCATGTCTATTGTTATTTATTGTTTTGCGTTACTTGAGATAATTTTCGAGAGAGAAAAAGCAAAAAATGCTTTTCATCACATGTCGAAATTGTTGTTGTTTGTCTGAGTTGATTTCTGTTTTGATGTTGAATTGGTATTCAGGTTTATTTGACTGTGCATATGCAAAAATTGTGTGAAAATATGTGACTTTAATTCCATCTCTCTCTCTCCCCCAACACACACAGCTGTTATTGTTTCGTTTAAAATTGAAAATGATTTTTGCAGCTACCGAATAATGTTCCAACTAAACGAGAACGAAAATATGCGAATTGTTTCGGGGCGACCGGTTGTAGCAATTGCTATGCTTCGATTTCATAAAAATCAGAAACACACAAGTTGCGATTGCCTATTATTGTCAAAATGAAAAATAATACACAATCTTTCGAAAGAACTCCCCATCGAAACGAGCAAGCCCGCGTGCCATTTGACATCAATTTCGAACAACATGCCGTCTGCTGTTGCTGCGGTTAGAGTTCAGAGTCATTTGAATATGAATTGAAAACTTTTCTAATGGAATGTGAAATGCGATTAGTCATTCCAGTGGCTATTGATGATGGCAAGAATTTGACGAGAACGACCACGACGGCGACGACATTCTATTGTAACATCGTCATGGAACGTGCATTTTGTGTGCATCATCGCGAACCGGCCGTGAACGAAGTGAGAGAAAGCCGTAATTTCAGTAAAACTGTTATCCTTCGTTTCAATCGTCATGCTTTCTCTCTCTCTCTCTCTCCTCTCATTTTTGCCGGTTTTGTGAGCGTGAACTGTGTCCACGCGATTCAGCCACTCCAGCTGTGATTAATAACAGTTCAATGATCTATAATCGACAAGAAAATAATATATTATCCATTCATCATCGTACACCCATTTCGATGTGCGCACACAATAACGTTGCTGTTGTCGTCATCGTTGCTGCAGTCACTACGATAATCTATCCGAGCGCGCATTTGAAAGTTATAAATAAATTAAATCGAAATAGAGAGAGAGAGAGTGAGAGAGAGAGAGTGAGAGAATCAACTACAAAATGAAAGGATAGCCTGAATGATGTTATGATGTATGCATGGAAAAGAGAGTGAGTTCATTTAATGTGCCCAAGTAATCATTCATAATGAAACAATTTGCAGGCAGAGTGGCAAGACTTGATGAAAAGGAAAAGTTCCTTGGTTTCGTCGATATCGTTGTGTTGACAAAACAAGACAGAGCTGAAGCTGAGAAGAGAAGAGAGAGAGAGAGAGAGAGAGAGCTGAAGCTGAAACACTGTAGCGTTTTGTCGTTTGGAATGATCAGCCTAATGCCGTTCAACCTAAATGTCTCATTGTCATTTGGGTATATATGAGATGTGATCGGAGCGAGAGTGAGAAACTTGTACATTATCTATATAAATTAGACACTTAATGTGTGTGTGAACTATTCTTGTTCTTGGTGTTCAATTTGTTTATTTATGCCTATTTCGTGGCTATTTTTGAATTTATATTTCCTATCTATGTGCCAACATCAGTGCTCGCACTGTTTGCTGCTTGAATTTTGATTTTGTCTCCGCGCGTTCGTCGCTATCTCTCTATCTTTTTCATCCGATGCAATTGTTCACTTGCCTCTCTCTCTCTTTCTCTCTCTCTCTCTCTCTCTCTCTCTCTCTCTCTCTCTCTCTCTCTACTGTTGTATCTCGTTTCTATTTTAACATTTCTTAGTTGGTGCTGTTTTGTGTGTCTTTCATACAAGGGAGCAAATATAAATTAGTCGTGTAGGTCTTGGCCACGGTAAAAATAACAAAGCAGGAACGGAAAGAAGTGAAATAAAAAAATGTAAACCAACACACAAACTAAGCAAGTTTTTTTTTGTGTGCAATGTGCAATGTTAAAAAATTGTGCACATAATATTCATATGTATCTCGTGTTTGCGTTTTTTCTTATTCTTCTCTTCAACACACTCTGTCAGTGCAATAAGACGCAACGTCGGCAATATGTTTATAATATTATGATATACATGAAGTAATTCCGTACGGCGACACAAACATTATGTGTTGTATATATAAACATCAACATCACTGTCTCAGCAAATCGTATATGAAGTGAAGAATGAATGTAGAGAGAAAAAAACGACACGACAGCAATAGCAGTTAGTGGTGAACGAAACAACGGCAACAGCAACGAAATGAATAAGAAAAATAAAATAAAACAACAACAACGACAACGACTTACAAGAGAAACTTAAACTTCAACTCACACTGCATATTATACACACTTCGGTGCCTTATCGAAGGAGAGAAACGTAAAGAAACATACACGCATATAAATATCAAATGCCAAATACTGGAATGAATTAATATGTAGCTCGCATATATTCGCCCGAAAGATGATTAATCCTATCAACTTTCTGCGTTGCTTTTTTTTCTTCATTTTTATTTTTTGAGTAATTGATATCTCTCTTTGCATTATTACATATTTTTTTTCGCCTTATTTCTTTCTTTATTTATCATCAACTACGCGACGATTGTTGATCTTTTATATATATACGTAGCATTCTTTCTTTCGTTATTTGTTTGAATGAGCAGACTATCAAAACCAACATAGGTAATTTATTTAAATAACTTTTATGCAAAGTAGCACGTTTTTCGTCTCATTTATATGAATCGACAGAAACAAAAAAAATTTACTACAAAGATGAAACAAAAATCAGACACACACATGTAGAGTGAAAGAGACAGACAGAGAGAGAGAGAGAGAGAGAGAGAGAGAGAGAGAGAGAAAGAGAGAAACACAGCTCATGATGGAGGTGAACGTTGCAAGCGAAAGGAAATTGTATGCATATGTACGAAGAAGAAATACCGTCTCTGTCTTTCTCTCTTTGATTTTCGACAATTTCGATCCTATCACTGATAAGACAAACCGAATACGTGTTATTGTTGTTGTCATTTGCCGTTGCCACTGCTACTGTCGCCGTAGTCGTAGTTTGCGTTCTTTTTTTTCTCTTTTTCTTTTTTTTCAATTATTATCAACTCGACCATTTTAAAACACACACAACTGGTGAAGCATACAGTAAACTCGAATCCCGTTTGTCATGTTATGTTAGTAAATGGATTTTCGTTCGGAATGGCTTATACAGCATAAATGTGTTTCAGTCGACAGAATCCTTCGATAATAATTATTATTTTTTATTCTCACTTGATTCATTGTATTTACAATTCGGTTCCGGCTGAATATGTCATGTTTTTTTTTTCCTCTCGTCTTGAAGCGAAAAAAAACTAATCATACACACATAGGAAATCGGTTGCCCCACCCAATGCACAATGCCAATTTTCCGATTTGTCATCGCATAAACAATAAACTGAACAGAGAAGGAACAAAAGACGATCAAAATAACGGCGAACAAAAAAACCGTGCAAATTAAGGCGATGGCCGATTTTAATGGGCAAACGCATCGACGAACATCTATCAATAGAAGAATCTCCCGAAAAAAAATGGTAATGAAGTATCGAAAAAAAAATGTTTATCAATTGGATGGTGTACCTTCAATGCATTTAAGTCAATTTCATCGAGCGAACAGTTTACAGAAGGGGCCAGTTGATGCGCCATTTTGACGTATTACAGTATACAGTGTATGTATATATATCTATATAGACTAACAAAGATGATTACAAAAAAAAATCACATCGAAATGCACAATCACACGTCGAAAACACTTTGCTTAGAATTTTTTTACACTATGACGATGATGATGACGAGTGCAGAACAATGTCTTTTGAAACGGCAACGAAATAAAATTGTTAAAAAAATTAAATGGAAATATTTTTATCAAAAAGGAAAAAGAGACTTAAGCACACCACAAAAAAATATATCGAGACACTGTTTGTGTGTGTTTTTTTTTTCTTTTGCACTTCTCTTCTTGCATATACACTCAGCACTTAGTAAAAACTATTTTCACTTCAATTCGATTCTCGATATTTTTTTCTTTCTCTTCTATATAGATACATATATAATATATATAAACCTTTTTTTTCAAGTTACTCGGTTTTGCGATTGCGATGGTGTCGACAAATAACTTGAAAAAAAACTTTGCTCGGTGTTGTTTTTTTCTTCGTTCGAATCCACTGCAATATTGTAATTTAATCACATTTTTACTGATTGAAAATTGTTGTGTTTGAATCGATGAACAAATGAAATTAAAATAATAAATGGTAGAATACACACAATACACAAAACCCGGACTGACAACACCAAAAATATATCGATGTACGGTGACGATGCGCACCCTATCGTCCAACGTCAGCATTAAATAGTTGCGATTTCGTTGAATGAACAACAATACACGTTCAATGAACGCTGCTCCGTTGCTCGTGTGCGCATTTGCCGATGCTGCTGCTTTCGGTCTTGTCGGTATCGGTTTCAGTGTGCGTGTATTTTATGTATCCATGCAGTTCGACATGTTCGGTCTACACTGATTTTCTCATCTCACAGCCCAAGATTCGACTTATCGGTTTCTTTCTGACTGGTAAAAAAAGAGCATTGATGTGTGTTCGTGTCGTGTCGTTTTGGTGTGGTGTGGTGTGCGAGTGTATGTGTCGTTGTTCATGCCGTTGTCATCACCTTTCTCACTCATTCGTTGATCACTTCGAATTTGACATTCGAGCCAATTTTTTGAATTTTTTTTTCTCCTTTTCTTCACATTCTTATTTATTTTATTTCGTATATTTATTTCCTCGTTCTGCCTAATGGCTATTTAATCGACAATATTTAATCACATCGAATGGAACATTATTTAAGAGAAATTAAAATGTAACAATCGATGATTTGTTTTTGTCATTCTCTTTCATTTTTAGAACATGAAGAAGAAGAGACGAAAAAAACGTTGCAATATCCACACGAAGTATTTTGTCATCGTGACTAATTCGAAATGCATATCTTCGTTCTAAGAATGTCGAATATTCAGTTCGAATGGAAACATTCTTATCACAGGAAAAAAAATATAAATAGAATTACCATAAATCACGAATAAAGTCATTAAACGGTTGTTTTTCTGTTGAGCCCATATCAAATCCATTCACATACACAGAGACGGAAAGAGAGAGAGAGAGAGAGAGAGAGAGAGGGAGACATGGTGGTTTGCATGAATGGAACAGTATGCAGCCAATCGAAATGAAATGTGAAAGAGATGAAGAGCAAAAAGCGACACAAGTCCAAAGTCAATCGATTTGACATGTTATTTACATTAAAAACAATATACAAAACTCTTCACTTCGTCTGGATCTCTTGCATCTTCTTTGGTTTGCGGTTTTGGATTTTAATTTAGGTGCTACGAAATAATTTTTTGTTTTGGGTTTTCGATCAAAAGCGAACGATATGAGTTTTTATTACGCCAACGCTCGTCAACCGGAAATCCTTCGAACTGTACAAAAAGATGCGGCGTTTACAAATCAACTAGGTCACGACCTCTCCGATATTCTACGGTTCACCAATAAAAACCTTTGGATTAAATACAATGGCCTGTGCACATTGATCATGGAATTAGCCTATCATGGATTTGCCAGTTACAATAATCTGCAGACACTTGGCGAAGAATACACGGGCATCATTCAGATCGATAATAAATATATTGCGCTGCCGAGCAAGCTGTTGCAAATGGTATCGATTGTCATGGAATATGCTGGCGAACAAGTGCTGGTGAAACTGATCAAAAATGTTGAGCATGAAATCGAACGTAACGAAGAGATTCGACCAGAAGCCAAACTCCAGTTGCGTCGATGCTGTTCATTTCTACTGCATGTCATTCCATACGTTCAGGCAATGCATCGAACATGGTTTTATTTATACGGTAGAAAATACCAAATTGCTCGACGATTGACCGGAATTAATTATGTGTTGATACGCCATTGGCTAAATATCAAGCATTCTGTGTACGGTTACAAGGTGTTGGGTGTGATCAGTTCGTTGCAATTGATATTGGTATTTGCAGCATTTGTAAAAGAGACCATTCGAATGAAACAAGTTACGAGCGCCACAATTCAAAAGGTGAATCGCCTGCGGGATCGCATTGAATCGACGTACAAGCCAGCTAAAATGGAAAACATGCCAAAATGCATTTTATGTTTGGAGGAGCGTCACAACACATGCGCCACCATTTGCGGTCATCTCTTCTGTTGGCCGTGCATAATGGATTGGCTGGATCAAAAGGAAGAGTGTCCGGTGTGTCGTGAGCCAACAAAAAAATCAACCGTAGTCTACTTAATGAATTTCTTTTGAGGCGCGATGTGCTCGCAAATATATCGGTGTCAAAGGCTTTATTATGAAATTTTGTGATTTTGTTTTTGTTTGAATTAAACTTTTACATTGATTTATTTAGTCTAAATTTGAAGAGAAAAAGAAAATAAGAGAAAAAAAGGCAATTGTTATTTAGGTATTTCGAACACATCCATCGGTTCTTAGGTGTTTTTTTATATGTTTTCTTTCAAAATCAATGCGGTATTTCGAATAAAATAAAATATTTGCTAAACTACTTTGAAATGAATGTACAATTTGTGTGTATGTGTGTTTAATTCTTCTTCTATTCAATTGATTCGATTCGATTTCCTACGTTGCTTCTTCGTCAAGTGAATTCAATAGATTAAGATTAGTCAAAAATTCGGGAGGATTATAGTAAATGTTATCACAGTAATAGTGGTTGGGTACACGAATTTGTTGTAAATAAGCAATTTGTTTTGATTTAGCTGAAGCCTCTGCGTCGGTGGCACTGTGGCCGGTGTTTCGATTTGGCGAATCGGTCGGTGCCATCGGTTTGAACGGTATTTTGCGATAAAATAAGCATTTCTTTGGTCCATACAATGAAATTTCCGATTCATATGGCGGACTGAGAATGTCGAAAAATGCAGCTGTACTGTTGCCGGTGGCGGTGATTTCGTGAATATTTCGTGTGGTCGGTGTGAGTATGGAGCACCCACTCTTTGGTGAGAATTCCGTTGGTGCTTCTTCGATGACCGATAAAATGTGTGGTGTATTCTGTAGCGGATGCTCGAGTGTGTAACTCTGAATTCGTGCCGTTCCCGATATAACACGTAGCAAACCATGGCCCGGATGATCGTGCAGGGGCATCGTATACTTGTTGGTCACTATGAAGACACTCATTGTGAACGTTTTGTGCTCGAGTATTTCGATGTATTTGACTGGAGCGCGTGCTGACGGATGCTGAAAACTGTTCGAACCCAACACTTCCGCTGGTATATTCAGATCGCTCGACGTCAATTGATCGACTAATTGCTTTAGTATATTGAAATTTGCCTTGAACGCTGCATAGTTGTCCCGTTCGAATGTTATGAGCGCCTGTTTGACCACACGAGCAAATAATACCGACATTTTTCTTCTTCTCCGCCCCAACAAACAACAATCAATCGCACAACAAATTAGGATGACGAATTTCTTCGAATGTGATGATCCGAGTTGAACGTCGTAACTACCTTGAGGAAAAAGTTTTTTTATGAAAAGATGAGAAACGGAAACGTGGTTTTATTAGACAAATTCCATTCAATGCAAACGATGAATTTATTTATACTTGCACTTTTTACTTACACAAAAACAAATACTTTATCGTAATGTGGTGAAACTTATCAGCTTTTTTTTCTTATGATCTTTGTTTTGATATCTGTACGCTTAATTTCTCACGTACCTCTTCAAACTTGACGTACGTTCATACTGAATATTTATGGCTGCATACTGTCCAGTTGTCATATCGTTGTATGCAACATTTTTTTTCTTCAAATGTTTGCACTTGTGCACGAGCAATCGAATGGATTATTCTCGAAAAATGAATTTATTTTTATTTAAATATTTTCATGAAAATAAAACGAAAATTTACGATTCAAAAGATGGTCGATTCAACCGAATTGGAATTCCAAGAATTGGGTGCGTTCAATGGTGTTCAGTGCGTTCAAACACCACGATGTTTTGAATGTGACAGTTCTCATAAATATTCCGAGCCTTGATAGATTTGTGTTCTACAGCGTAGAATTCCTTTTAGTTACCGCACTAAATCGTATCAGAAGCACGTGTGTAAGCACTGCCCGAAAAATTCCACATTTCAACGATAAAATCGTTAAAAACTCGAAAAAAAGTCGCGCGCATTTTTTCTTGTGATATTATTTCCAAAAATGAATCAAGAAAAATTGAAAAAATTGCAAGCACAAGTGCGTATTGGCGGTAAAGGTACACCTCGTCGTAAGAAGAAGGTTATCCATCAAACACCAGGCACTGACGACAAAAAATTACAATCTGTCCTGAAAAAGCTGGCTGTGAACCAAATTCCAGGCATCGAAGAAGTGAACATGATCAAAAATGACGGGACAGTCATTCATTTCAATAATCCAAAGGCTCAAGCATCACTCGCTGCAAACACATTTGCCATCACAGGACACAGCGAACAAAAAGAGGTTAGTTTTCATGTTTTTTTTTTCTTTCATCCTACTTGCTTTCGTTCAACCTATGGCATGGCACAATATGTGTGTGCAATTATGAACATCGATACATGCAATTGACAAGTGTGTTGTTATGCAAACCAAACACGAATAATTTAATAAAGCAACAAAAAAAAACGAAATAAAAAATTAATAATTGAATTGTGGTTTCTGTCCTCTTTCACGTGGAAATCAGATTGCCGAGATGTTGCCAAGCATTTTGACGCAATTGGGTCCAGACGGTTTGAAGCACTTGAAACGCTTGGCCAGTGATGTTGTGGCCAACAAATTGTCAGCCGGAGCTGCTGCCGATGACGATGTTCCAGATTTAGTTGAAAACTTCGAAGAAGCCGCTAACAAAGATATCGAAAGCATAACAAAACAAACTGAAGAGGTCACCGTCGCATAATAAATTCGGACCATCCCCAAACACCCACATATACACACATACACACATATAAAAAAAAATTACACTTTTAAAAAGGAAAACCAAATTTTGTTACACAATATTTCCAGGTCAATTTTTTTTATAATTATTTGAACATTCTTTCCAAATTATTGTAACACACATTCACATCAGAAGTAGCAATCGATGCAGACACAACAACAACAACAACAAAAATCGTAAAAAAAAGGAAAAGAATAGACTTAATAATTAAGGAGTGAATATTCACTCATTGTGTATGTTGATTTTACGTATGTAAATTTCGATATATGCAAACCTATTCCATTCGTTTTTAACAAAAAAAAATGAAGAAAAAAAACCTACACAAAAAACAACAACAACGCTTTTTTTTTCTAGAAAAAAGAAGAATTGAAAAAAAAGAATATAAATAGCATCGAATTTGTCGATGATCATATGATTATACATTATGTACTACATTAATTACGAAATTGTTATCAACAAACGATTTGAAAAGTAAATGCATGTACTTGGGACAAATGGAAATATATAACGAATTTATTGTGGCCTTTTTCATTCAGCTCTTTTTCTCTCTTTTCACAGCCTTTTCGCCGATGAGTAATTTTTTTCTTTTGGTTTTGTTTTGCGCAGCGCTAATCATTTTTGTAACCAAAAATGCACAGATACGATAAGGGTCTCGCTATGTGCGTCTCTGGATGTGGTCAATAAATCAATGTCCATTTTTGTGTTGCGGCTTTTTCACTTTGTTATCAACTAGCCGGGTGTGTTTTTTTTTTGTTGGAAACAGCGGTTGCAACAGTTTTGCTGTGATGTGTCACACAGTTCAAATCGTCGATCGGAAGACTCATTAAAAATGGGTGCAAAAAATTATGCAAATGCAGAGGACCACCGTCCGGCTTACTATTTCTTATAAAACACAGTCCAAAAATGACCGCACCAAAATTCTTGACGAATTTTATGTCTCAATGTCTACGAATTTGGTAAAATGGTGGAATTTCTTCAAAAGAATCACAACAGAAATGCCACAAATAGTATGTGTTCATCGATTAATGTCGACACCCAAATAAATATGACGTCAGCCAAATTCACATCTGACAAATGCGAATGAATTTAATATATTATTGTTCTGACGATCGAAAGGAAAACACAAGAATTTTTTTTCAGTTAAGATACACATTTTATTCCAAAAAAAATCTTATAACTTATTAAAAATCAAAAAAGTTGATTATATGCAACTAAATTTCACTTTCACACATTATAATGAATCAATCTTAATCGTTCAGTTTTGTTTTTCTTCAACTTGTTTACCATTTTTATCATTGAATACCAACATATGAATTGAATGTAGATAGAAATAGATTTGTTTTTTATATTTACAATTGAAGAAAACAATGTGTCGATTGAATTGCATTTTGAAATTGTGCGACACCTTTTTCTTTGTTTGCTGTTCACTTGATTTGTTTGTTTGTTTGTCTGTTTTTTGTAAGGATTTTTTTTTAACATTTTAGAAAAATAGTGAAAAAAATTCACAGGACACTAATCTGTTAGGTTGTTTTGAGGAAAGAAAAAAGTGGCGTTTTACCAATAAAGCCGCAATCAAATTTGGTTAAAATTCAAAATATGACCTGCGTGTCAGAAAAAAAAAATCCTCATATTTTTTGCCCGTTGCATCGGTTTTCGCTCTCTTTTTTTTCGTCATAGCAACAACTAAAAAAAATTAAAATTCGTTTGCGCTGCACTGGGCAATTTGACAGAAGAACAAAATAAAATCAGTGTATAAAATATGCACGTTAGCTCCAATTCATTCAACCCGAGAAATTTGGTTTTCTCTATTCCGCTATCTGCGTGTTTGTTTTATCTCTTTTATTTTTTTTTATTTAATTTATTCGTCTTCGATTTCCTAAATTTTTCAGTTTTTTCTCTCCGGCGTTCACGTTCACCCTTTATGATTTTATCAAAAATTTGTTTCATTTTTTTGTAAGTGGCAGTTTATATATGTACGCACATTTTTTTTTTCATTTCGAATTTGAGCTCGCATTTATCTAAGGTTTGAATAGCTTCAATTGGTCTTTCTGCAGATGACAAACGACGAATTGATTTATGTATATTGTCGCGATCAAATTGTTTGTGTGATTTGTATGTTGTTTTTTTGTCATCAGTTTATGTTTCGTCGTATCTCGTTATTATCAGTGCAAATTATGTAAAAATATAAAATTTAACTTTAAAGTAATTAATAGTTCGTGTGCAAAATTGTTTGTTGTTTTTTTATCTGTTTCAGTATTTCAATACAAAAAAACTTATCTATGTAATGAGATGAAATGAAAAAAAAATTATTTAGAAAAAAAAACAGACTCGACTTTGGTTAAATCTCGTTCTGTTTCGGTTTTCTATTTCGTTTATATATTTGGCGATTGGGAAGCTAAATTCTTTTTTTTGCTGCTACTGCTTCTGCTTCGGATGGAACTTAAAACTGGTTCTATTTCAATTAAGAGCGAATCGAGAAATTCGATACGGATTGTGTTTCAGCCGTTATTGTTGTGTATGAGTGAATTGGATTATAAAAGGCAATTTTAATTAGTCAGTTTGTCCGATACGATAATTTAATCAATTGTGAGCAACGTCTCTCTCTCTCTCTTCCACCATGAACATGTTTTCTTTTCTTTTTTTCCTCTTAAAATAGATTTTAAGTAGTAGACTGTTGAAGTACTCCGTATTATAAATTTGTTGATAGGAAAAATCTCATCCAATGGAAGTGCAGCGCACACTATTCGGGCAATTTGAACCAATCTGCTGCCCAAAAGAATCACGTAAATTGTCAGTTTTTGCCTTATTTGTACATATTTTTTATTTTCTTATATAAAAAAAGAGTCGACGTCGATCGGATTGTCGCAATGGTAAACACTGCACTTCTGTTCCTGCTTCGGCTACTTCTTCACTCTCTCTCTCTCTTTCTCTCTCTCAACACATTCGAATTTATTCCATGACGAAAATTCAATTAACACTCTTTATTGATTGGTTATTTGTTTTTATCTAACGATACTCCGAAATAAAATAAAATCGGGACAGTTATTATTCGATTCGAGTGTATGCATGTTTCTTCTTGCTTCCATTATGGAGGTGTTTTTCATTTAGATTTTTGTTTGTTTGTTGCATTAGATATGAAAAGAGCCTAAGACTACGAAGGAGAATCATGTGTGTGTGTGTGTGTGTATGTGTTTGTGTGCTTTCCCTCTCCTTCTTCTGCGATTAATAATTTATACAATTGAAATGGTAACGTTGATTCCTAAGTTACCGTTATCGGCGAATAGCTGTGCGATTGATGTATCGAATACAAGGCAGTCTGAGTTGAGAATTGCACTTGCAACACCCTCGTGAATGGATCGCGGCATCGCTTCCCACGTTAAACGTCTACGATGACCGTTCAATTCCAGGCGATAAGCAAAATTTTCGGCCTCTTTTCGTGATCCAATTAATTGAACAATTGCAAAAAACTGCTGATGACCGTCGTATTTCTCTTGTTTTTCCAGCACAAGCATAAAATGATGACCAAAACATGACTGCATCATCACCCAATCGACGGCGCCTGGTAAATTTATATCAGTCGCTAAAAATACTATGTCTTCACCTTGTAACGTGGTGATACTTTTGTGTGACATCATTAAATGTGGCATCACCAGTTCCAATGATCCTTGCCATTTGCAACTGGCACCCGGACACGGGCATAAATACGGCCGAAACTCGCACGTTTCTTCGTGATCAACCTTTTCAGTGTAGAGCAAGGAAGCGGTACAACCATAGCTTGAATGCTTACATGGAAACTTAACATTTGATGCAACCTGCAATGGACGGAAATCAGAATACATTAAGATTAAATTCATTAATAATGATAACGCGGGCGCGTTTGAATAATTTGCCGGTGGCCAATAGGAGACAAAAAAATAAACGTATGCATCAAGTATAAGTAAATGAAATGGATCGCTTGCACCGGTTGAAAATTGCCTTGATCTCAATGCATCCATGCATTTCCATCGGTTAGAATATACTTCATATGCAATTTTATGACTAATCATAACGGGCAATCCAATGGAATAGCTGTTTACAATGTTAGTTAATGATTCACTTTCGAACCGGTCACACAGCCTGCAACAACAATAATCTCAGCGATGTGTTACGTTATTGCAACATTGCCATGTATGCGACGAAAACACAAAACATGACAAAAAAAACAAAAAATAAATGATTCCAAATCGGACAAACCTTTTCCATGGCAAGATTTCGAATATTCCCGAGGGACCCACGGCACGTTGGACAGCAGGTTAATTTTGACCGACAACTGGAGCACACCAAATGGCCACTTTGGCATTGCAATATTGGCGGCAGAACATAATCAAAACATACTGGGCACTCGAAAAATGATGCAAGATCTGCTGACATAGCGGCGTCACCACCGCCCGATGAAGAAGACAGCGACGAATTCGATGAAGATGATGCGTTCTGATCTCTACGTTTTATATTCGATATTTTACCAGACATAATTTTTGCAATCGTCCTCTATGGTTCAAACAACGCTCTAGCGTTCCAATCCGATGATATAGTGATGACGTTGTTGTTGTTGTTTGTTTGTTTGTTATTGGTAGAACAGCAGTGTAGATTGGAATCCGTGGACAAACCAAACAAGAAAGTGAGAGAGAGAGAAAAAGACAAAAACAAAACAAGTCGATAAGTTATTGGCTGTGTTTTTTATTATTATTATTATTTCTTCTGTCCAATCGCAATGTAAACACTTGAAATGCACCACAACGGAGCAGAAAAAGACACCGTACAGAAACAGAAACAGAAATAGAAAATTGCAATTGAAGCGACAGGCAACCGAGTAAATGAAATGTACAAGAAATCGAAATAAGGAAAGAATGAAATGAAATAAAACGGCATCAACAGCACCACACCACACCACACCAACTCAATTGTTTTACAACCGACCGTAAGACAACATCATGATGCGAACGCGGAGCAGAAAGAAAGGAAAAACCAGCTCTTGTGAGTGTTAAAACAAATGGTAAATATGTAACCGCTTCTATTGGGTTATCAAATGTATGATGATTGCAAAACAATTACGTATTTGCCACTTCGTTCGAACACTCACTAACATTATGCACACATTATGCATGCATTTTTAATGAACTTTTATTACCAAATCAAATCAATAAACCTTGGTATTCATGCATGTATCCGTTGCCGTCGTCGCACGTTCCTATGTATCCAATGTAAATCACACACAATGCAAACGAGTGTCTATTCTCTCTTTTTATTTCTATCTCTTTCTCTATCTATTCCTGGTTGTGTTGTTGTTTCGCTCGGCTATTGCTTCTTCTTCTCCTCTTTTTTTTCTTGCCTATTTGTTTAAGTTGTTCGCTAGCTTTTCGTACGCACAATTCATTGAAACTCCACTAATAATCACAGTCTTTGCACTCAGTCAAACCTATTTGGATATCTGTATTTTTTTGTTATAAATGCTTGGAAACGAGATTTTCGAAGGAACAGAAAAAACGTCTTGGCCCTTTATTTAATTTTTGTTGGATGGTTTTGGTTTGCAATTCCACACAACGAATACACACAAAATATACTCGTTGCTTATTTTTTTCTTTTTTACTCTTTATCGGGGTGGATGCAGATGAATTAATTCTGGATTTTGGCTAGATGAACGCCGAAATGCTTAATTGCGCCATTGGCATTCGATTTATCGAATGTATTTCTCTGTCTATGATCGCTATCGAATCGAAATAATAAAAAAATAAAACATCTATCTATATTTAGCCTCCATCTTTAAAGCTAACACTTTTGATGACAAGACGATGCGTGTGTATTTGTATGCGCATAGTGTGTACGGATACGCATTGTTTTCAATGCGATGTGCATGTGTGCTCTGCACACAGCTGTCAAATCGAACTTGGACATTGAAAATGTTTTGAAAACCTTATAACGGAATTCGAAATTGCACATTTTGCTTTTCGCTCATGTTTTTTTTCTTCTCCTTTCTCATAGTACCGCCAAGAAAATTCAATCATAGATTAGTTGAATCAAAGCATTCAATGGGCACGTTTTCGTTAGCAATTGGAAAATTCAATCATTTTTCTCTTCTGGTTTCAACACAGTAACGAACAGAAATAATGAACTACCAGAAACGAAACGCTGTTGTTGGGCTTACCTCACTTACCTCGTCGTCATCGTCGCCGCCAAAACATGTCACAAGAAAGAAAAAAAACACACATTCAATCTCGAAATAAAATCACGGATTCAGTTAAAAAGAAATATCGATTTTTGTAAAATGGAAATATTATTTCATTCCTCGGTAAATTTATTAACATTTTTAATTAGCAACACATTTTTAGCCATTTTTTTGTTGTTTTTCATTTTTCATTTAAATTTCTTAATAATTTGTCTAAATTTTCTCTTTATTTTTGTAATAGTAGTAGTTTTTCTTCTTGCCTATTTTATTTTTTATTTCTTTTGTTCTTGATTTTTGAATCTATGTCTGAAAAAGAAATGTTTGCGTTTGTTTTTCTTTCGATTATTAGCATTTTTTTGTTTCGTTTGTATCTTTTTCCATTTTGTTTATAATTTTAGTTAATATATATGGTTTTTGTATCTCTTATTTTTCGGGTTTATCTGGATTTTTTTTCTTTGCATTGTGTGTGTGAGTGTGTGTCAACATCATTTCAATATTTTGTGATTTTATATTTATTTGCAATTTGCTTAGTTATTAAAGTGTGATCGATTTGAAAATTCAGATTTAATAGCGAAATACATAGTTTAATTTTACAATACTTCGGTTTTTGTTTTTTTACTTCTTATTCTTTTTTTGTTTTGTTTTCGTTAACTTTTTGTTGTTGCTGTTGTTATAAAACAGATTGTTGATTTTGATGTAATCGACTTTTTTTTAAGTGTCATTTTGTAGTTTTTTTTCCTCCTCTTATCTGCTCCAACTAAGCAATAGACGCTCAATTTACTGATGACTTTTCGGATTTTGAATTTCTTTTTTATAATTTCTATATGCAAAATTAAAATAAACTTGTCTAAATCAAATCTTTCGGAAAAAGTGAAAAAAAAATAAAGTATCTTCGATAGACATTTATTTCGATAAGACAAGTTCGTTTGCTGTTCGATGCTTCCGATTGGAAAAGGTGTAAATTTTTACCGACGGAAAATGAAAACGATGCCAAAAAAACGTAAGGTGGAAGTTGAAGGAATTTTAAAAAAACACGTGTCGACCGAAGCAATAAAATCTCAAAGAAATATTTTGAATTGAAAAATAAAAAAACACGAAAAATTTGTCAAAAATCGTACCAAATCGTACAGAGTACAGAGTAGCTCGACGTCAGCAAATAGAGGTCATCGTGTTGTGATGATTATATGTATATGTAGCAGGTGCTTTACATTATTATTTGCTAAATTTATCAAGTCTAAATATGTATTAACAACTTTTTTGGTTTCCTCTTAATTTGTATGATTTTCTTTCTCTCACGTTCTCTTTCTTCTCAGTAAGTAATTTTATGTTATGTTTTTTTTTTTTGTTTGATATGTGTATCTAATGGCGTTGAGCGCAAATCAAGTGTTAAAGGGGATAACGCACACCGATGGAGGAACACTGGATAAATTCCTAGAACTAGCACTACACACCGTAGCAAACAGTTCAATTGGGTTTTGTTAAATCTAAAATAAGCATATATTCATTTTTTTTTTGTTCATTGTTGCATTTATTTTGTGTTGGTCGAGAAAATATATCAAGAAAAAATTGTCTGATTTTCGTCTGGACCGAGGGGAGCGTGTGGGGAATGTATCGAAGCGATTTTTTTTTCTTTCATTTCTGCGAATCACATGATATAAATTTATTTATTTTTTTGTCTGATTTGATCTATTTACACATATTTATAGAATCTATATATATATATTTCATCAGAAGGAAAATGTTGAAATTGAAATTGGGTGGAACCAAAATGGTGCAGGGTCAGGATGATTGAGAACAGAAAGAAATAGGAAAATTTGAAATGATCAAAAGCAATACTATCAATAGAGAAATATTTTGTTTTTCTTCTTATGTTATTTCGATTATTTGAATCGAAACCAAAAAAACATTTCTACTTTTTCATCACTTGATCATTTGGTTCGCATGTTGAAATATACATTTATCATTTATATGTTTAAGACACAACTTCCTAGTTTTTAAATGTTTTATGTTCCACTAAATGAGAACGGTTCGTGGCTAAATTCTAATTCTTTGGATTGTGTACGACTAAATTTGGTTTCACTCATACAAAACTGGAGGAGTTTTGTGACTTTTGTGTTGTTGGTTGTGGCAGAAAACACACTTACAACTCGTCAATTACGAGTAGACATCAAGTTTTTGATTTTTTTTTTTTGTCTTTTTTTTACTTTTTTCTCTGGTTACTCAATTGAATTCCATCAATTTCCCTTGCTATTATTTAACAAGAATTTATCGTGATAATTATATACAGAAAAACATTTAATTTGCTGGTTTTACTCGTCTAAAAATTGAAAACAATTTGACTAGGAATTCACATCCAAAGTCGAATACAATAAACTTGAAAAGAAGCAACTCAGAAACGGTTTTTTTCTCTCGTAAAATGAACTTTATGCAAAAGAATAAAATTGATTGGTGTTTGCTTTTGTTTCTTTTTCTTTTATAAATATAATTTTTACCTTTTTACCATAAAAAAAATCAAGTCCGAACAACAATAACACAACCGAAGAAAATCAATAAAGGGTGAGTGAGAGATTTGTTTATTAGCTAAGAGTGAGGAAAATTTTTCTTACAACAATTACTGCGTTGGGAATTGATATTGGATTTAATCCCAAATGATGACCGCGTCGCATGAATCAAAATCTACACTTGAGGATTAACGACTAAAATACGACTGATGTCGAAAAACCCATTTTTTGTTTGTTTGTTTCTTCAACGAATTTAACACATCGAATTGAATCTAATTTCAATTTCAATACAAAAAAATCTATGCTGGTTCTGTGATGGTCATTTAATTGGTTACGGGAACCGCAATTTACGTTCATAAAAACAAACAAAACCAGTAGAATCGTCTTATGTCTTTTGCCGAAAAGGTTTCAACAGAAAACAAAAACCAATGGCTCTCATTATATATGTAGCTCTCTCTCTCTCTCTCTCTCTCTCTCTCTCTCTCTCTCTATCTGTCTATCTCACACGTAGTGTCTTTTTTCTAAACAATTCTTACGGTGATCGGTTCGTTATCGGTTTTGTTATTAATTTGCAATTGTCCTATGTTCGCCCTAGTTGCCCTATGTTTATGTGTCAACAAATGTTTCGATTTTGGTTCCGTGTAATTCACGATCTCCATATCACCGTTTGTGTATCGACGCCTTTCTAATCAATATTTTAATCGAGGATGGTCAATAATTTTGCGGAGAACATGAAGATGGAAAAGGAGGACTCAATTTGGATGTGTGAAAATTAGTTGAAAGATTAAATATAAGAGAAGGAGAAAGATGTTCTGGTAAATGGATAGGACAATGAAGATTATAAATCAGAATGAATTAGAATAATGTCTCCTTTTGCAGTTTAATTTCTCTTTACTACAACTTACAATATGGTCAAGAGGTTTTGGTTTTTTTTGGGTGAATCTTACAAAAAAGGAGGGGAGCGTGTGTATGTGTTTGTGATGATAACAATGAAAATTTTACACAAATCTACAAAAAGCATTCATCGGGATAATTTGTTCTCTAATCACGTTAACTAATTTTATGATTAATGGTTTTTTTAAATGTGTATTCTGTTTCTCTCTCTTAATTTTTTTTTCTCACTTGATTTTTGACTCTTCCAGAATCATTTTTCATTTATGACGACAGTGTATTTTTATGGTTCCCGTACGTAATTTTGTTCGTTTCATCTTTCATCAATTCGTTTAGTTGATAAGACTTTGTTTAGTCTCGTGTGTTTTTAGTTTTCTGTGTGTCTTCATTGTTAGAATAGAATGAAAAAAGGATAACTACAAAGGTTTGTTGTTTCTCACATTTGTTTTTTTTTCTCTCTCGGTAAAGTCAATAGTGCTTGTGTGAGGATGTTTGATTTTATAAATATGTCCGAATATACTGGATCGGAGTGTTTTAAGTGATTACCAGTCACACCATCACCGTCGTAGTCGGATAAGTTAATATTCGATATTTTGTGCCATGAGCGACTATCGCGTTTTCAATATGATAGGATAAAATTTGTGATGATTCTCTGTTTGTGTTGTTTGTTTAAAAAGAAGTAATTTTGGATTTTCTTTTCTATTTAAAGGGGGATAGAGACGAAGGGCAAATAGCAAATGTGATCGCTGTTTCAAGCAGATATAAGAGCGTGTGTAAATGGAATGGGCGATGGGCAAAGGGACGTGAAAAATACGCATTAATTTTAATGAATTCAATGCTATAAACACACAATTACATTTGATCAAAGTTGTATTTGGTTGTGTATTTGTTTTTGTTTTTTGTTCTGTTTTGTTTGCTGGTTCGATTTCACGTTATTTTCTTCACGTTTTCATTATAATTATTCGTAGGTTACATACGAAAAAATAAATCACGTTTCACATTTATCTAAAATCACATTATTATTTTATTTTGTTGTTGTTGTTTGTTTGTTTGTTTTGTTGTCATTAATTTTGTTATTTCTTATATGATTTTATTTTTCTTCTTAGATTTAAAATGAAAACTTGAACTTTGACTGGTGAGACAAATGTAAAGATGAGAACCTAATTACAACTTATTTGATAAATTTCACGGGTGCTATCAGCAACTAAACAAATGTTTCTATTCACTTTGGTTTCGGTATGCGTTTGTGTTTGTGTACATATTTTGTGAATTTGTTTTCCATATGAAATGCCCCTAATTGAATTATGTTCATGTGATGATTTGCTACTCAATAAATGTTTCGTTTAATTTCAAATCGTTTCTTTTTCTTCATTCTGCTCAATTTTTTCAGTATCAAATGAACTACTAAACAGCATCAACCCAAAATAAAACAAATGTTTTGCTTCACTTTCGTAATCTGGTATAAATATTCTTCCTTTCCCTGGTATTTTTTTTCTTTATGCTACTAAATTCTAGTCACAGCTTACCAAAAATATAATCGAATACAACATTCAAACACGTTTTGGTTCAAGTCATTTTGATTCCACTTCTTCGCACAATCCCATCTTGACAAACTTAGCGTGTTAAATATTGGAAATAAAATTGGTTGAACTTTTTTTCGCTTTCATTCTGGTTTACTATTATGGTATCATTTTTTTTCAAAATCAATAAATAATCAAATTCATATTGCTTGCGACTAGATCTCATTACATATTTTCTTCTTCTTCCTTTTTCAGTAAACAAATCAGTACGTATAACTTGAATAGAATTCTTTAGAAATGTTCTTTTGTTGTCATCCATAATTGTTTACATATATATTTAATTAAAACCCCGAAACTATTATCCTGTTTGCCAACTGTTTGCATGTTTGTTTTTTTCCCATTTATTATTTAGAGTTTAAGCGGTGCTTCTTATCTTTTTTGTCATTATTTCACATAATTTTCTCGTGAATTTGTTGTTTAAACATTGTTCCGGTCCGTGTGTTGCTATCTATGTCATTCATGTTTTCTTCATTCCCCATAAGCTAATGGCCTCCTTTATTTGTTTTGCTTATGTATTGTAGCTGTCTGCGCTCCGTCATTCCATGGGATTCGTCCGATTATTTATTTGATGGAAATACTTGTGAAATGCACGAAAAAATCGAATCGAGTGTCGTCGTCGTCGTATCATGAGTCCGTTGAAATATAGAGATGCAGTCATCTGTATGAAGAGAAGCAAGTAGGAAAGCTTTGTAGATTGCTTTGCGAAAATAAACTTCATACAATTTTCTACATAAGATGTAATGAAATTGCGCATTACTCACGTTTTGAAATCGATGTGTTTTATTGACGACTGTTGAATGTGGTATTTCTGAATGGTTGGTTGTGTGTATGTGTGATTAAGACGATGAACTGCAACCTGGACCATTGCTGCTGTCCATCGAGCTACTGTTTCGATTTAGCAATTTCGTCTTGCTATCACTGCTCGTACAATTGGATTGCGCCGTGCTATTTTTTGATAATGATAATGACGATGCGAGCGTTATGAATGCCGTCTCTTTTTCTGCAAAATCAAAACGATAGCAACATATCAAATGAGTTGTAATCGAGGATGACAGACGCAGTTGAGCATTACCGTTAATATTATTCTCCTTCTTTTTGTCATCAGTCAGTGTTGGTTCAGTGTATGAGATTGAACTTCGTTGTAGGGTTGGTTTATTGCTGCCACTTTGACGAAGAACCACTTCCTCCGGATATCTCGGCACTTGATATTTGGCTAGTTTACTGATTGACGATTGTGGTCGTTGTTGTTGTTGTTGTTGCTGCTGCTGTTGCACAATTGCACGATGGGCTAATGGCGGCGAAACGGATTTGGCCAGTGGGTTCGGTAGTTTGTTCGGCGAATAATCACTGCTTATATCACCCTGAAAATGAAACAGTTCAGATAGTTTCACCGTCTTCTTTTCAATTTTCACTATTTTATTCATTTAGTTTTCAGTCTTTTTGTTAAGTTTTCCGCCAGAAAAAAAAAGTTTTATGAATTACACACCGAACCATTTTCTGAAACTGCTGCACCAGATGCATTATCAGATAGCAAACGTTCGCTTTCCGGATCCACTGACCCTTTCTGCTACAACAAATTCAAAGTTGATTATTAAATATAATTGAAACGATTTGTGAATATTTGATTCGATTTGAAAACACTGACCGATGATTCCGATTTATTTTTTAGGATGGATTTGGATCGGCGATGCGTATCAACACTTGGTGCACTCTCCGACTCTTGTGACAATGATTTGTCTGGTGGTGATTTACCTAAAAGCCAAAATAAAAACCAGTCAGATTTTGTTGTATTTCGTTGATATTTTGATTTAAAATCCACCTTTTGAATTCGCACTTTGAATTCCGAATAGATGTTGGTTAATTAATTTCGTTGCCGACGCTAAACTCTTCGATGGCATAAACGATGATCTGCGCACTTTTTTCACCGAGCCTGGATTCGATATGGATGTTGTTGGTGGTACATCATCAAGACTATCGTACGAGTGCTTTTTCGTTTGTAAAACGTCTGAATTTCCTCTGAATTTGCCTTTGTTCAAACTGCTTTGTTGGAAACGCGTTTTGCGATGCTTTGGAATGGTCGGCTCATTCAGACCACTGGGGAGGCTACCACGATCCACTCTTGACGCCATTTCAAATGATTGAAATGTTTTCTGCAAATGATTCCAAGAAAAGAATGAAAATGAAGTTTTCTAGTCTAAGGAAGAAGACTTTCGAATAATGAAAAAGGAAACAGGAGAAGAACGAGAAATGAAGACGAAGAAAAAAGTAACAAAGAGGAGGAAAGAAAACAAGAAGAAATTGAACAAAAATGAGGGAAAAAAATAGAAAAAAGAATACACGAGAATAATGAAAAATAATTAAAGAGAATGTTTCTCTAAGGGTGTGAATGGATTGTGTGCTTACCATAACTTCTTCCATTGGTGCACAAGCGCCGAGACTAAGCAGTGATGCGTCGCCCGAAGCGCTTTTCTTCACTTGTGACTTGAGCCTGCCATCGGTGCTCGTCGATGGATGATCCTTGTCCAATGTACTAAAGTACAAGTCATCCACATCGAGTTCAGCCAAAGTGCACGAAATGTCGGCCATTTCGCCCGTCAGATCGCCTTGTGATAAAAATGGATGCGTTTGGCACGATGCGTACGTATCTGAACTGTCAACGCTGGCCAAATCGCCGCTGTTATTCAAACTGGCCTTGATCAAATTGTTGCCATGGTGATTGGCTCTGTCCACATGCCCATGTCCGTTATTGCTTGGCGCATTCGTTAATCGAAGTGGTGTTTCCATTGGCAACGTAATTGTACTGAAATCGTTTGCATCCCGCATTACATCAGATTTTGGCGTTGCTCCACTCGGTGCTGCCCCAGCTGATGCTGCTGCAATACATCGTGCCATTGCCTCGCTACTTGGTAAACTGTATTTGTAACGACCCGCACAAACGGTTGGCATGTGAAAATCTGATGTAGGCAGCGACATTAATCCCTCTGCATCCGTATACTCTTTCAAATCCTGCAGAATATTCGAGTCAAGCTCACATAAAATTAATAATCCACGAAAATGGGCTCCACGAACCGTAAAATTCGTTACGAGCCTCGATGATATCAACCAAAACTTAAGCAATTGCATGGCAATCACATTGTCAGCTGGAGATTTTCTCCAGCAACAACAATAACAATAGTAAATGAAATAGTCGAAAAGTCACAAAAAAGAAACTACACACTTACACACACAAAGTTAGAACCAGAGAAAGAAAGAGAGGAAAGCAAACAAATGTGTACATAGGTTGAAGTGTGTTTGTGTGCATTATCATGAAAATGGTTGGTTACTACTCATGCAGAATAAAAAAAAACAACGATTTTTTCTTGTCATCTTATTTTGTGAACGAAGAAAATTGAACTGGTGGAGTGTATTCAGCTGCTGATGTTTTGAATTGCACTGCAAATCCATTAATTAATTATACAAATACACCGGGTAACATTTTCTATGGAAATGAATTTCCATCGGAGCCACAATGCGAGAATATGCGAAATCGTTGATTCTCCACGAAATATGTGCTCTGATGGTCAAGAAGAAAAAAGCTGAAAATACATGATGTGTGCGGATTTGCTTTGGCAAATATTGCATATCGATCGAATCGACGCCATTTAATTACACTCGAAAAAAATTTAATTTTCTAATGAAATCGAACAAATTACACAGCTATATTGCTAAAGTGCTTCATTTAATTTTACGGTTCTGCGCCAAATCACTCATTGACACACAATCTACATGCTGAATGAGAATGCTATTTTTGCTTGAAAAAAAAGAAAGCGAAAAAGTTTGCCGAATGGAATTTTTGTGTCTGTTTGGGTTCTTCTTTAATACATTAAAATGATCAAGAATGGCAAAGAAAGAGAGAATATGGGAAATTGATCGATGCAAATAATCTACGTGATTCGTTGCCATTGCACAGCGATGCACTTCCGAAATGAATTTAATATCAGCTGCTGTTGCTACTATTACTGCTGCAAAAAAGCGATGAAACTTTTCAAGGCAATTTAGCTAATTGAAGCGCTACGTTTTTCTTTTCCGTCAATTTCGCGTAATTGTTCAGTGAAATCGACGTTCTTCATCATGTTATTTTGATGTTGTTCCAAATTAGAGGTGTTAAAATTGATATACATAGATGGTTGCTATCAATTTTATATAGTAAATTTCTTCTGTTGATGTTTTTGCGACTCACACACGCGCATTTCAATACTACAATAAAAATAAAGAGAAAAAAACACCAGACGGCACACATTGCAAAATGTGGTGCAATTGAATTGCGTTTTGAAAATTCTTGGACAAGAATTTGGAAAAAAAAAACTGTTTTGTTTGTGCACAAAATCGTTCACAATTAATTTTGAGTTGAAGTTAGTAAAAATGACAATTTTGGAATTTTGATCATTATGCTTATGCCAAACATACCAGGGAAATCAATTTTGAATTAGTCAGTGTTTCAGTTTTGTTGAACGAATGTCTAAAGCGATATTTGTGCTTTGATTTCGATGCCAAAAAAAAAATGTTCTTTTGATTGTTGTTAGCATTTGATTTGATTTAAAGCGCAATTAAGGAAAAAGTTGTTTGGTATGAAACTCACCTCACCGTCAATACGTACATAAGTAGATATAAAAAAAACACAGTTTCGACTCGTTTCTCTTCAGATATTTTCAATTTCAATTCGATTTTTTTTTGCTCATTTTCTTGTGAATTATTCGGAGCAGCGCAGCGGTAAACTGTTTCATTCATTTTTTCTAGTCATTGGTGTGTGTCATTTTCAACAACAACAACAACAACAATATGTGTCATTTTCAATTTGAGAAAATATTATAATGATAGCGAATGCGAATTGAAAGTTCAGCACGTGGCTTTGTCGCAAAATAATTTTGTTGTTAACACCGCTGAGTATCGGAACAAAAACCCGGTCATATTGCTCAAATGTGAATTGAAATCGCCACATTTCTTCATTAATTCATTTTTATGGCATCCAAGCTTTTGACAGCATATTTTCGCGCTTCGCTGTTAGTGTTTTCTTCTTTCTCACTTCTCTTTCCCTCTTTCATTTCGTGTGATTATACAAATAATATGAAATGGTGATCCTTTTTTTTGCTTGTGTCAAGTCAGAATCAAAAACAAAAGCATTTCATATTTTTTTTGTTTGTTTAAAATGTAATTTTCGGTTTATCCTAAACACTTTTCGATCGAAGCGGAATACATTCACCATGACATCCATTCCGTCCCTAGAAAACAAGTTTAATCAAATTATACCGACAAACGAAAATGATGATTAATCATAAGAAAAATATTTTTTCAACAAAAAAAAGTGAACAATTGAAAATAAAAACCGAAACAAAACGGGTAATAAAATGAAACTAAAAACACACAAAATGTAAAAAAAACGCAAGTCCAGGAGAAGCGCTTAAAAAACAGCGTCACGCTCAAACACGATCACACGCGAACCAAAAACCAAACGAAAAAACAGTGATGTATATGACATGTTATCGAATTCAATTTTGTCTTCTCTCGAGTGTTATTCATTTGGACGGAAAACAATTAGGCGTTTGGAAAAGAGACGTTCACAAAACTAAACAAAAAAGCTCACACAAATAAAAAAAACACACACACACAGCACAAAAACCAAATTGAATCTAACTATGAGTCTCGTGTGTACGAACCGAAACCCAAACTTCCGTTTTTCCGATTAAAGCTTATATTGTTCAACTGAAACATACACACGCAGAACAGACATGGATTACGTCAATTATGATTGAAGAGATAATTCGTTGATCTCGATATCCTCTCTTGTTATGGATATCAATTCTCTTAAGTGGTTTCTGCCGCGTTTCAATATTCTTTTTGGCGGCTATGTTTAAGTGTGTGTATGTGTCTGTATGTAAACAGCTTTTTGTTAGATCAAAATGATTGGTTAGTCATTTAGACATTATCCAAAAGCTCCACAACACTGGAGCGGCAAATATGCGTATTTTTTTTCTGTTCCTCATTCGTTATGTTATTCAAGCACCATCGAGGCTTATCTCATAAATGAAAATTCAAATAATCTACAGTGTGACAAGGGCGATACGAATCGAAGGTGTCCTTTACTGGTATAAATTATACACACATCCACACACCGATCGATTGAGTCGCATTTGTCGCATATATTAAATGACATTCAACAATATAATACATATACAATGCAGCCATATCAACGAGATACACAGAAATATGAATGGATATAACATCAACATCAACAACAATGAATGAAAATAATGAAAAAATAAATACGACAATAAAATGCAATGCAAACATAAAGAGTACTCGAACTGTATCAAGCAATACGCATAAATAGATTTTGGTGTATATATACAAATAAATATATATGGGATAAAAATGTTACATGTAAAAAAATATGGGAGGCAATCCATGAAATACAATCTTAAAATGCACAGTTGACATGATTATTCGAATGTTTTTTTTTAATCTTTAAATATTGTATCGAAAACAATTTCATTAACGAAAGAAATTCAAAATAATGGAGAAAAAAAACACAAACAACAATTTTTGTCCATTCCGTAAAACTATGTATTAATTTGAGGTTTGATTTGTTGCAGTTGTTAATTGCATAAATCGATGGAAAAGTTCGCACATACCTTTGTGGTGCAAAAGCAACATTCAAATTCAGTTGGAACGTCGCTATCTAGTACTTTTTCCCTTTTATGCTTGGCCGCGTGTTCGATAGCGATTTGCCTCCGGAGTTCGGCCACTTGCTGTAATCCCCCCGGTAACAATTGTTTTCACATCATCGCAGCACGCGTGCGCATCGACACGAGTCACAAAACAAAAACCATAAATGTACGGAGAGAAAAAAACAAACGAAAATTGGGATTGAAAAACCCAAAAAGAAGCAGTTATTATCATTGTTGAACAATGCACATATGAATCAATTTTTAGCACAATAAACCCATACAAATGGAGCCAAGCGAACTGATGTATGTATATATAATTTATTTTTGAGATTGCATTTGCTTTTAAATTTGCTGCTTACAGCGGCCAGTGCGCAAATCGCCCCGTTAACCTATGCAATCTCGCACTGAACCGTTCATTGGACCGAATGCATTGACAGAGTAATAAGTTAAGCAGACCGAAATAAAATATAGATTCGAGACGAATAATATAGGGCAATTATATGGAAAAGAACGAAAAAAAAATCTGAAAGAAAAACGCTATATTTCGCATCGCCAAATTCTTTGCTGTTTTTTTTTATGTTTTTGCTTCATGTGTTTGCATGTTTTGAGTGAACAGGTTCAAGTGTAACTCTGTTATGGAGTTTGTATATGTTTTGGTTGGCTAAAGTGTATTTATCTTCATTTTTTGGTACAGGCTACTGTATTTTCATTTCATTCGATCCGATTGCGATTCATGCGTATTTTGTTTCTAAAAATCAAGTTTCATGGCATATCAAGTGACTTTTAAATGCTTTTTTTTAATTGACAAAATTTCTAAGTAAAATAAGAGCCTATTATTACCAACGGAACAATTTCATTCTCGAGCATCAAGATGCTAATTTCTCGGCAGCAAAAAATAGAGAAAAATATCCATTTCACTCGCGGCATAAAAACAATTTCCGACCAGATGAGAATTAAATGCATTGAACGTTACAACAACAGGCACCACGGCTTTTTTTCGGTCGTTGCAATTTTGATTCAATGAAGCAAATGGATCTTTTGTTCTATTGTCTCAATCTATTTTCCAGTGATTTTGTTCAATTTCAATCTAGTCGGCTTGAGGGTTTTTTCCTGCATGCGCTTGAGTGCGATGGCAAAATTCATTCGACAATATTGAAATATGCATATTGTGTCACAGATGCACTACTTCGACTTTGTATATGTTTTTTTTTCTGTTTTGCTAGTTAATGTTAAAATTCTATGGCATTCACTCGGCGTTCAATATATCCTATATCTGGAACTATAGTCTATAGACTAGATGTAATAACCGAACATTGAATGACAAAAAAAATGAATTCGCTTTAATTTGATCCCAAGGCGAGTGGTATATTGGGAAAACCGACTGTTGTTTATGTGATTATGTATATTGTGTTATTTTAAAGGGGGATGCATATGGTTTTTTTTTTCATACTCATATATATTTGTATCAAAACTGAAAAAAAAACGGTAGAAAAAGAAAAACATTTCATTCAGATGAAGTATATGGCAATATCGAGCAACTGTTTCATCCAAAGTCAAACGTAAAAGTCGAAACTGAATGCAAACGGGAGTCATTTTCGTTTGTTTGAGTCAAAGGCATGCCACAGTGAAACTTCTTCTAGTGCATCTTATCCAATTTTATTGCTGCTGCTGCTGCTGCTGCTGTTTTCCATTTAATCAGTATAAGTCGTACCGTGCATTCTCGTCGAAATTTCACTGTTCACATTCCGGATTTCGGTCATTTATTTTCCATTCACAATTGAGAATATTGAAAAAATGCACCGCTGCGTGAATTAAAAGGCAAATAATGAAGAGTAAATTCTTGGCGGGGCAGAGGGAAGGGGAGTAGAGCGAATTTATGTATATACTATATATGTAACAAACGATGTGCTCGCAATGATTTTGAAGTATGTCTAAATCTAAAAAGCTCAACTATATTTTAAAAAGTTTTGTTTTTTTCTTTTCTTTCGTTTCTATTCTCGTTTCTTTGTTGAATCATGTCAATATCGTCGTCGTCGTCGTCGTCTCAACGACCAACAGTTCGAATAGTTAAACAAAGAAATGCGGAACCGTTCTCAAATACAATAAAATGTATGCGGGGGGCAAAATGGAGATAAAAAAGAAACAATAAGAAGAAGAAGAAGAAGAACAAACGAAAGAAAATAGAGAATCTATTAGAGTTAGTTCAACGATACCTCGATAGTCCTTGATTGTAGAAACTAAATTGAACAAATCGTAAAAATACACTTGGTTTAAATCATCAGCCGAGACATTCAAAAAGTTTTATTCTATATAGAAATCTAATCTAGTTGGTATTTTATTTTGTTTTGTGTACTTTTTTGATGTTTTCAGATTCGGATTCATTTGATTTTTTGTTGTTGTTGTTATTATTGTCTTGGTTTGTTTGATTTTTTTGTGGAGTATATATATATATGTGTGTATGTCTGTATTGTTTGGACTGTGGATTGTGTGACACTGTTTGATGTTTTGTGTACATATAGTGTGTAATTGTGTGTGTGTGTGTATGTGTTTTGGGGACAGAGATTTGTGTTGCAAAAATATGCGTACAACGGAAGATTTTACTGTCGCTATACATGAAAAAGAAAATATAATGCGCTTTTTGGATAAATATGATATGACGGCCTGAGAAGAAGAACCTTTCCTACAAAACCTGTGCGCAGAATACAAACACAGAAATTTTTTAGTCAAAAGGCGAACAGCAAATTTGCGAGCGCAAAAACCTTATATATTTACAGCGAGCGCAAAAGTATAACAAGCCTACTAGCATGCAAACTCCGTATAAGTAGGCCTGTTATGCTTTTGCGCTCGCTGTAAATATATTAGGTTTTTGCGCTCGCAAATTTGCCGTTCGCCTTTTGACTAAAAAATTTCTGTGTTTGTGTTCTGCGCACAGGTTTTGTAGGAGAAGTTTTTCTTCTAAGGCCGTCATATGCAATTCGATGTTGATGTGATGCTAAAGTCAAAACCGTACGTAATTTTTCCAACATGTTTCACATTAGCTAATATTTTCATCAGAATTTTAACAGGATTCATTCGATTTCATTCAAACGTGATGAAAGGAAAATGAAATCGCATTTAATTGAGGCGTCGATATAATTGTGCATTCCGTTGAAAGCGTTTAGAGAGATTCACTAAGTGCATGAAAATTGGTATGTGAAGTCTTAAAAAGACGACTGTTTGGTATTGAAAGAGCGACGACGTCATCGACTGTGTTCAGCGTCAGATTTAGCATTATTGCACTTGTTTGATTAGTGCACGTATTTGTTGATTCGCTGAAGACGAAGAAAAGTTTGAATGTTCCTTTCATTCGTGGGCTGAATGAAAGTTTTGGAATCATGAGTAAAATGATTTGAATTGGCAATATACACCTCGACAAATAAATGAGTTTGGCGCTTCTTTACATATATTTTTTTTTCTTCTTCTTTACGTCGCGGTGTTTGGGTAGAACTTTCAAAACATTGCCGGTGCAAACATAAAATCGCTTCAATGATCTTGTCGTTGGTGAAGGGGAGAAAACAAAATTCAAGCAAATGAAAAATAGAAATGTAGAACAAGAAGATATAAAACATACACCACACACATACGGATTGTTTGCTAATGGTGCATAGATTGGTAAAGAGCGAGATAGAGAGAGAATTTTTGCGCGATACGAAACGAACCGACAGCACAATAAAGTAGAGAGAGAGATCAGTAGTTGTAGTAGTTGAAGAAGAAACAGAAATGTATACACACTTTCACACACATACATTAGTCAGACTCAACGGTATAGTTGTAAATAGAATAGAGAGTGTGAGGAAAAGTGAAGGAAGTGGAGCATTTTGCGCTTGGTGTTTACTTGACGTGTGTCAAGCATGAAAATGGGAAACGAAATTGAGAGAAATCGAGAGACACAGCAAGAGAAAAAGAAATTGAGATAAAAGCTGTTCCAAGTAAAAGCGATGTACGATAAAATTAATTCACTTACAGCTGGTGTAACCATCATTTGGTTGGCCATGTGTTGTGGTGTGTCTTGCTGAGATTCTGATGTAAGCGGTTGACTTTCGTCAGCATCTTGATAAACGTCGTCGTGTGGTGGTAAAATGGCCGGGAGTGGTTGTCGATCTCGTTGCTGAAAACCTGGGAACAGTGCAAACGACGCCTGCTCATCGTCTCTGTCGAGCTCATTAATCGATGTCTGTACATGATTTTTCCAACCCGATATGATGTCAATTTCGGGCGGTTGTTTTGGCAAGCATGTGTGTGTGTGTGTGTGTGTGTATCATAAAACACCACCCGGACAAATGAGACAGATACAAAGGGGGAAAAAATAAGAACGAAAAATAGTTCGATATATTAGTTGAAAGTGACAAATGTGCGAATAGAATGATTGATGGCACGAAAATGGAGTGCAAAATTTGTTATTCGGCTTTACACAAACATATATGGATATGAATGGATATACATTCTTAGCACCAAATAAGAATGAACAGAAAACAAATATGTGAGAAGAAGGCGTAAAAAGTGACACACGAAAATTAAGAATATGACATGTACCTGCGGTGATAAATGGTCTCTGTTGCGTTGTGCCGACTGATGTTCATAGTTTTTATAGCATCCCATTCCAGTGCTAGACGGATTACGGTTATCGATTGACTCGCCACCATCCGAACTGTTACCATCGCCATGTGAAATGTTGTGTCCTGTAGGCAATCCCCGAAGCGCGTGAGTTAGCCGTTTCCAATTTGATATTGTTTTATTGCGTCTTTCACTTTTTTCTTCTTTTTTTTCATTTTTGGTTTCGTTCGATATATAAATATTTGTATGTGTGTTTTTTTTGTCAAGGTTATTTACGGTTTGAGTTGAAATCGTTTTAGTTTTGGTTTTGGTTTTGGTTTTTCGATTTTGATGGTATTCGTTCGTTCATTTGCAAATGAGATTTTATTTTGGTTTTGTTTTTCGTTTGTTTGTTTGGTTTTGGTTTCGTTTCACCGATTGGATTCGTTTTTGTTTGTTTTTCGAATTTTTGTTCAATTAATCCAGCCAATTAGGGTTCGCATCATGAAATTTTGTTTGGTTGTTGGTATTCACATATTCCAAAATTTGGTGATTTGTTTTTTGCAAATTCAGTTTTTGGTTCAAATTTTGATATCGCACCAAAATCAATCCAAGAGAAAACAAATGGGGTTTCGGTTCCAAAAGAGAATAGACGTTTATGAAATAAAAGAGACGAATTTTAGATGAAAAAACGGCAAAATAGAACGACAACAACGAAAAGGAACGAAATAACAAAAGAAGAGGAACAGAAAAAAAAAATGTTGAAAAGAATAATAATGAAAACAAAATAAGATTTATCGCTATAAACACTTGCTCTCTAAGCACTTATATATGCGGAACATTGATCTAAAAAAAATTCAGCCCCAGCGACAAACATAAGAAACAACACAACACACCATTTTCTGCTATTTTTCTATCATTATTATCTCTTTTTTTTCTCAATAAATTACGAATTGTCAACACTTGGCTTCCAAGAGTGGCCCATTTACGATATATGAAAGATTTATATAATAACGTGTCGGCTGGATGCCTGTGGATTTTTCCCACTGTGTGTGTGTCAAAGGGATATTGCAACTTTTTTGACCAGAAAAAACGCCATCTTACGTCGTGCTCGCAAATTATTCTACTGTACATTTCGATGGTAGAGCTTGAACAAAAGTTCAACACTATGCATAAACTTGGAAAGAGCTTGATAAACTTGATGAAATACATATATTTTATGGTAGTTGCAATACCCCTATGGTGTGTGTATGTGAAAATATGAAGAACTGTTTACTTTTTACTTTTTTTTTGGTTATTGTTACACAGAATTGCTTGCACATTGTCGATTTTATGAATACACCCACACTCACTATACAAATAACACACACCTACTCTGATTGCAAATAATTACATAACTTTGATCTTGCTGGTTTCACCAGGAAAAAAAGAGAATAAACATCTAACAAAATTTGCAAATAAAAACTAAATAAAAATTGATATTATATTTTGTACAAATGAAGGAGCCAAGATCAGTATTGGAATTTAGGACCGGGATCATGTGTGCATGAACACATTTTTACCACCCGTCTAACCTATACACTAGGGTGTTTTCGGTATTAAATAAACAGAAAATGGTAGTTTTAGTTTGATAGAGCAGAGAATTTGGAATCGATTTCATATATTTTTGTTCGGAATCAGTCCAAGATGCCACTTCCCACAAGCAAAACAAATGTTCGTCGAATTTTGAGGTTATATCACTATTCGCTGAAACTAATCTGATATTTTCCACTTTTTTCGATTCAATCTCACTGCCAGAGATGAATTCTCAATGCAAATATTTATTTTCACGTAATTTTCATTGGAAAAAGTGGCCAAATAGTGGAAAATTCACACAAATTGTATTGCCTCTTTGACCGGTTCTTCAATCATAGAAAAAACGCCGACAAACTAATTTTTTTCACAGAAATTCATTCAATGGGTTTGAAATAGACGATAAATTATCTAAATCCACTAAAATATCCAATCGAACAAAACCAGGAAGGCCAAATTGCAGCAAAGCCAAAACGTAAACAAAAACGAGCTGTCATCATGAAATCTGGGCTTCTTTGAAATTTTGAAGGGCTACCAATGCACTTGTGCGAATGAATCACAGTCAATTCGCGCACAGTGATTCGCGCAGATGTATTTTGGTCTTGTCAAACATCAAACTAAGCCCAAATTTCATAATGATAGCTCGTTTTTGTTTACGTTTTGGTTTTGCTGCAATTTGGCCTTCCTGGTTTTGTTCGATTGGATATTTTAGATGATTTAGATAATTTATCGTCTATTTCAAGCCCATTGAATGAATTTTTGTGAAAAAAATTAATTTGTCGGCGTTTTTTCTATGATTGAAGAACCGGTCAAAGAGGCAATACAATTTGTGTGAATTTTCCACTATTTGGCCACTTTCTCCAATGAAAATTACGTGAAAATAAATATTTGCATTGAGAATTCATCTCTGGCAGTGAGATTGAATCGAAAAAAGTGGAAAATATCAGATTAGTTTCAGCGAATAGTGATATAACCTCAAAATTCGACGAACATTTGTTTTGCTTGTGGGAAGTGGCATCTTGGACTGATTCCGAACAAAAATATATGAAATCGATTCCAAATTCTCTGCTCTATCAAACTAAAACTACCATTTTCTGTTTATTTAATACCGAAAACACCCTACTATACACACACACACATACTGAGGTGTATACGAAAAACAAAACAGTTGAAGCTAAACAAAAACCATCAAACAGAAGAAGAAAAAAACGTGTCTAAACAACTGCGATAATAACTTACAAGAAACAATTTTGAAGACACATTCACACAAAAACTATTATGAATATTTTTTTTGGCATTTATCGTTATTTTTTATGTGTTATACAATGTCTCTGTGTATGCAATACGGGTTTGGGGACATTTCTAGACGAATATTTGTTATATGTGTTCTCTTTTACTATTACGTGAACGAAATTGAATGCATCATGCTGCTGCGCTGCACTTAGTGTGTCCTATGTGCGACTGGTTGGCTGACTGAGCCTTTGCTAGGATAAATTCATTATAGCACGCAACTTTTATTTCTAAAGTTTCCATAAGTTGTACTGTCTTACTCTCTTTACAAACAACGATATTTTTTTTCATTTCCTTTTTTTTGGCAGAAAAACGAACTTCTAAACAAAATCTCTGTTTGCACATAGTTTTTGATTAAATATTACAATACGAATACAAAACGAATACAGGGGCACAAATACAAACAAAAATGAAGTAAGAAAACCAAAACCAAATATGGTCTATATACTTGTCAAACCGGCTATATTTGTTTCTCTCAGTGCAGTTATATTACTTTGTAATGGCACACACGAAACGAGTCTAAAAATTGTTGGACATTGGCCAAAGAAAACCGCATCTTTTTTTTCTAAAGTCATTTGTTTATTTTTCTCAAAGTGAACAGAAAAAAAGTGGTGTCAAAAAAAACGAATATACGTATCGAGAACCGGGAAAAAGTAGAATTTTGATCATAAACGAAAATGAAAGGAAACACACAACATACATTCACTAGTTAAATATTAAATACACTCTGTGCACAGAAATATGCAATTCACTAGGACATATCGATCAGAAAAATATAAACAACAAAAAAGGAATTGGATCAATAATAGTCAATCAAAAAAACATAGAGATTTGTTTTTGTTATTTGGTGTTCAAGTGTATGGATTCGAAAGAGATAAATAAAACGAAATGAAAGTGTTTTTTTGTTTGTTGAAGTATCAAAAGTATAAACGAAATCGAAAAATTTTAAGGATAAAATAGTGGTGCCCAAACAAAAGACATGTCATTGTTTTTCATAGATTTTCAACAAGTTTGCTGTGAATAAATCAATTCAAACTGAAAATGAAAATGATTCGCTGTACAAAATGCTGTGATTGATTGTGAATTTGCTCTTTATTCATTAACCTTTTTCATTGATTCCATTGATTATTAACGAAGGAGAGAGTATACAGATTATTAAATTGAATTCAATGTTTTTTTCGTATTGTTTTGTTTCGTTCTATTTTAGTTTTGCCTTCTACACATATAAAAATTGACTTATTTCATTGAAAATGTGGTTGTTGTTGTGTTAATTATTAATTCGTTTTTTTTTTAAATGATTTTTGTAACAATCTTTGATCAGCATAGAATTTCAGTTAAATTTTTCGTTTTAGATATTAAGATAAACTTAGAGAATGATTGAGTGTGAGAAAGAAAATAATCACGCTTTGAGAACGGATTTATTGCGGTGCAAATATTCCATTGAAATTGAATAGAGTTATATCATCTATCTAAAAGTGTGTTGGCTAGAACATACACGAAATTATAAACAAAACATGATGAACGCATAGAGCGCACACATAAAGTGAACGAGAGACTAATGTTCCCAATCCAATAATGTTCAATCGAAAGAAAATGACAAGAATAAAATCGATCAGATTTAAAATAGGGTTGATTAAACATGCGTAATTATTTCTTTTTCATCCAGTTGATTATTTGGTTTCTTCTATCTACTACCATCAATTCGGGCATATTTTTTTTTCATCTCGTTATCCCGACAAAAGCATGGGGATGTGCCTATTACATTATTTATATATATAATATTCAATTTTCAACTAAATTTAACACGGATAAAAAGAAATAAACAAAATGGAATTGCGCCAGAAAATGCAATTTTCTCATTTCATTGTTCTTTTGGATGGAAGAAATTTTACAAACATCATCATCATCATCACACAAAAATAAACCGATTTATTTTGTGTGTATGCGATTCTCTTCACTTTGTAACGAACCGAAATGATTAAAATCAAGTTTTTTCGTAAATACGTTGAATGTGATTGAATGCGAATATCGATCGAATAGAATGATAGAACATGTGATCGAATGGAATAATTTCGTCCGACAATTTCTTGAATGGAAAATTAAATTGAAAGAATTCGATTTTCATATTTTTCTCGGTCGTTCGACTAAGTTTTGAACGAGACACGAGTAGCAAACTTTTAAAATTTCCGATAAGCACTGAAGAACTGAACAACTGAATGCCAGTGCAACTTTTTTTCTCGAAGAGCTTTCATCTAGTGTGGCTGGCTGTATCGAGATATATTCGAGAATGGATGTTGAGTATAATTGGGGAAGACACATTGTTCGAGTGAATCATTAATGTTGCTGCATTTCTTTGACAGAC